AGAGCCGGCACGTGCATACTGGAGCTCGTACCTGATGGGACTGCAACCCCTGTCTCTTCCATATCCCTGGGTCGCAGATGACAGGACTAGCAAGCCCCTGGAGCGGCTGGAGGTTCCTCTGGCCTGCAGTGGGTCGGACATTAACATGTTCTGTCGACAGACAGACTGGACAGCTTCAAACCTCCTCTACTTCGCTTGGGCTATGGCCCTAGGCGTCTTCTCTGGGTCTGATGATGTTTGCTTTGGGGCACTGACCGAGGGGCGCCATGTCCCAGTACAAAACATTCAGTACACCGTTGGACAGATAGCCAACATGGCAGTGTGCCGAGTACGTCTGACACCGCATCTATCCCTTGATCAGGCTGCTCTTTCTCTGCAAGACAACTATGGCCACATCCTATCGTATCAAACCTTCCCATTATCGGAGATCGCCCGAGCGGCAGGTGTAACGGTGCAAGAGCTGGCCTCCACGGCTATTAACGTCCAATATGCCCTTCCTGATACTGAACCTGAACAAAGTAAATCCTCCCTCACGTTTGAGCCAATAGGTGGACTTGATCCAACATCGGTGAGTATTTTCTTCTATTTTCCATCAATTTCGTTGCAGTATCGTTCCAAGAAAAAGCAGACACACAACCACAGAAAAGTGTTTCGTTGCCCCGTCCTCACATGGTGGCTGGTCAGGACCTTTACTAACCCGATACACCATCAACAGCAAGATATCATGCTCTATGTCTTGATAGACCAACATGGGGATGTCCGAGTATCTATGTCTTACCGCCCCTCCCGAGTATCAACCGTCTTGGCCACGCAATTAGCAGACTACTTTGCAGAGGCAATCTCACTTATCCTTCGTGATCCTCGTGCAAAGCTCGGTGACTTACACCTGCTGAGCGCCAATGATCATAAACGATTGTTGCGCTGGAACGCTACACTGCACGAGCCACAGCCCCAATGTGTGCATCAGGCAGTCACCCAATGTGCCCAGCGACATCCGAGTGCTCTAGCTGTCTGTGGATTCGATGGCTCTTTCAGCTATGCTGAGCTGGAGAGTCAGAGCACACAACTGGCTGCCTGTCTTGTCGCCCGAGGAGTCACACCAACGACATACGTTCCCCTTTGTTTCGAAAAGTCACGATGGACCGCGGTGGCGATGCTGGCAGTGATGAAGGCCGGCGGTACCTTCGTGCCATTAGACCCAACACATCCTATCACCAGGCTTCAAGAGCTTTGTCGGCGCGTGGGTGCTCGTTTTGTTCTTACTTCAGTTGCCCAAGCAAGTATGGGTCCCCAGTTGGCGGCCGACGTAATTGTGGTTGGGGATAGGAACTATGATCACTACGCGAGAACGGCAGATCTACCAGCAGTTGTTGATCCTGAACAGCCAGCGTATGTGCTCTTCACATCGGGAACTACAGGGTCCCCCAAAGGAGTTATGGTCCCACACGTATCGTTCATTTCTGCCGCTCAGGAGCAGATGCGAGCGTTCTCCCTTGGCCTCGGGTCCCGCGTATTACAGTTCTCTTCATACGCGTTTGATGTGTCTGTGATGGAAGTCCTCACGACGTTGATGGCGGGAGGTACAGTGTGCGTCATTTCCGAGTCAGAACGCAGTCGCATGCTGCTGGATGGTATATGTCCGATAACAGTTACCCATGCGTTTGTGACGCCGTCCATTGCTGGGATGCTTGATGCTGGCAGAGCATCATGGGTAGAAACACTTGTCCTCCTGGGCGAGCCGATGTCTACCTCGCATATTCAACAATGGGCTAATTCCTGTTATCTGATGAATGCTTACGGTCCAACGGAGTGTTCTGTCTTAAACACCGCCACATCCCGCATTGTCCCCGGTTGCGATCCGAAGGACATGGGCTACCCCCTGGGGGTACACTTCTGGGTGGTGGACCAGAACGACCACCACCGACTGCTTCCCATCGGTGCCGTTGGAGAGTTGATTGTCGGTGGTCCGCCCGTCGCTAAGGGCTACATCAATGACCCCAAGAGGACCGCCGACGCATTTATTGCGCCCCCTGGGTGGTTGCAATCGCTCTTCCCGAAGGACATATCGTCCTGGCGCCTGTACAAGACTGGTGACTTGGTCCGATACGACATATCAGATGGTACTTTGCGATACGAGGGCCGCAAAGACCGGCAGATTAAGGTACGTGGGCAGCGCGTGGAGCTCGAGGATATCGAGTATCATACGGCCCAATGCTTTCCTGGTGCAGCAGACGTGGTTGTCGAGCAGATCATGCTGCCTCAGGATCCAGAAACAGCTCCAGGTGCTGAGTCCTCAGTGCACCCTCGAATCGTCGCCTGTGTCCATGGAAAACACCTCTCTGAGCAGTCAACGTCGGATTCGTCGCTAGAGCGTGACTTGTTAACCACCCCAAGCCGTGAATTCGACGACGATGCAGCGATCGCCGTGCAACGGCTTCGAGACGTTCTCCCTAGCTTCATGGTCCCCGATCTGTTCTTACCTATGGTTTGTGTCCCACGCCAAAAGTCAGGCAAGACAGATCGTCGACGTTTGCGAGAGGCAATAGTAGCACTCCGCTCCAAGGGTCGCACATCCGCATCGTCCACGACAAAACCAAGCAAGGGATCACCTCTAACTGCCACTGAAAAGAAGTTCCAGGCAATTCTAAGCCAGCTTCTCAAGATTCCTCTGCACAATATCGGGGCCGATGACAGCCTCTTCCACCTCGGCGGCGATTCGATCATCGCTATGAAGATTGCGGCCCATGCCCAGGCTAGCGGCCTTGATATCACCCCTCATAAGGTCCTTCGAGATCCTACTATTCGGGGCTGGGCCTGTGCCGTAGATGGAACGCATCCCCCAACCTCTGTTTCACACAAGAGCACGACTATATCCCTCGTTGCAGACTCTGATTTGGCAGAAGTCCAGCGAGTATACTTCAACAAAGCGCCTCCCTTCAGTCACGACAACGTCCAGAGCGTTCTGCCTGTACTAGATAGTCAATCTTACTATCTAGATTCCTCGTCTATAGTGAACTTCGCAGAACTGTTCCCAACGTCTCTTGATACCAATCGTCTGCGGAAGGCCTGTAGCACCGTGGTATCCCAATACAGCATTTTGCGGACGGTCTTTGTCACTGTGGACCACCAATTCTTCCAGGTGATCCTACGGAGCCTTGAGCCAGAGTTCACAGAACTGGAAGTTGAGGACCCAGAGGCATACTTACAGTTGGAAACGAAGCGACAAGCGACTCCGTCTACGCCACTCGGGACTGTCCCTGTAAGCTTCTCCGTACTGACGAGCACATCCTCCACAAAATACGCCTTTATTGCGCGGATCTCCCATGCTCAGTACGACGGCGCCTGCCTTCCAATCCTCTGGAATGCGATCAAGTCTGCGTACAACGGGGAGCCACTACCCGCTGCCACTGAATTAACCGACATTGTTCACCACCGGCTAGGGAACGAGCATCCTCGCAGTATATCATTTTGGAGTGACTACCTCCGCGGGGCTTCCCCCACTGCTCTCGATCCACTGTGTATTACGTCGCTATCCGATCCATCTGGAGACACTATGTCGCCTACTACCGCCCGGAGAGAGATACGCCGGCCAGTGCCTATGGCCGGAGCAACGGTCGCGACGCTGATCAAGGCAGCTTTAGCGTGGCTTTTTGCACGATACCAATCGCAATACGATATAATCCTTGGCCAGGTTGTCCATGGGCGCGGGTCTGACCTTCCGAACATTGACAAGGTCTTTGGACCGTGCCTCACATTCCTACCAATTCGCGTGACTATCGATCCTAGCTGGACGGTATCCGATCTCTTGCGCCACACTCAAGCCCAGCAAGTTGCAACAGTGCCACACGATACAGTAGCCCTCCGGGATATCGTTCGGCAATGCACTGACTGGCCTGAAAATGCCAAGTTCGGATGCCTTGTGCATCATCAACCCCTTCAATCCGCAAATCAGCCGTTGGAGCTAGGCGGCCTGAGTTCATATTCGAATATCACCTGGGCCAGCTCTCGGCCGCCGGCTGGCCAGATCGATGTGATCTCGATTGAGCGCCACGACTCTCTTGATCTGGTCATCGCTAGTCCTGCAAATGTCCTCGATCAGACTCGCGTCGAGTGGATGGCGGATCGGTTATCAGATGCCATTGAACTCTTCTGCCAGTTTCCTGATAGTCACTTGACTGAGATTGAACCGGACAGGGTAGACTCCATGAACGTGAGCATGGAGTTGCCTCCGTCGCTTCCTAGTCTATTGTCATCAGCAGAGTGAGGATAATAGCAGGACTGGAAACGTAATTAAGGATGCCAAGACAAATGTCGTGGTCATGTTCAAGAAGTACTTTGAAGTTTGGCTCATTGACTCATGGTGGAAATATCAAAACCTACTAGTGTTGTGGGATTTATAGCAATTGGCAGGCATGTGCGGATTCTGAGAGAACTTCGACGCGGACTTACCGCCAGCACAGTAATGTATAATTAGTACTAGTTATATTTCGTCTGCACTATATGTACAATCAGATGAATTCAAATTTCCAAAGCGATTTATACTTTTCTGCTTTACAGCCGTGGCAAACTATTGCGGCTAGCTACTATGTGTAGACATGTATATTAATCCAATACCCCCTATGATTCACACTATGTGCAAATGGGCCTCTGCCTTTTCTCGGAATGGCCCTCAACCACGGAGAGGAACTCTATATGCATAAATTCTAACTTCCAGACGTGGGGACTCGTCTTCGGGAAGCAGTGCTATGGTTCAATCTCGTGAGGATGAACGAGTTGAAGTCCTGCATCTATAACCAGCAGCTCAGTCTTCTATTGCCTAGCCTGCGGTCTAGCTGCTTTTGTTATACGTTATCTACCTGACTAGCGGCAGATTAGTGTTTCAGTTCTTTGACACGGTCCAGCTTCTATGGTCAACATGTGAAGCTTCCAATCCATTAGCGTTCTGATCGCCACGCCCAGACATCTCAACCTGTATCTACGCCAGAGGTGCATGTGACGGCGACCACCGAGGCAAATATGGAAGGTTGAGAATCATGATTCTGGGTAACACATGGAAGTTAGGATATTTTATGTCATTGACTTCGGGTTGAGTTCAACCAAGGTCGTCAACTGTTTCGAATGTTCCTAGGGCTGACTCAGGCAACATGCCACCCGTTCCCAACAATTTAGCCCCAACGTCTTCTATGACAACATTTGGTAGAGATTCACTCACTTTATTTCTTTATGGATTAATTGTTGAGCGGACATTTGAAAGGAGCTTGAATCATACCACTTGAAATATGTAGATTGTATTCATATACATAGTAGCCAACTGCTGGTGTCGGATTACACTCTCGCTGAGTATAACTTCGTTCTTCGCTCATGGTATGATAGACCATCATACGATATTATAGGCTATCATACATGACCTCGAATGCCAAAGAGCCCAAGATGGCGCTCGACGCAAAATCACCAGCAGCGACTCCTCTAAACGATGGCACTACAGACTACGTCCCTCTGAGAAAAAAGTACAACTCCAAAGAGCCGCATATCACTGAACAACCCATCACTTGGGCCAACTGGTATAAGCATATCAACTGGTTGAACTGTTTTTTTATCCTCTTCATTCCCTTCCTTGGCTGTGTCGGGGCATACTGGACACCTCTTCAGCTCTATACGGGCATCTTCACCGTTGTATACTACTTCAACGCAGCCCTTGGCATTACAGCCGGTATGATTCCCTTCCCTCGAGCTCTCATCTATTGTCTGACTAGTGATAGGATACCACCGCTTCTGGGCCCACCGATGCTACAAGGCCACTCTCCCATTAAGGATCTACCTAGCCGCCGCAGGAGCCGGTGCAGGACAAGGCTCGATCCGATGGTGGTCGCGAGGCCACCGTTCCCACCACCGGTACACCGATACAGAGAAGGACCCATACTCGGCCCAAAAGGGCTTCTGGTATTCGCATATCGGTTGGATGGTGCTGAAGCAGAACCCGAAGCGAATCGGTCGCACAGACGTCACGGATCTCGACGCCGATGCCGTCGTCGTGTGGCAGCATACCAACTATATCAAGTCGGCTCTGTTCATGTGTCTCGTGTTCCCGACTTTGGTCTGTGGCCTGGGCTGGGGCGACTGGCTTGGCGGATTCGTCTACGGTGGCATCCTGCGCGTGTTCTTCATTCAACAGGCCACCTTCTGCGTCAATTCGCTTGCCCATTGGATCGGCGAACAACCCTTCGATGATCGCAATTCCCCCAGAGACCACGTTATAACCGCCTTCGTTACTCTCGGTGAGGGATACCATAACTTCCATCACGAGTTCCCGTCGGACTACCGTAACGCCATCGAATGGTGGCAGTACGACCCCACAAAATGGTCCATCTGGGTCTGGAAGCAGCTCGGCCTCGCCTACGACCTCAAACAGTTCCGCCAGAATGAAATCGAGAAAGGTCGCATCCAACAGCTGCAGAAGAAGCTCGATCAAAAGCGCTCTACTCTCGACTGGGGCATTCCCCTCGACCAGCTCCCCGTCATGGATTGGGATGACTTCGTCACCGAAGCCAAGAATGGTAGAGCCCTTGTTACTATCGGAGGCGTGATTCATGATATCACGAGTTTTATCAAGGAGCATCCGGGCGGCAAGGCATTCATCTCGTCGGCCGTTGGCAAAGACGCTACAGCTATCTTCAACGGTGGTGTCTATAACCATTCCAATGCCGCTCATAACTTGCTGTCTACCATGAGGGTCGCGGTTCTTCGTGGCGGGTGCGAGGTGGAAATCTGGAAGCGTTCCTTACCGGATGGTAAGTCGCCGATGCTGACGGATTCGACGGGTCAGCGCATCGTGCGGGCTGGAGATCAGGTTACCAGGACTGCGCAACCAGTGCCTATGCTGAGTACTGAGGCCAGATAAGGCGGAAGTTTTGTTTCTCTATTTCAATTCTGAGAATGCTGCATGAATAGTATGACTAATAAATTTATACCCTACTCCATTGCAATTACATATATTCCACGTATATGCTTGTATCGTCTAAATCTGGACGACCTACTTCGTACTCTTTGTAGAGAACCGGGTCAGAGGCAATTGGGAGGATAAATTGTGTGCCAAGGCCAAGCATGAAAGGGAAAATAGTCCGGGGTATTTGAACAGCATAGCCAATGAAGCATGCCCCATAATTTAGTGGATACCAGCCAGCAGACCGTCTATCAAAGGGGTTCGCCGGGTCTGACGGTGGATTAGTATTTACCGAATGACCTACCTAGTGCCGAGGAATGATTACCACCAATATGCTCCGTAGTCGTTGTCGAGCTGGCTAGTACTCGAGGGATCCACCAGTAGTAACTGGTTTAATTTAGCACTGTTACCTCGCACGGCCGTTCCTCTCCGGAAAATCGCCGAACATCTGGTGTTTGGTCACGTAGGGCCCATTTTAGCGCTCTCGGAAATGACGGTGGGGCTTGAGCTTGGGTATAGATATCGGATGTCCACGGAGGTCCCTCGAAATCCCTGCTTCAGCGCTCTAAATTAGTGCGTACATTCGACCTAGTTCAAAGCGTTGCCTGACTAGGTAACTATTAGGGTCTGAAATTTATTTCCCTGTTGGTATTTCCTAAGCGAAGACAATACTAGTAACCACTATCACACTAGACGCTATGGTCCAGTTCCAATGCTACACTGCTAGTGCTAGAGACGACATAAGTGCCTGCTAGCATCGGGTGTATGACTAGAATGAGTCGGGCAATACACTTGTAATCGCTATGCTTCGTGCAGTAGCAAACCCTATGAACCACTCATGGAGTGGTCCTGAGAATCGTTCCATTCTTAGGGCTCCATCGACCTGGCCCGCCAATCGTCGGCTAAGCTTTCTTGCCAAGTAGTGAGTTCCTTCGCTCATTAATGCGCCGATTCAATATTTGACAGGTCGCCCCCATGTTACATCCACTAAATTGCTTGCTCGTGGTGGCACTACTCAGTGACTCATATACCATAGTACACATTAGTTATGTATCATTGCAGTACTTAGCCGAAATTATAGTCTCCTGGTCCAGTCGATGGTCTCCTCAACCTCAATAGTGGAGAAAACTGCCCTTAGGCACATCCTCTCGCATTAGGAGCCGACTAGCATGAATGAGGCAGGATGATAGTGCAGTCCGACAATGGTATCTTTTGATGCAGGGGCGCTTCAACTCTAGCGTTGCCTACCTCCACCCAATTCACACGTCGAGTTCTTTTAAGTCTTTTTCGTCCCTGTGGCATGGGCTGTGTTGTGTGAGGTATTTCCACTCATTTTCTCTCGTCCCGACGGATTTTCTGCCTTTATTGTCCCTCTTTAGTATTGCTTGGAATATAACGAAGGCTTTATATCGAGTTCGCTTATACTCACTTAAAATGAGATTTTCCACGCTGACGGGTGTCTCCCTGATGTCAGGGTCCGCCTTGGCCAGTATCCCACATATCGAGATCAAGGCAAGCCGAGCAATGCCCCTCCAGATACATGCTTTACTAACCATACTACTGGACAGGGCTCCAAGTTTTTCTACTCCAATAACGGAACTGAATTGTGAGAGCCACTTTTCCTTCTGTAGGCATTCAAACACTGACACAGCAGCCTAGTTACATCCGAGGTGTGGCCTATCAGGGTATGTTTACCATCATATCTTACCGCAATCATTTTCGATCTAATCCATGTTTGTAGAGGATTACACTGGTGGCGGAGCTGGTGGAAATGGTCAATCCAGCAACCGCTACGTCGACCCTTTGGCGGATGCGTCCAAATGCGAGCGTGATATCCCCTATCTTCAGCAACTGCGGACGAACGTCATCCGGACCTACGCAGTCGACCCGGGCCAGAATCATGACGACTGCATGCAAAAGCTGACCGACGCAGGCATCTATGTCATCACCGATCTAGCGTCCCCCGATGAGTCTATCACGTCCGATTCCCCCGAGTGGACAGTCGACCAGTACACTCGCTACACTAGTGTCATTGATGCATTCCACCAGTATGACAATGTCATTGGTTTCTTCGCCGGAAACGAGGTAGTCAACAGGGCAAACGAGTCCACTGGCGCTGCCTTCGTCAAAGCTGCTGCAAGAGATATGAAAGCCTATATCAAGGACCAGGGGTACCGGGAATCTCTCGGTATCGGATATGCGACCACCGACAATCCAGACATTCGTGTGCCGATCTCTGATTACCTCAACTGCGGCGACAAGTCTGAGTCCGTCGATTTCTTCGGCTACAATATCTATGAGTGGTGCGGTGATAAAACCTTCCAAACCTCGGGATATGAAAACCGAACGAATGAATACAAAGACTATTCCATTCCCATCTTCTTCTCTGAATATGGATGCAACGATGAGAAGCCCCGCAAGTTCAGCGATGTTCCTGTGCTCTTCGGTCCCCAGATGGAGGATGTCTGGAGCGGCGGTATCGTCTACATGTACTTCGAAACGGAAAACGACTACGGTTTAGTCTCAGTCGATGGCAAGTCTATCAAGACTGAAGCAGACTTCGGATCCTACTCCAAGCAAATCCAGTCTGCCACACCCACCGGCATCAACAGCGCCAGCTACTCCCCCACCAACTCCCCCCGCGCCTGTCCCACCGTCGATGACATGTGGCTCGCCAAGTCGAGCCCCCTTCCCCCATCTCCAAACAAGGACCTCTGCTCTTGTATGGTGTCCAGCTTGTCTTGCGTGGTCAGTGACTCCGTCAAGGCAGAACAATACGGCGAGCTTTTCGGTCAAGTCTGCGGGTATGGCCAGGGTATCTGTGACGGCATCTCTCACAACGCTACGACTGGTGGCTATGGTTCCTACAGCGTCTGTTCGAGCAAGGACCAGTTGTCCTTCGTCCTTGATCAGTATTATAAAGACCAGGGTAAGCGCAAGTCCGCCTGTGATTTCGACGGTGCAGCGTCGATTCAGTCTGCCAAGGATCTGTCTGGCACCTGCAAGTCTTTGGTCAGCCAGGCGGGGTCTGCGGGCACAGGCAAGGTGACTTCTCGTCCTACCGGTGATGGCAGCGCAGCTAGTACCTCTACTTCTGAGGGCGCAGCTGCCGGTGTTGTGAGCCCTGTTGCTGTTCGGGTGAGTGGTTGGTTCGGTGTGGCGTACTTTGTTGCGGCGGCGGCGGCTGGTTTCCTGATGGTCTCTCTGTAGACTCAGTGTATTTGAACATATCTTGTGTATGGTATAGGGTATATAGCTTTAAGGTGAAGGACAATTGTTGGCTTCACCTTGCTGCGAAACGGACTTTCTCTATTTGGTATAGTTTTCTTTGTTATATAGCACATTCTTCTTGCAAGCGGTGTGTGCTATAGCCCCCTGTAACTCGAAGGGATCACAACTCGAACACCACAGAAGGCAGTCATCATAGCCTGGTCTACATAGGAGAGCGATATACCGTAAATACTGCTCGGGTCACCTGCGATCACATCTACCTTTCTTCAGATCATACGGATCTACCAGAATTGCCAAGCGTCAGGTCCTTGTACATCCCTGTCTTCGAACGGTATCTGTACCCCTCAGTGATCAGTTGGATTATCTCTTCATTACCTAGGTTAGAAAGACTGACACTGAAGCTGAACGCCCCCGCTCCGAAGAACAACGAGTTACAGGAGTATCGACTAGCTAAGTCTCCAACGTTCCTCAAGGGTATAGCTCACTAACTATTCAGCCCTCGCCAAAGCACTGGACTCACCGTCCCTAAGCAACCTCAAGAATCTATATATCTCCTTCGAAGAGAGCATTCCCCTCAACCACAGCTATCAATCCCAGGCCGAAGATCCAGTCTACCCAGATGGAGATGCGTTAAATCTCTCCCTCAGAAAGCTAGCAGAAACCGCCCCCTTGGAAAGTCTAATACTCACAGGATGGTGGCCAATTTCTCCTGCACTCTTCAATGGAACGGCACCATTCCCCTATTTACAGGATCTTCAAATCGATGCAGCGATGCTAACCTACGATGGTCGATGGTATTATACGGGCGATCCCGATTCTGTGGATCCTCAATTTCAATTCGACACTGACGGAGACGAAAGTTCTGGTTCGGACCTATATCTATCGTTCCGGAAGATACTGAAGCGGTCGATGGGCAGGGAGAAGCCGATCTTTCTGACGAGGCATCTCAGCACCTGTGGTCAACATTAGGGTCAACATAAAAAGACAAGTTACGTGTATAGATTCCATGACAGACTCGAAATGCACAGGCAAGAAAGACACAGCAACGCAGCCAACCAAGTTCAGAGAATAGACCATCAAAAACCATATTTATCCATGATTGCTCTAAAGGAATGATCCTGCAGAAGCTCTGCTGCGGTCGGACGTTTCTCAGGACAATAATTAAACACCTTAGACATAATAGAGTGCGCATGTTCTCGCTCAACCGGATCGGCGTTGGGATGATAGTACGCAATAGTTCGTGCAAAGTCATAATTTGGATAGGGCATTTGATACTGGTCATACCAGGAATCAAGCCCTCCAGGATGATTGGAAAGCCCCTTCCATTGCTCAGGTAGCGGACCTAAACACCTGACCATACCAGTTATTACTCCACCCTCAAGCCAGGTGGCGAAAGGCGGATGGCCAAGGTAAAGCTCTGTGAAGATGGTCATGTAACTCCACATATCGCAGGCAAAGCTTGGTTCTTTCTTATGAAGTCGGTCTGGGGAGCAGAACTGCATTGGCGGATACCCAGGTTGAAATGTGGGATCGCCCAGCTGCATCGCCAGACCAAAATCTCCAAGATAGAAGTCATCGGTCCGTAAGGCCTCCGGGATTTGCATAGGCTGAACAAGCTCTCCCTGCTTCCAGAGGTCCACAAATGGTATAACTTCCTTAAGCGGCCGGCCAAGTGTTTCATATTTAGCTCTTCTATTGAGGGTAGGTAGAGGAGCCATCCCCCACGTACAGTTCCTGTCGTTTAGATCTGTCGAATATGCATTAGAATGCGAATCAACAGGAAAGTGGAAGACAGAGTTCACTCACCACGGTGTACAATGCCTGCGTTATGTAGATTTTCCAAGGCCCCTAGCAATTGCCGTGCAGCGGACATACGACTGGTCATGGACATTGTTCTCAGGATGGCAGGGCAGAGACATGGGCCCATCAAGGGTAATACTAGGACCCTATGATGACACTTCTCACCAGGCAGCTGAAAGGTCGATAAGCACGTCACAAGATGGGAGGCATCCTGCACATTCTGGATGATTATGTCTTGCATCTGGATTTCATTCTCCCCATATTCTCCCGAAGACGTAACCTTGAGGGCTACGTCCCTATCGCTCTGAAGGTCACGGGCCATCCAGACAGTAGAGAAGCCTCCATGGTCGAGTTTATGCTCTACCAGATACCTTTCATTAAGCACTTCTCCAAGATAAACTGGATAGAAGACACGTTAAGCTTCCTTTATACTGTACTTCTGCCAGGGCTCGGCAACCTCTTCGAGATCAACCTCCTCGTCTTCAGTGCACACAAAGTCGCCGAAGTCTTCTATTCCGTCGTCCTTTGCATCCGGGAGTGCTGCTGGCACGCTACTCGGGGGTGTTCCGATGCCAGCCATTTGTGATAAGCATGTATTATTGCCAGGAAGGGCGGTGATGTACTGATTTGGGGAGCAAAGGCGGGGGTATCATCACGCCCAGGCTTGTTGGTCATAAAGGCCGCACGAACACTACAGCTTTCATGAGAGAAGAGGTTGATGTGAAAAGGCCTTGTCCCAAGTACATATATGTACTCCGTGCTAAAGTAGTTCTATTAACTTTCTTTTGTGTCAGAAGCTAGGTGGAGTGGCTGGGAAGTACAGACAGTGTCAAGTTGGGCAACAACAAAGCGTTTGGAGAGCTACTATTCTGTATTCCCGAATTGGATATCCCTGTCTGGATCATAGGGGCGAGTTCTTATCGAAAATTGGCTTTAAAAACATGGGCGGGTGTGGGCTTCGTAAGGTCCAAAAGATGCTAAAAGTTGATGCAATGCTTGGTGGAACAACGAAAGTGGTTTGATCAAAGCGTTTTGGCTTATGTAGCGTAAGATGAATGCACAATTCAACAATCATCCGATGTGGTGTAATGGCTAACATCGCTGTCTCTCACACAGCAGCTCGGGGTTCGATTCCCCGCATCGGAAGCATTTCTTTTTGTTTTTTCTCGTCCAGCCTCCGTCGTTCCATTTTAAGGCTGGTCTGGTCTTCCATTCCATTTTCTTTTTCAACACATTGTCGCTATGCTATACTGCCAAATACATCCTCATATCATGGTTTCTAACAATTTCTACAATTACATCGGCAGATGAGTACAGTCTCCACACAGCAAGTCAGAAAGAAAGAATCTCACTCCATCACAAAGTCCCACAGTGCCTCATCACGAACCCAACAAATCGACACACGAAGGGAGGAAATAAAAAAAAAATATAGACACAAAAATCTTCTACCGTGTCTTTCAGCCCTATACAGGTATCCTACTGCGCCATTACACCAAAAATAAAGAAAATGATTGTACCAAGTCCAGTTGCACAATCAATATTCTAGGAGATCAACTACGTCAATGTGGAAATTGTACTTTGGTTTATTATAGTGAGGCATCTTTCAAGTTACAATGGGCTTGTAACTCAGTGGTAGAGTGCTCGCTTCGCATGCGAGAAGTCGAGGGTTCAATTCCCTTCAAGTCCAGTTTCTTTATTTTTTGGCTTTCCTGCGGAACTTTGGTTTTTGGTTCATGTGTGTGACTGCAGATGTTGTGGTGTTACATTATTTTTTTTTTTTTTTAAAAAGGGCATGTCTGGTTATTTTCTATTGTGCTGTTATTGTTGTTTCCTATATTTATGTGACTCGTTGGGTGATATTTTTTTGATGAGCAGTGTCGTGGTTATATATTTCTTGAGGTTAGGTCTTCTATAATGGTACCATATTCACTCACCCCTTGCGTCTTTCTGTTTCCTTCCTCTTTCTCATTTTTCTTTTTTTGTTTGTTTGGTAGCGACCTGACTAACAAAAGCATCAAAATATGGTTCATATAAGGTCTCTTTTGGTTATTATTCTCACTTGTTCTGCTTTCTAACTCTAGGGTCCTACAATAACCCCCACTGTAACCTGTCTTCCCTCATGTGTCCCAGCTTAGCCACATTCTATGAATAACCCCACAGACCTAGACTGCGTACAACCGCAGCGCAAGAGACGATAACAATTAACATTATTAGTAAATTATGATATATTAGCAAAGCGCGAAGATCCCAGAAAGCCACCCTTATAATCGCAAACTCATGTCCATGATATCCGCCCAACCTATTACATGGCGCAATAACCAAAATAATAACACCGAAAAAATCTATTGAGCTTGGTAGACTTTGAAACTTTTGAATTCCCAGTAAGCCTCTGTAAAGGCCGATGGGTTCGTTGCAACAAAACTGTTGCACGTGCCCGGACACTGAGATTGTTCTGTGTAGAACTGCTTTTGAGCGCCAAGTTCACCGCACAGGTCGATGTTAGCAATGATGCTTTGGTTGCGGAAATGCGACGGGATGTCACAGTCCGTATTGGGGAAGTCAGCCAATGCAGTACCCCAGGTGGATGGGTCTGGGGAGCTGTTGGAATTGGTGATATCGTCTGGGATAGAGTCCCGTGGGAACATCCAGGCACGGATGCCGGCATCTCGCAGTTCCAGGGCGTATACCTAGGCTGTGTTAGGTGGTTTCGTGGGAGTATGGAGACTCTTGGACTTACACCGCCGCCATTGTTGTTAAAAGGCTCACCGTAGCTTTCTGGCGATCCCTGGACACCACACCCTGCGTTCCCGTTGGTGCTGTTGTCGCAGGTTGTATACACTGTGCCACCGGTCTGCTTTCGTCTGACCTTCATATTGCAGCCCCTCGTCGTGTGCAATGTAACAGCATTGCCTTCAGGCGCATTGTTGGTCGTCTCCAGGACATCGATTTCTCCGTTCACCGGCCAATTGGTAGTATCGGTCAACCACAATGCCGGCCACGTGCCACAACCATAGGGCGTATGAAGAATATCAAAGAGGAACAGACCGTTATCATAGCCGGCCTTGGACTCCAGCCGCACAGACTGTCGGCCATTAACCGCATTCTGATTCGAGGTATCCACCCGCAACACAACGGATGAATCCGTAGCATAAGTGAGATTCAGCGCATTTGCCGCCGCTCGATCTACATATCTAAACGTTACGAATGAGTATAAAACCCTAGATAGCATAGAACGGTGAGACGGGCGCATACTGGACAAACCCTTTAGTCGGGTCCTCATCATGGTAATAGTCAAAGCGATCGAGAAAAGATGTTCCCGAGTACGTATCTACCAGTTGGTAGTTGAGTGGCGTATAGTCCGGATAGCGATTTGCCTTTGTGCCCTCGACGGCTCCCACAATGACAGCCACGACAACTGCAACGCCTACGACGCCCGCAATCAGCTTGGTGTGCAGCGACCACCCGCGTGGGTTGTACCACGGCTGGGCGGGTCCTGCCGGCGGAGGCGTATATTTAGCGTCCGGAGGGGGCCCCGCATGTTGGAAATCGTTGGCTTCGAGCTTGGGGAGGTGAGCTGTAGCTTCTCTGTATTGTGAGAAGCCATCTGCAGGGATATGATGTGTGCTGTCTGTCATACTGCAGTAGGTGGCTTTGTGACTGATCTGAATCAAGGGAGGGGATTAAAGATTGAAGTGTAGAGTCATGTGTCGAGTTCTGCAGATGGTGCCAACCAAGTCAATGAACTGGAAAGACAGGAATTCATGTGCTGAGCAAGAGAAGCTGTTGGGATGTTGTCATCCAGAATGCAGGAGGTGGAACGATGCCTCCGATCATGTCCTGTTCAGGAAATCCATGTGCTGCATGCAGTTGAAATTAATCAGACGTGGGGAACTGAGCAGAGCAAAACACGAGTGATTGGCAATGCAACGAATACCTCATCGGCGATTGCGTCAGACTCTCGGTAATTCATTCATTCTACATCAACATCGATGCTCGGCCATGTTTCAGTGGTTAACAATGATTACACGGCCAGCCATCATATTGACTGTTTGCATTTGTCCCTGAGGCACGCACGCTAAACCCAACGGAGCCATGGTTCCTGAGGCCGGTAAACAAAACAACCTCAATAAACAAATATGAATTAAAAATTTAATCCAAACTTTATACAGCCAGGTCAAAATTCGATACGACCCCTGGAACCATAGATTGACTGTTAGGCACAGGGTCCAAGCCAGGGACGAGGAAATAAGCACTGCCAAGACCAAGGAACAAGCAGGCGAAATGGCAATTAAGTGGAGCTGCCGTAATGAGGTGGATCATAGGCTGCTTACGGATTATACAGAGTAACCCTGGCTTTAATTTACGAGTTGCTCGTTTGGGCTGTGTTTTATCTATTTTCTATTTGTGAAATACTAGCTTCGTTGCTGATAGTAGCATACAAATTCAATAGACCTTGTCTGGATACCATTTATCCTTACTATGCCCTATACAGTGACTTGTTAATGATAGACCTCCACATGCTATCCCCTCCATATATAGCTAGAAGTTAAGTTGGCTTCTCGACTAGTAAACAAAGATATTACTATATATAAAGCCCATCCCAACCCTCAACCCTAGCACTCCTACCACATCAAATCCTATATACAAACCCAACAACTCCCCCAAGAAATGAAGGACAAAGAAAGCACTCTACTGCTTATAACAAGGCGTGCGATCCAGCGCCGTAAAAGGAGAAGCACACTTATACTTCCCGCCGGCATTGCAAGCAGTCCCCGGCATGCCATCATCGCTCGTCTTGCCGTCCGCGCGATGCGCATTCTTGCACACAGAGGGACAGTCAAGGTTTCCCTGTGTGACGTCCTGGATACGAGTTAGCACATCTCACGCTTACTCGCTCACGTACTCAAGGACTGAGTGCATTGCTTACAGAGTAGACGCAGCAGTGCGAGCCGTCTTCGAATTCGCATTGGCAGTATGTGCAGGCCTGCGCTGTGAGCGCGCTGGCGAGGAGGAGGAGACCGATGGAGAGGATGCGCATTTTAGATGAGGGTCTTAGATTGGTTTGGATGGGTGTGTGCTTTTTGGAGTTCGAGAGAGGAGGGTGAGTGAGTTTATATGGTGAGTGACTTTCCTAATTGGGTCAGGGGGATTGACCGGGTAGTATACGATGTTGGCGCTTATCTATTAGATTGTCTACAGTAGACTAGGATGAGTGTCCTGGCGGGGCAGATAAAGCAGAGCGCAATTTAGGAAGAACAATAGTGCCTCTCTCGGTACTCGGTTGGAAACTGTTCTGGATGGAGGAGGGAATGTGTAGGGTAACTTTGGTGACTAGATCCTTCGGACTCCACCCACGTGTTTAGGAGAGATATGGCCGTCTGCAGAAAACAGTGTAGGCTGGGTACTTTTGCCCAAGGAAGTCAGATCCGGTGCAATCAATCCAAAACCATAGTTCACCTGGGTGTCCAGAGACGTTAAAACTATACCTCCGAAGATTCACCGAAGACGTAGCTTGAGTTTAACGACTTCCTACCTGGTTTACATGCATATGTAAGGTATATTAGGTGTCACCACACCAGCTTCTAGTCTATCGACTCTGTTAGCACGTCCAGATAAACAGCCAGATTATCTCGGAGATATTGGCTATGTCAGTGGCGGCGGACAAGCGGTCTGATACGATCCCCGGTAGACTACGGTAGTGATCGACATCGACGCTAAGCATAGCTGAAGATGCTTGTCTGGGTAGCGTCGTTCCTGCGGGCGAAGGATTGGGCTTGTTTCCCTTTCAGGGAATGTAGGTTGCAGGATGGGTCGAGTGTCTTAGACATTGGGGATTTTCTTCCGACACCGCTGGCCAATGTGGGTTTGGAGTATCGCATGTTATTTTTTATGATATCTATTTTATGGAACTGATCATTGAACTCATGGTCAGGGTGAGGAAATAATAGCTTCTTGGAGATATTACCTAGTTACACAGTGAGTAAGAAAGCATTGTAGACACTCAGTCAGACATAAAAACGACACATTCACTACCAGACCTATACTGACTCCGTATATACCCAACCCACCCCCTAACGCCCCATCCCCTCGAACCATATTCTAAGACAAGCCTTCCACCCTCAAACGCAGCTCCACATGTTACCCGCCGTCCTACCGAAAAGCTTCGCCCGGAGATTCGCGTCTCCCGTACTTCCGGACGGCCAAGTCATGATCGTCCCTTCTTTCGGGGTAGAATGCTGAATACCGACAGCATGATCGTTCCGGTGATGGACCCGGGCCAGAAAGCTTGATCGTGCTGTTGGTGAACGACATAGTTGCTTGGGTGTTCTTTGACTGGCATGCTATTACGGAACTATAGTCTTTGAAGGCGTGTCAAATATGAATTTTCTGTACCGCTGGGATGGCTATTTCGAATGCCAAACAGACAGTCCAGGTTGTGAGTCGCCTGGATGTCTATATTCTATGGGTGGGTGGTTCAATAAGCCATATATACTCGGGCGGCTACTTATAATACAGGAAAAGATCGTTAGAAATCAGACACACAGCCTGCTGCGTGGCCTTCAATTGGGTATATACAGGATGAGAAAATTAGCCACCGAAATTGCCAGACAAAGCCACACTATACAGCCCAAGGGAGGAAAACATTGTAGACGCTCGAGCAATGATACGCTAAACGGCAGAGGCGACGCTCAAATACGAATATATCTCAATAACGGAAGGTCTAAAACACCAAAAGCAAATTTTACACCCAATCACAGAAGATTAAAACCATCGATGTGAGTATCACAATAAACGACAAGGAGCTTCCAAAAAAAAAAGTCTATTTGAAAAGTGAAAGTCCTACCGTTGAGATCTCTGTGATCGCCGGGTAGACTGGCGACGCAAGACAGGGCTCCCACTGAACCACGGCGTATTTTTGTCTCTGGGGTCTTGCCCGGTGGACATGCCGTTCTCCTGAGCCTGGGACAGCCGGTGATCCGTAGACATTTGGCTGAGACTAGAGGCACGGCGGCGCATTCGACGCTCTGCATCCGCAATTTCATGGTGGTTCAAAGCCTCGGATGGAAGCAAGATGGCACGGTCCAGTGAGTAGGGGAGGCCACGATGCCGACCACGGACTTGCATGGCGATGATAACCAACTTTGACAATGTTTGGAACTGACTCGCGAAAGATGCATTGACTCCTGGGTACCCCATGGACAAACCGACAGTGCCATAGGCGGAGACGACCTCGAAAAGAACCGACCAGATTTGAAACGAGTAATCGTCCTGGCGCTGCAGGCGTCCTCCTTCGACAATGGTGATGATAAATAAACCCAAGAACACGTACCACAAGTCGAAACTCAGCTGCCGCCGCAAGTGAGCTCCAATATAACTCGGCGCGGTCTGGTTCTCATCGTTGTCGTCATCATCTGCAGGGTAGACGCCGAGACTTTTCTCCTCGTACACATTGGTTCGACGAAGAGAGATGGCGATCGGGAAAACGGAGATATACATCATGATCATGTAGGATACCTGGACAGCGGGATGCAACTCTGCTATACTGACGACAGCAAAGCCGGCAGTACGCGTGCACGCGGCCTGGTAAAGGCCGTCTAAGATTTTGATACCGGTAGATAGAGAGGTGACAGCCGAATCGTTCAAGTCCAGAATAATGAAAAAGATCAAATCAATCCCGTTCAACGCCACCAGGATGGCGAATAACCACCAAGTAGCATTACGGGGGAAGAGAAGGGTGAAGCAGCGACGAGGATGATCTAAGAGAAACTTCAACTCTTCCCACAAGGGAGATTCTTTTCGCACAAGCTTGGACAATAGCCAAATGATCAATCGCAACATACAGGGAAAGCCTGTGTTACCGATGATGATGAGGAAGGCCAGCAGAAGCAGGGGAAAGACGGCTTCTTGGAACGAGCTCATCGAGTCAGGGGTGATGGAGAACCCCACGTCGTTGAAAGAGGATGCAGCCGTGAAGATCGCCCACCAAGGTCGTCCTTGCCCAATACTCGTGACAACCACACCCCAGCGAGTCGTCAGGATCCACGGCACCAAGCAGATAATCCCTAGAAGGTGGAAAAAGACATAGTACGAGATCAGCACGACCGCCAATGTTTTGAGTGCTCGATATTCGATGCCTCCTAGCTCATCCCGTTGCTCCTCGGTCAGATCAACGAACTGGGAATTCCGGCCGACCGTCGCATTCCAGCTCAGATAGGGAAGCGTATTCCGGTCTCTCTCCTGCGTCAGGGACCGAAACACGCCGGTGAACGTGGGTCTCCGGGTGGTGGTGCGGGCCAGAGGCGATGGATCGCTCAAGTCCGCCGTCTCGCGCACGGTAGGACGGGTGTCTAACCGGGGGAAGGTAGAATTCCTCGTCCGTGTCCGTATCATATCCGGCTCATTGATGGTAATATGCGGCCCCTCCATCGGCCCTACCTGGTCGTCCTCCTCCACATGGCGTGGGCTCGGTGGATCGTCGGATTGAGTACTGGTCTCGCCAATGGCTTCTGCCCCTCCACCCTCCTCTTCTTCCAGGACCTCGGGAACGCCACCACGGTCATACTCCCTCGGACTAGGTATCCTCAAGGCACCTTTGGACCTCCGTTGATTCTCCAAGAAGGCAATGTGATGTTCGGGGCTCAATTGGGCCGGAACCCGGAGACTCCCAAACTCTCGCCTCAAGTTGTTGTTGCCGTCGGTTTCTTGCTCGGAGGTATTGCCACTCTCATCTCTGGCACCCGACGAACTGGGTCTCGAGTCACTGTCGGAAGGTGTTTTGTAGATGGCGCCTGGTTGCTCACGGTCCCGGGGGCCTCCTTGATTATCGCGCAACACCACAATGGAGCGACCCCCGACGCCAGCCTCCTCCCGGCTGTGATTTTGGTTATCCTTGTCTTCGCTGATCGTCCGCATTCTGGATCGGGTTTGGCGCAAAGCTCGAGCATCACGAACCACATGCTGAAATCGCTTTTCAAACCAGTACAGTCGGACAAAGACTAGAACGGTGTTGATGAAAATGGGGGTCGTCAGCATGGAGACCCAGTAGAGGATGACCTGCTGGTATGTTTTCAGCAGGTTGAAGTCTATCGTGTTCAGCCCACTCTGCGTGGCGGCCCCCGCTGAGAAGAAGAGCGCATCGATATAAGCGAGGTCGTTTCCTGGGTAGATAATAATCGAGGTGATTATGGCCATCGCAATGATATAAATATAGTGTATCAAGATGTAGTTGAGGCGCAGGTTCCTTAATAGTGGCACTTGCGACTTGACCGAGGCTACCCCGCGAATGAAAGAGGAAAACATCTTGACGACTACGGCTGTACCACCGCTTGGTGATCCTGACGGGGGAACAGTCGTCCGTCTGAGAGTCACGAAATGGTCGGAGAATTCTCGCGTGGCAGATGCGCGGGAGGATTCTAGAAATTGGCTGTCGGAATGAAGATCAAAGGTTATCGCGCAATTCTGATGTAGTGTACCGAGTATGACAGCACGATGTCAGCTAGACGATCGACGGATCCAAATTCTCGTGGGAAAAGGTGTCGCAACCGCGAACATGCCGCAGAACCAACCCGTATTGTTAGCGTCTAGTTCTGGCGAGACGACATGCTAGCTGGAGGTATGTTGGCGTCAAGGGCATGGTTGAATGGGATTGATCATGCGATACGATATACCCTCCGTAAGCGGTGTCCGCGGGAGCCTTCACAAGAGATTCCGATGTGAAGGAATGTAGAAAGGGATATTCTTTGGAAGAATGTGAAAGAGTCCGGAATTTTATTTATTTATTGCTATTTTTTTTTTCGGGGCTGAAAAGAAAAAAATTAGGCCAGACACTAAGCTGCAGGAAAAGGCAGTGCTAAGGGAGATGAAAAGCGTTAGTTTGGGGGAAGCAAAAAAAGCAAACACGAAATAATCCCTCACTGGAGACAAATCGCCGCAATGGTTCTGCTAATCAACATCCGGACGTACTTTAATTTCTCTGCCTGCGGCTTGCAGAAGGAAGTGCGCAACCGGCCGCGCTTTTCTGTGGCCGTACCTCCTCGTGGCTCCACCCTTGCCAGACGCCACATCGGTAGATCGCTTACCCGGATTGGCTGTTTCGCCGAGCCTGAGTCCATCTTAACCTTAACCTGAAGGCGGTCGAAAGGTCTCCATCGTCCGGGTCCCCGGGTGCCATCCACTCTTGGCTTTTTCCCTTTTTTTTTTTTTTTTTTTTTTTTTTTTTTTCAACATTCGACATGACAGGGGTCAGTCACGTATCATCTATCTTCCTTATCTTCAGACCTGTCAACATACTTGGTCATCCAATTGCAGCCAGTAGAGGAACACACGTTTTAAATCCTCCGTTTCTATCGTTATCTCGTATGCGCCACAATTGTATCCAATTGATTCACAGTCATTGGCTGTGTTGGGTGGGCAAGCCACGTCAATACTATTACCTCACTAGTGGCAAGGAGGACTCCAGTACCGTACTCCGTAGTACTAGAAATACTAGTAGTAGTACTGAATCTACTGATACCTATTTGAGAATGTATGAAATAGTTTCCATTTTCTCTAGAATTTCGTCTCTGTCTTCCAGAAAAATCCGGAGAAGACCCACCGGTCTTGCTTTGGAATGTGATATACTAGTACTGCACTACATAGTGACTACATGGCTAGCTTAACGCTTCTATTCCCACGCTATCATGATCTCTATATAGGCTCTCTTCCTAGTATGTCCCCTCCTGTATCTCAGGTTTTTAGCTGGCATTATACATATATATTTATTTGATCCGACCCCTTTCACATTCTGAGACGACGAAAAGAAAGACAGCCGAAGTTGAGACAAAGAAGTCTAGTTCCATCGAATGTAAACCTGCCAAGGGCCTCGAACGTTGGTCCGACATGATCCCCGCTCACCTGACAAGCAACTAGTATTCTCGGTGCTACGACTGACACATGTCTCACACAGCACCCTGGATAGGTTTCTGGTATTGTAGGGAAATATATTTCGGGGGTTGCATTTGTACTAGTTAAATGTGAGACTTTGCCTGTGCCATGTCTGCATCCATTCCAATAATGCAAGAGTGTGAACTGAGGGCCTCTCTCCTTGCATGTCCTAGCTTGGGTATCTATCATACTATATAATCATGTCCCGCAGAAATCTCCATCTATAAACCCTGTCGCTAAACATTCATACAGAGCCACAGGTGGACCCTCAAAGATGACCACCCCAGATCAAAAACGAACCACAGTCCCATACTACTCAATGTCATACAAAACAGCAATAGCAAAACCCCGCCTAGTGACACCCATAGCAAACCGCACCTAGAACGGCCACGCATAATGCGAAATAGCCAAAGTCACGGCCCCAGCCTCCGGTAGATACAACTTCGTCCAACGCGGCCGCCATCCCTCGTCAAACGGCAACCGCTCCTCGCCAAAGATCGCCTGGATATACTCCTTCGGCACATGGTAGAGCCCCTTCCCGAAGACACCCATGATGCCGCCGACCTCCGCGCACGCGATGTAATGCATCCTCTTGTCCAGATCAAGCTCCGGGTTATCGCTCTTCGACTGCTCGAACCGCTTCTTGCGCAGTTTGCCCACATCCGAGATGGAAAAGGACGTCCCGTTTTCCGAAGAGGCGAGCAGTTGCTGATACAGGTCCGGGTTGAGGTGGACGTAATCGCCCAAAGCGCGGTCTTGTCGCGTAACGGAGACGTCGTGCTCGATGGCGTGGGGACGCCCCAGCTGGTCGAGGTTGAGCACGGGGTCCCCGTCTTCGTTAATTTGGCCCGCGTCGCGGAGCCCGAAATTGGCGGTCGTGCGTGGGCTGCCCGCGGGTGGGTCAACATGGTCTTGGAAGGCGATCTTCACGAGCCCGCCGGCGGTGTCAAAGCCAAGTCCGATGCGCTCCAGGGCGGCCTTGAGTTGGCTCCCGGTGATGTTCCGGCCGTCTCGCGCGATATAGCCGTGGTTTGCGAGGGAGTTGATGATTGGACATGGCGAGCGCAGGTCGTCTGCGCCGCCTCGGTGGTATTGCCCTTCGGAGAGGGTGTCGTTTTCGCTGGACATGTTGGAGTGTTGTGGGAGGTGAGGGTTGGTCATAGAAAAAGCGGCGGTGAAAAGAGAAAACCAGATTATGGGCTTCATGGTGGTTAGGCTGATGTTTATATACGCGCTGGTTTCATGTGCAGGGTGTTGATTGGAGCTCGTGTTCAGTGCAAATGATATCGGCGGCTGAATGGTTGGTCACATTCCACTCTCGCCCTGTCAGCTTTGCAGACCGTATTAGGTAAACGTGCATATTTCCAGGGTTGCTTATTGCCTCTTTTTTGTCTTTGGCTTTCGAACTCTTCTCGCTCTGGTTGCTCACGCATTTATGTACATACGGAAGGATACAGTTGGTATACAAATAAATTAATAAGCATGATCAGACATCTAAGGATTTGTTCCAGATTAGGAAGTCCTTTCGACCAGCTCCTCCAATAACTGGTTCACCTCATCTTCATTCTCCCACATCAGCACATGGCCACTGCCCTCATACACCTTCCACAGGATTCCTTTGCCAATCTCCTCATGTAGGATCTCCCCATGACGGAACGTAAGCATGCGGTCTTCCGTGCCGTGCAGAACAGCAATGCGCTCTCGCCCAACAGCATCCCCCAGCGCCTTCAGCTGCTGTGGAGACTTCTGATGAAAGTAGCACGCCACAATCTGCATCAGGAAGCCCTTCTTCGTAAAGTTATCGGGATCCTCCCGCTTCTTCAACTGGCCGGCCGCGAACCGGTCGCGCCTGGTCGGGAAGTTCTTCTTCGGATCCTCGTTCTCCGTATCGGGCTGGTCGAGGAAATCCCCGCCGAAAAGTGTGTAGCCCAGGCGCGCCAGCTCGACGTCCACATGCCGAGGGATGAACATGCTCGCGCGCTCGCGCAGGTTCTCCAGGAACGGGGCCGTGCGGACGAGTCGCGGGGCCGTACAGCATAGCGTGAGACTCGCCAGACGGTCGGGAATGAGCATGCCGACTTCCTGGGAGATCATGCCGCCCATACTGGCGCCGATGACATGGATCGATCGGGTGGCGGGGGCCGAGAGGTCGATCCAGCCCAGGTGACTCAGGAGATCGACGACATCTTGCGCCATCTCCGACGTGGAGTAGTAGTTCACTGGCTTGTCGGAGCGCCCGACACCGCGATTGTCAAAGACCAAACAGGTGTATTTGGCGGCGTTCTGGTGGCCGAAATACTTGGTCTGCCGCTTCCAATCGTCGTGTGAGGCGTTCAGCCCCATGATCCACTATGATTCATCTTTAGTGCTGATGTGCAGACAAGGGGAGGAATGTACACGAGCGGTGAAACGTACGACAAGCTTTGCAGGTCCAGTGCCGTGGATTTCATAGTACAGGTTCAAGGGGCCGCCGCGTCTGTTTTGCGCTACTGGACAGGTTCCTGAGGTGGTGGGAGAGAGATCCCACGCCACCGAATTATACGCAGGGTGCTCCACAATCTCCGCGGCAGTCAAGGGCGCCATGGCTACGATGTTGTTGAAGGTGTGCGAGGTGGTGATAGTAGAGGTCATGTGTGAGCGGTGGATATCACTTCAGTCTCACATGCCCGATAGTCTCGGCAGCGGAGCCCGAGGTTTGTCGGTGGGTCAAGTTTGCTTCTTGGTATTGCAGATTACCCTATAGCATTCCCTGAGATGTTCATTCTTTCTTCACTGACAAGAACAATGAACACTGACGATTTATGATGTCATTTTGCCTGAAATTCGCTTGTCCAGGCTAAACACCACCTCCGGATAATCCGGTAATAGTTAGGTATTCATTCTAAATATAGTTGAAAAGACAGGGGAGCCTGAGGTCACCATGCAAGGACCATCAAGTCACCTGCTGGGCTCATCTGAAATGGCGAGCTGAAAATGTGTTCTTGACTCATCACAACCACCTTCCTCGTTCCATGAACAACTCACCATCCAGACCGGAGTCCGTGCATTGACCCGATCGTGTTTCAGAATAGTGGGTATCAAATAATCCTATCCATGCATGGACAGATCGAACGGTCAACAATAGTACTTTGTGCCCTAAGCACCTGAGTGTTCACCTGCATACCGACTGTCTATAGAGGATGAATCAACTCTGATAAGACTCGGGGTGGTTATCCATGTGAAACGACCAACGTCCGACCCGAGCGCGAATCCTTGATTCAGACATCCATCATCTTCATACGGTAGGTTAAAGGCGAGATCGGGGCCTATTCTAGACCATCGACGGGCACGGTCTACGGAGTACACCTGCCTCGGATAACACAAAGGGAAATAGGAGTTGACGCTATGCACACACCGTCGCTCTCGGGCCTTGCTCAAAGCCACACTTCCATGGCAACGTGACTCGCGCTAGGGCTAAGCTATCAAAAAGAGCGAAGCAGCAGCATCTGTCCAATATCTTGAGCCATGCGCTCTCAACGATCCTCTCATTGGTGTTCACTAGCATGAAACGAAGAGGAGAATTCAGTCCAGTGAGAACCAACGTTGAGAACTGCGAACTACAGCTTGATGAAGAGCTTCTATTACATCACGAAGAACTACCAACCGAAATAAGCCCAGAATCTCAAGCTCAAACAAGACCGAAATACCAGGATAGCCACTACCCCAGAGTAAAGCAATCCAAAATACCATCGGCCCCGTGAAACCGAACCCGAAACCGAACCCGAAATAGTATACAGAGTGACCGCCCCTGACTACCCTTCAGGTCCCAAAGTGATCATGGCAGCGAAGACGACCAGATGCGTTAACATACGTTATCACTCCCGCTATACGGTCTTTCAGCACAAGAACCTGTCCAAGCAGTGAGACAGAGTAACTTACGCGTCTTGAACTCTCTATATGCTGGCGGAATAGATTCCCGACATATACAGGCTAGTTTGAAAGCAAGAAAACCCGAAAATCCATCCCTGTCATATGCATAGGTACAGTCATGACATCTGCCCCTTTCGAATCCGAATCCACTAGGGACGTATTAGCCAACGCGACCGCTCACAAAGTAAGGGAGATATAGTACCTATTCTCCGCAATCAAATCGCCGCTATCCTGGTCTCGCCACCCGAGACAATTGTTCAAGGACAGATTGGTCATCCGGAACTGGCCGTCCAGAGTACTGCAATTGCCTATCAGGAATGGCTCGGGTGTCGGCGGTCGAGTAGCGCGCCGTGCGGATCCGATCGGGGTCGACGAGTCCCTTTTGCCAGGCCAACCCGCAAAGGCAGCTGGCCGTGGTCGTAATGGGCACTCAAGGAATAAGGGCGAGCAACTGCGGTGCAGATTTATGGTTGCGAGTTGTGCTGGTTGTAGATTTGCCGGTGGTTGAGCAGCGGCTAGGGCTGCGAGGTACAGGACTATGAGGATCAGTCTAATACATTGCGCTGGACCGAGACGGAGGAAACTACAAGAGGAGAGAGAAGATTGGGGATTCTAGTGAACAGGATCTACCAGGGCCTTAGGGGGTTATTTATACAGCCAGCCGTTTGTGATATGTTGCACCATGGGCCAAAGCTATTAAGCTTCTACATATTCTTATATACGTCCTCTTCTTTATCAAACGGGCTAGGGCAACGGGCAACAATTGCTCTACATATATCATAAACGCATATTATAGCTCTATAACAAAATTGACGAAGTGATGGATAGACGGCGCAAGTAGTAACTCCTTATATACGGCGAAGATGCATGAAGTCTACATAGGGTTGATATACCCCAACTTCCTCGGAGAACCTCCTCCAACTAACCCCACCGGTCCAGATCCTCCTCCATCATGACTCCAACTTATATCAACACCTCTTCTTCGTCTACTACCTCTTCTTCTTCGTCACCTCCTTCTTCACGACTCCTCATTGCAAGATACTAATCATCGCACCAATCACCAATCCCCCGAAATGGCACCAATCCACCGCATAGCCGTAATCCAATGGCACATCAAAGTACCGAACCCCACCATCACGAAGAAAAGAAACCCTACATCTAACCTCCCAAGGACCTGGCCATGGACGAGAACCACCAAAAGGCATGCACCTACATCCGCGAAGCAGCCTCCCAAGGCGCCAAACTAGCCGTTCTCCCAGAGTACACTCCCCTCCCTTATTCAAACAACACCCTCCAAACCAACCCACCAAACTAACCAAAAGAAAACAAAAGATACCATCTAAACGCCTTCCCCCCAACAAACCCGCTCTACCTGCCGCAGACTGACTCCCAGATAACCACCAAATACCTCCAATCCTACCAAGCCCTCGCCAAGGAGCTCAACATCTGCATCGTCCCCGGCACTATCGTCGAAAACCACTCCCCCACCAGTACGACTACCAGTACCGATTCCACAGACCCCATCCTCTACAACACAGCCTACTTCATCTCCAACGACGGCAGTATCCTCGCCTCCTACCGGAAAAAGAACATCTGGCACCCGGAACGCCCCTACCTGACTTCTTCGGCGTCGGATCCGCACGTTGCCTTCGATACCCCCATCGGCAAGGTCGGGCTGCTTATCTGCTGGGACTTGGCCTTTCCGGAGGCGTTTAGGGAGTTGATCGCTGCTGGGGCGGAGATGATTGTTGTTCCTACGTTTTGTAAGTTCTCTCCCTCCCTCTCTCCCTCCCTCCCTCCCTCCCTCTCTCTCTCTCTCTCTCTCTGTGTGTGTGTGTGTGTGTGTGTGTGTGTATCTATTTGAGTATTGTGGTTGTCGGTTGTCGGGTTGTTTGGAGGCTGGGACTTGGTTAATGATAGGCCTTGACAGGGACGAAAAACGATGCCTCAACTGCGCTCCGGGCGAGGAATCCCGACTGCGAGAAGCTGTTTCTGGAGTCGGTGCTGACGGCGAGATGTTTTGAGAATACCTGTGGGGTTGTGTTTGCGAATGCGGCGGGGCAGACGGAGGGGGATGGGTTTTTGGGATTATCCAGGGTGACGATGCCGGGGGTCGGGGTTGTAGGGTCTCTGGGGTGGGAGGAAGGCGTTTGTGTGGTGGATGTTGATATGGGGTTGGCTCGCGATGCGGAGGAGAATTATCGGGTCAGGGAGGATCTGGGGAGGGAAGGGTGGTATTATTCTTATCGGCATCAGGGGAGGGATTAGATTTTATATAAATCTATGGTGGGACTCAGGTTATGAGAGTCGGACCTAAGGAAAGCTCTATTCGATTTTAGAACTGTATATACATATACTGTACAACCCACTAGACTAAACTGCTCTGTATTCTAAGAACGAACAACAATCATTAGGCAATACAAATTCGTGAGATGAATCTTGTCCACTTGACATCCGAGAATGGGCTCCGTGGGAAAAACGCTCGTATCAGGACATATAGCATAAGGCATGGGGCATAGCTGCGAGCAACGACAAAGTAATCCCTCCCAAAAGGCGAACCAGCTGAAGCGAGACCGACGAAAGACTGAAATCGTATCTAAAACCAGGATTCTCGAACACATCGGACACTATTCGAAAAGATTACTGGACTTGGCTGACAATCTCGCTGGCGCGGGACAGACTCTCCACCATCTGTTGGCACTCCTTGCGCCTCCGCACCGTGTAGTCGCTTTCCTTGAGGAGCTCGTCCAGTTCGCCGTTGCGGTACATGTTCTCGAGGAGTTCGCGCTGCATCTCATCCTTGGTGAATCTAGAAGACATTAGTCGGAGGGAGCTGGGATAGGGCACGGAGACACATACTGGACGAGCATGTACATAATGGCCTTCGGGACCATGTCGATCATGGTCCGCTTCACGATGTTAAAGTAAGACGTGATGAGAAGTTCTGCTTATCATTAGTGCTTGTTCCCGGTACGCCAGACACTACACATACTGATAACTTCAACTTCGGTGCTCTCGCGCTCGGACAAGGAGGCCGACGCCTTCAGGGTTGGCGGTGGGGGCTCCATGGCCGCCATCTTCTTCTTGTTCTTCGAAGCCCAGAAGCTGCCGAAGAAGCCAGAGCCGCTGCTGCTTTCCGCATTGCCGAGATCGACCGACGGGCTGTTCGACCGGGGAGGAGGAAGAGGTTTGCCCGTCTTTGGGTCAACCTGAGTAGGCTTACTGCCGGCTTGGCGCTCATTCACAATAGTCATGGCCTGCCCAAGTCAGTATCTAAGAACTAGCGCGCATAATCAAAAACAGATGGTATACGTACGCGGTGTCCGTTCAGGAAATCAGGGTGACCGGTGTTGATGTAGCACGCCTCCATGTTGATCAAGTCGCGAACAATCTTGTTGGTCGGCTCCATGCACTTCTTGAAGAAGCTGATGACCACGGCGTGGAACTTCTCCTTCAGCATGGGATACCTGCGGAACAACTGCTTGTTCAGGAGCTGTCCCAGGATGCGGACCAGTTCGTCATAGACCAAGGAGATACACTTCGTGCTGGGGTCCTCAAGCCTCTTGATCTGCTGCTTGACGATCAACTCGAAGGCAGTGGTTCCAACGAAAAGCGCAGGCGATGAACCCGAAGAGTTGTAGAGAATCGTCCGGATATCAATATCCTTGACCTGGTCGAAAGGATCCACTGCCTTGATACCGTTGGAGTAGAGTTCGTGGAACACGAAGCTGATACGAGCACCGCCGGACAATTCAATGCTGGACAGCTCCTGGTTATTACCCTCCAGCACCGTGCGATATTCATTGCTGAACTCTGTAATGATGTTCAGGATGATGTTAGCGCTATTGCCGAGCATGGAGTCTCCCAGCTGCGCAAGTTCGGCGGAGTACTTCTGAAGGGAGGACGAAATCCGCGCTTTGATATCGGGCAGGGTTTGTTTGATGTGCATCATAAGGATCTACGAACAGTTAGCAACCTGGATTGCCCCCATCCCCACCGGGCGAACGTACCAAGTTCAGCTTCCGCGCCAGATACGGCGTTCCACAGTACGAAGACTTGTTCCGATAGGCCTTGTGGCTCTCGAAGAAGTTCTTCTCATGCTCTAGGGCGTACGAGATGGGTCTCTTGTTCTCAATATCACGTTGACCTCGGTTGACCACTGGCACATAACCCAGGCGCAACGGGATAATCCTGCCCGCAAGAATATCCACGACGTCGGTTCCCTCGTCCATCAGATCGACCTTGGTCAAGACACCAATTGTACGCTGACCCTCCGGGTCGACTTCCCGTGCCAGCTTCAAACCATCGGAGTTGGCAAGATCTTGGTTGGCCGCGGTGACCGCAAGGATGATCGCGTTAGGTTTGCTGATGTACTTCAGAACCATATCCCTGATTTGCTTCTCAATGTCCTTGGGCTGGTCACCGACGGGGACCTTAGTCAAACCGGGCAAGTCGACCAGTGTGAGGGTCAGGACGTTGGGTGAGTAGATGCGGAGATTGATAGGCGCAGGGGAGATACCGGCATTGCGACCGACCTTCGACTCCGTTTCGCGCACAATCTCCTCGCGAATCTTGTTGAAATCGTAGAACTTCTGGCCGGGAATGTGCAGGAACTCTCCGTACTCATCCAGATTGGCGGCGCTATCCGTCGTATCCAACTTCTCCTCCTTAACTCCATTCGATTGAGCTGCGGGTTTGTTGATAAGCTGAAGAATGAGGGGTCTCCGAGTGACAATTCCGGACCCACGGGGGAGGCTAAGATGAGGTGAAGTCGTCAGTCACCTGCGTCGAATTCCCACCAGCACAGCAATAGTCACTTACAAATCCCGTCCGACAATATTCTCTAACACCGAACTCTTACCACTGGACTGTGAACCGACGACAGCAATCTGAGGCAAGTCGATGGGGTTGTGAACCTAAACAGAACAGGCGGTGTCAGTCGCGGCGAGGGGTTGAGAGAACAGAAGCGTCCTGAGAGCTTGATAATACGTACTCCGACTGTCGCGAAGACATCCTGGAGCTTATTGACCAGCGAGATCAAGCTCGGATCGTTGACATTTATTCTGTTTCCATCCGTCAGTCAATCCATACCGTCGGATATAGAGCACGAGGGGCCAGGGGCTGCGCACGAGGTCGGGCTTGCCATGGCTGGCAGCGAAGGCAAGAGACAGTCGCTCCAAAGGAAGAGGAAAATCTAAAGAGCGGAAAAAAAGGGGTAGAACAGAGAAGAATAAATATATTTGGGCAGGTAGACTGTATTATCCGACTTGCGGAGGTGGAAGTGGGAAGAGGAGAGAGCGGGAAGGTCGAGCGGCCAAGTGGTTGACTTTCGCTTGCGGTCCAGAATTCAATAAATCCAACGATAACCAGCGATAAGAACCGAAGTCCAGTTGTGTATACCCAACCACCCCACGTTTGGTCAGGGACAACAGATGTCTGGCGTTCAAAGTGAGTTTTAGGAGTGACTTTGCAACAGAAACTGTCCTTATTGTCAAGGTTATGACAGCGCAGAAAGCAGAGGTCAAAAAGAGGTCACGATACCCAATAAGAAGGCCGCGTCATGTGCTATTGGCCACCCAAAGGCGGCCAAACAATGCTGCCTAAGTGATGAAGAGGAACAACAGTTACGATCAGGCAATCGTTTCAGTGGCTGATGAATTCTCACAAAAGCTAAAACAGAAATAAACTGCACGAACTACAGAACATGGGAATTTGTTATGCTACAGGCAACCGAACAGTCCGGCCCGTCTGTCAACGTCCTCTCTATGTCCACCTACATCCATTTACTCATCCGACACCGACGCGAATCGCTCTGACATGGTCTGAAGAACCTTCTCGTACTGCAGTCGCTGAGTTAGCACCAATGTAGGTAGAACAAGGAAGATGACTACGAACCTTCTCTGAGACCTCTTGTTGGTTCTCCGGAACCTCGAACTTCATGCTCCGCAGGGCAGTCTGGATGTCGGCAGTGGCTTCGCGAACCTTGGACCAGTTTTGACCCTGAGCAATAGCCTTCTGCGCTTCATCGTGGTAGCCCATGAAGGCCTTCATCATATATTCTGTCTTCCACAGAGGGCAGAACTGATCGTAGTCACTGTATCCGTTTTGCTGAAGGAAATCATCCTTCACCATGGCAGCCACATCCAATGCGATCTTATCAGAATCACCCAGAGCGGCCTTACCGACCAGCTGCACGACCTGGTCGAGTTCTTCGGACTTGGTCAACAGCTCACGGATCTGGTCACGCAGGCGGGGGAAGTCGGGGTAGTCCTTCTCGTAGAACTTGTCCAAGACGGTCGTGTACTTGCTGTAGGACATCGAAGTGTTGACGGAAGGGAAATGCTTTCGCTGGGCCAGCTTCTTGTCGAGACCCCAGAACACCTGGACAATACCGAGGGTACTAGTAGTGACAGGATCCGAGAAATCACCACCAGGAGGACTGACGGCACCGACGATACTGACACTGCCGACTCTCTCGGGGCTTCCCAGAGCAACACTCTTTCCAGCACGTTCATAGAAGGAAGCAAGCTTGGCACCCAGGTAGGCGGGGAAACCCTGGTCTGCAGGCATCTCTCCCAGACGGCCGGAAAGTTCACGAAGCGCCTCGGCCCAACGAGAACTGGAATCGGCCATCATAGCCACGTTCTTACCCTGGTCACGGAAGTACTCCGCAATGGTGATACCGGTGTAAATGGAGGCCTCACGCGCGGCGACAGGCATGTTGGAAGTATTGGCGATCAGGCATGTACGCTTCATGATAGGCTCTTTGCGACCATCGATCTCGATCGAAAGCTTTAAGGGGCGATTATCAGATTAGCACCGAAGAAATCATGGCGGGAGCAGGTGAGGTAGAATCGCATACCTCGGGGAAGTCCATCAACACTTCAGCCATCTCGTTACCACGCTCACCACAACCAACGTAGACGATGATATCACTGTTGGAGAACTTGGACACGGACTGCGAAATGACAGTCTTACCACATCCAAAAGCACCCGGAATACAGACAGTACCACCCTGCACACTAGGGAACAGAGAGTCCAGCACTCTCTGGCCGACGATGAAGGGTGCGTCGGATGGAACCTTCTCGTTGACAGGTCTGGGCACACGAACAGGCCATGTCTGCATCATACCAAACTCGGTCTTCTTGCCGTCAAATTCGATCTCCAACAGCTTCTCCTCGACTGTGTAGCTTCCAGCCTCTGCGATCCGGGTAATGGTACCCCGAGCGCGGGGCGGGAGAAGGATTTTATGGTCGCTCATCAAGCTGTTCTCGAACACGGAACCCCAGACGTCACCTCCCGTGATGTGGTCGCCCACCTTGTATTGACCGGGCGTGAAGTCCCACTTCTTCTCGCGATCCAGCGCGTTCACAGTAATACCACGGGGGATGTAGATTCCTTTGGACTGGTGGTAGATCGCTTTCAGGGGGCGTTGGATACCGTCGTAGATCGTTTCCATCAAACCAGGACCCAGTTCCACCGCTAGGGGCTTACCCGTCCTCTCGACAGGGTCGCCGACCGTCACACCATCTGCGGAGTTGGAGCGATGTTAGACTGTCAATCCGAGTCAGGCGCAAAATGGATGCGAAAGCGTACCAGTTTCCTCGTAGACTTGAATGGTGGCCTTATCGCCATCGAGACGGATAACTTCACCGACGAGCTGATCTTTGCCGACACGACACTGGATTCAAGGGACAACTTTAGCACAATCGACAGCCAACTCCGATGAGGGAAGTACAACCCATCGCAAAAGTGAGACTAGGGTTCATGCCGATGGCGGGGTGGGACAACATACCAATTCGTACATGGCACAGCCGATCATGTTCTCGGCCACGACGACGGGACCGGAGACAGAGAAGACGGAGCCATGGTGGGCCTCAGCTTGAGGGCCCTTTCCGGAGGGGGCCATAATGCGAATAGCCGGAGGGTGAACAGATGAGGAGGAGGGAGAAGGATTGAAGGTGGTGGTAGGGGTCGGGAAGGAACTGGAGCTGGAGCTGGAGCTGGAAGACGGGGAAGTGGGTGAGTCGGGGAGCGGTGGCAGTTGGTCGATGCCCGTGGGCGGTGATGACGACGATAACAACAATGGTTGGTCACTCCCACCACCACTACTGCAGCTGGCCTCTATCAGATCCAGCAAGGAGGGCCGTGTTTTCAACCGACGCACGCCTAAGCCTAACATTCGGCGGTGCTGTGGTGTTACATGCAAGTGCCTGATGGAAGGGTGGGATTTATTTGACGATCGCCCAACTTCGTTAGCTCCGTCGGATCACTCGATGAGGAGCTGCGAAGAGTTCCTCAGCACCCCGTGTCTAGGCTCCATAAATGGATAGGTTACGGAGTACTCACTGGGTCTAGTGTGCTTTCAAGGACTGGTCATATGCACAGACACGGGCTCGAGTATTCATCAAGTGGACGGAACTTAAGTTGTTGGTCATAGTTTCTCTGTGGGTATTCTTCTGGCCGCCCAGAAACTATGCACGGGACGTAGAAATTACTATGCTGACGATTTCGCTAACAAAGGAACGGTATACAATAACTAACTTGATCTGGAGACCAGCTATAATTCGGAAACCTCAACTTCCGAGTGCTGACATAGCTATGATATCCAAGTACAGAGATGATCTGTGATCCGCAGATCTGTACTGGTCAACCTGTAACATATCGTGTATGTCCCTTGTAAAGCTTCCTGCTGGACAAAACAAAGTGCCGGCAAGCGGATCGAGGGTCCGTGGATCAACACCGGCTATCTTGTGGTTCAACGTCTTGATATACCGGGACACGTGAAGGCGGATCAGCGAGTAATGGGATAGGACCGCCATGGAGCATAGATGTGCGGGGAAGTGCAGCATCCGAGGCTTGCATTAGAGATCATGATTAAGAATACTTATTCAGGGATGACTGCTACCTCGAGGTGTCATTTATTTATAAAGTAGGTGCACCCCTCTATAAACAGACCGACATGCAGGCTGCTGCAGGTGTAACTGGTCTACCCATATTTACCTGAGTTGCCATCGGATTTGATACATATTGTGTGCTTCGCGAGGTTTCTTTAGCATCATTTCATCAGTGCTGGGTATCATCAATATGGCCGAACAGAGGAGCACGAATGCAAAGATTTACAAATGCTGGGGCTATACGTTCGAATGGATCGACGGTCTTCACTCTCCAGTGGAGCAGTTGCACTCCATCATGCTCAACTATGACAAACTTGTAGATGAGTGTCTAGATCGCCTGGATGAGATCTCACCCCCAGGAAGTGCCCGTGCAAAGAGCACAGGGAGCCCCGACGCTCGAACACCGAAGAGAGACCTCTACTCTCTGCTGGAGAAGCACGCAAAAGACGATCCAAAGCTCGACGAACTGTGGTCTGAGGTCAACACCGTCCCGGACTGGGTCGAGTGGGAGCAAATTAAACGGGGTCAAGAAGTGTTCTTCCGCTATGGAACACCGATTCTCAATGTAGTAAGTCGGTGCATGGTTCAACTGTTCTAGCGCGTAGTCCCACTCATGGAGTTCATAGCTCGGCTTTCAAAGCCTCCTCGGCGGAATGTTCGTCTCCTGAAAAAGGAATACCTGAGTTAGGACTGACATGCTAGTGTAGGGGTTCCCCCCGAGTTGTTGAGACCTTGGCCCGGACTGGAGGTTTCTCGGCGGACGTTGTACGGCGCAGGCTGCTGGAAACTCTACAGCACATCCTTCAGGTGTCCCTATCATTGGACTCGATAAAGCCTGGGGGTAAAGGTCATATCTCCTCCGTCCGGGTCCGGTTGTTACATGGATCGGTCCGTCGTAGGGTGCTGAGCCTTGTCAAATACAGACCCGAGTACTACGACATCAAGAAATACGGGATTCCCATTAACGACTTGGATTGCATTGGAACTATCCACACGTTCTCAACGAGTGTGGTCTTCCTTGGGCTTCCACGACAAGGTATCTTTTTGAGGAACCAGGAAATTGACGATTATATTGCCCTTTGGAGACTTGTCGCGTATTACATGGGCACACCAACCGAGTGCTTCGAGACAACGGCTCGGGCACGAGCGATGATGGAGTCGATCTCGGTGTCAGAGTTAGACCCAACCGATACTGGTAGGATACTGGCGCAGAACATCATTATTGGACTCGAAAACACAGCCCCCACATATGCGTCGAAGGAATACCTTGAGGCTATGGCGAGAAAACTCAACGGTGACGAGCTATCTGATAGACTTGACCTACCGCGTCCCTCTTTATACTACCAAGCACTCGTGTATGGGCATTGTATAATGGTCATGGCCACGTGCTATGGACTTCGAGTGTTTCCGATGCTCGATCAAGCTTTCATTAAGGTAGACTTTGTCCTGATTATCCTCTGTTTGTGGAGGTGTCCCAGAAAACAACCCCATTCACCCATGTATTGACCATGTCTAGTTACGTCGCAAACTCTATTATAGCCTCATTATGGACAAGAAAGATGGACTAGGAGGCGAAAGTTTCTTCGAATTCAAATACGTGCCGTTTTACAGTCGCACAACGCGTTTAGGGAGACGCAGGGTGTCCCAACCGGCATGGTGCGGTGTAGAGACTCTGGGACAGCTAGGTCTTCTCACTGCGCTCCTTGCTGGAGTGGCCCTGTTTTGCGGGGCTATTTATGGATTCAGGGTGCTGGCCCCCATTGTTGTTCCAGCTACATTCATCCCAGAGGTTTATTGAAAGAAACGGTGCGGCCAATGTTCTGTCAAGGGGAATTTACTGTGTCTACTGTATCCGTTCTCGTCTCATGATAATGATAGCGACTAGTTCCTTATATCTGAATATGGAAACAGGTCTCGTGTGCCTGGAGAGATAGCAACCCTTTTAATAGGTCCAGGAACCAACCTTGAAGGTCTTCAGGATGTTCTAGACAAGATCTTCAGCATCTTCAGTACATGGCCCACTTATTGAGTCCTTGTTCGGCTGGGTCACGCCACAATGACGCCATAGAAGAAAGAAACATTAAATAACCTCAAGAACTAATCGGTTTTCCTGCATGAAAAATTTAGATTCAATTTCGACTGATCCGTTAACTCTAACCCGAGGACTTATCATGGTCGATGATGGTATCGTCGTGCCGTTGGTGGGCGCCTTACAAGCTTGCGTCTCCGTTCTGCTGACCATGAGCTACGGGGTCGCAGCGCAAAGGCTACGATTAATTCAGGAGCACTCAATCACTGATATGGCTGGACTAGGAGTGAAGCTGTTTCTCCCCGCTTTAATCATCATCAATCTAGGCGAACAGCTGCAATTAGGAAATGCGTTGAACTACATCCCCGTTCTCAGTACTGCTCCCCCGAACCATCTCGGAAATTGATAATAACCTCTGCATTGCCAGTTTGGTCCATTCTTTACACCAGTGTCTCGATTGGCCTAGCATATTTCGTCTCCAAGGGACTGAAGCTCCCGCACTGGGTGACGCCTGCCTGCGCATTCAACAACACGACATCCCTGCCGCTCCTCTTGCTGCAATCGCTGGAAAGCGTGGGCAGTCTAAAGCCGCTTATTAAGGACGGTGACACCGAGTCTGAGGCTATTTCTCGTGCCCAGAGCTACTTTCTACTCTGCGCTGTAGTTAGTAAAACGATCGGTTACGTCGTTGGTCCCAAGCTACTCCAGCACGGCAACGAGTCCACCGATTCGGAGAATCAAGAAGCAGACGACACAGATCCCGAAACGCGAAATGGCACCGCTGAACACCACGTCGACGAGGAGACATCCCTTCTTCCCCAGCGAGCGCACAAAGCCCGCCGCAACATCTCCAACAGTATCCGGCACGGAACCCAGCGCATTTCATCCATGTTCCCCAAGCGCATCCGACAGAGACTTATGGCCCCGTTTGAGTCCCCCTTTGCCGATGTGGCGATCGGCTGTACCGTGATCGGTGTGGTTCTGGGTCTGGTGCCGCAGTTGCATAAAGCGTTCTTCAATAAATACGAGGACGGCGGGATCTTCAACGCTTGGCTGACGTCGAGTGTCAAGAATATTGGCAAGTTGTTCACGACGTTCCAGATCTTTGTGGTGGGATGTAAGCTGGGCGTCAGCTTTGAGAAGATGAAAACTAGTGGCGATTCGGGGCGAATACCTCTGGAGGCGATTGGGACGATTTTTCTCGTTCGTTTAGTGATCTGGCCTGCGTAGGTTTTCTGGGATCGGGGTCGCATGACTGCGAGATGCTAACGAATGATATATATAGACTCAGTATCTCCGTTATATATGGCTTGGCTAAGAATACCAATATTGTGTTAACTGATCCTATTCTCTGGTTCAGTTTGATGCTCATGCCGGCTGGACCTCCGGCATTGGTGATATCCGGATTGGCCGAGTTGGCTCAGATTTCGGAGCTGGAGAAGATGGCTATTGCCAAATCGTTGTCTGTAAGTCAGGAAATGTGTGGGCCCGCCCAAAGTTTCTTGCTAATCAGTGCAGGCGATGTACGTTTTATCGCCGTTTGTATGCTTCAGCATCACGGGCGCTCTAAAAGCATCTCAAGCGGCACTGGAGCAGAGGAACTCCGCATAGATGTGGTGCTTTGGGATTGTACGAATTGTAGAATTTATATGTATATATAGGGAACAAAATACGGTAGACCGTTTACGGAGAGTGTATTAAGTAGTATTCAACATCATGTCCAAAATCACGCTTAGACAGTATTCCAATTCGTCTCCATCGCCTTCGTTCAACATCATAAGCTTGATCGGATTTCTCGCCTTAATCAAGTGCGGGCGAGTACATTACTTCTTTACAAAGAATCAGTGATGTATAACACAGGATAACCTATAGCTATACTTACTCCGCAGTTCTTGCACTGGCAGTTCTGGCCACAAGTGCAACTCTGGGGGCCGGAGCAGCCACAGGTATTTCCGCAATCACAGCCCATAGTGGCGTATCAGGTAGCTTTGTAGAAAGTATACGTAAGTTGCAGCGGTATATGGTAGATGTGCACAAGATTATAGCATGAAGTTGATCTTGAATAACCTCATGGTTGTTAGCGTGGTTTGCCCAATTTATATAACTCGCAGGATGTGGGGAAACCGAGACAGCATCATAATGAGGTCAGAGAACCATGGTAATTTTTATTTTTTGGGGTCATACTTTTTACGGTGTTGAACCGTTCATACGATTGGCTCCATTTCATCGCTGTCGTTGTGTCGGCCGAGGTTCAGTTTCCTATTTGTGGTACATTAACCATGGATGGCTTGTAGGGTTACTACTAGTTTAGTATGCTAACGTCGCGTCTGGAACTCCAACAGTATGGGGAGATGATCGGGTAGTTTCGGAGATCCTGTTTGATACACAAGTACTCCGTACTCCGTACTAGTATGGTAGACACAATCTTCGTTCCGGAAACGTCCTTTGCTAACGGTCCTCTTAGATTTACGGACTATAGAACTAAACTAGACCGCTTTTACACAGTATGACTCCCCCACGGGAGAACATGGGTTTCCTCCTGCGTTGATTGTCCCCACCAGAATCGACTTCAGTGGTACCAGATGGCTTGACTCCACCGTTGACGTGGGTTTCAGGAGTCCTTTCTCAACAGGCACAGTTGCAGAATCCGCTGGATTGGGGGATCGGGTAGCAGTTTGAGCGATATCCTGCGGGGCAGAATGGTTTAAACATCTAACACATAATTTAGAACCCCAAGACCTACATACATTTATTGAACGGCACATCTATAGTCTGCATACTTCAAGTGGATCATGCCTGCAAAAGAATCAATCACCTGAAAAGCTCAGCTATGATAGGTACTCCAGGTAGGAAGAGCACATGAAGGCGAATGAAACCACTCATTTGATAGGATTTTCTTTTTTCCATTTTACCTTTTCATGTCTGGCGTCAAACTTCCCCGAGAGGGTCTGGTGCAGGTGATGCGTTGGTATGTCGTTGATCGTTGGCCCGTTTCGAAGGTCCCCTTGATTACCCGTTCATTAGCCTGCGATCGAGGCTTTGGCATCCTTGCTTCCACATCGGTCTGCTCTTTAGGTTGGTTTAGTCTTGGATGATTGATTGAGCTACCTTGTTTTTCTTTTTCTTGTTCTGACCCTTTTTTGTTTGGAAATAGGGGAGTCTTGTCAGCTGGATTCATGACCAGTTGTTGTTGTTCAGATGATGGTCTCCTTATCTGGATAGAATCCGATTAATTCGCGCATTTAGCTTCCGGTACTAGGTCCTTGGAGGTGCTGGAAACACTGACTTTGCGCTCTAAAAGGACTACTAAAGTCTCTAGGAATATTTTCAACTAGAAAGGGAGCTGGTGTGAGGCTTTCTATCTATATAATAGACCTTTCCAGGTATACTGAACCGTCCCGGAAACCGTCATGGAGCACTACTATATTTACAACCTAGGTACATCTGTAGTAATTCACCAGTACTAAATAGGGTCACCTGCTGGATCCTGGTCTAGTGGATGTACTATGGACGGGAAAATAACGGGGGGGAAAAGACGTAGATTACACGGTGGACAATAGATAAATAAGAGGTGTGGTGGACAAATGCATCAAACGGTACCTAATCTATTTGATTGGAATTTTAATTATTTAAAAAGCAAAGGCAATGGATGTCGTGACTTCCTCGCCCCACGGAGTTTAGAATAAGAGAAGCCGCCGATGTTCTTCAACTTCTACTCTCCAACTTCTGTCGCTTTATCCACTACATCTCAAACCATTTACTCTCCCCCCCTCCCCCACCTGTCTGACGGTTTCGTGCTTTGATACTTCTCAAGTATCTTTAGACATTTCCTCCGTGACGATCGAAACCCCACGACTTCTCCCACGACTTGGCGCCGTCCGCCCCGGTTCTTACCTCACTCCCCAAGCCCGATAAGACCTCCGCCCGTCGATACTGCGAAATTCTTACCATCTACCCACCACCAGAAGCTATAACAAAGCAAGATCGACCTTCTATCTGCCGATACGTCCTCGGTGAATTCACAAAATTCGAGAATTGACGGTCGTTCGGCCTGTGACGAGCTCCAACCCTAGGTCTGACCTGAGGCAGTATCAGTGACCCGCCACTGATATAGGTCTGCTCCCCTGGTTCTTCTACAGAGCCAGGTGAAAGGGCAGATCTACCAAGCATTCGATCTGGCAGACCATCCCTTCGCCTATATACCCTCCTCCGCCGCTCCCGACCGCCCTGACTCTCCTATCCCCATTGAACCTACGTCGTCGTACTCGAGAAGCGCTGCCGCTTCCGATAGCATCCTGTCGTCATCCCGCTCAGATCCCTCCATCGACAGCTCCTACCCGGCTGTCAGTGCTACTGGGAATTTCTATCTGTCATCCACTCGCCGCCGCCGCCGCCGCCCGAGTACCCCTGGTGTATCTGAAGCCAACATCGAGGGAACAGGAGGCCCTACCGGAGATCATACGGCAAGTGAAGCCGGTATCTCGGAACAAAGAATCGTACGCACAAATACCGCAGAGGGCCACTCGCCGTCCCCCAAGCGCAGGCGCCTGACAAATATGCGTCCCGATGGAGTTTCAAGTGCAAATGGCCCTTCCCACGTGTCTAACGGCTCCGTTGCCTCGCCGTCTCACAAGGTGGGTCTTTCCCACTCCTTGAACGGCCAGGCGTCGTACGTTTCCTCTAACGGCGACCTTCATACGAATGGAGTACAGAAGTCCTCGGTCAGCCCTCCATCCTATTTCGGACATGACCGCGAAGAAGTGACCCGCATCCTCATTCAAAGTTTGTACGAGCTTGGTTATAATGGCGCGGCTTCACTGTTGAGCAAGGAGAGTGGTTATCAATTGGAGAGCCCCGCAGTTGCTACATTTAGAGGTGCAGTGCTTGCAGGACGTTGGGCGGAGGCGGAGCGAATTTTGGTACAGTCGTTCTATCCGGACGGGACGAGGCGGGTGACGAGCGGCGACGGTGACCACCTGCCGACGAAGGAGAGGTTGGTTTTGGTGGAAAATGCGGAAATGAATGAGATGCTCTTCTACCTGCGACAACAGAAGTTTTTAGAACTGCTCGAGGCTCGTAATCTCTCTGCGGCTCTGACCGTTCTTCGGCATGAGTTAACGCCGCTTAATTATGATATCGGGCGTCTACATGCCTTATCTAGGTGAGTGTGTCTAAGCCCGCCAACCCGAAAGTTTCGAAGCCTTCAGACTAACACCAGCGACAGCCTTCTCATGTGCCCTCCGGAACATCTTCACGACCAAGCCGGCTGGGATGGTTCGATAAATTCCTCGCGTGAGAGATTGCTAGCGGAAATATCCAGTACGTTGTATCTAGAAATCCATGACTCCAATAATCCTATGGCCGGGGCTAACAGTAGACATAGAATCTATATCGCCGTCAGTCATGATTCCTGACAACCGGCTCGCAATATTACTGGACCATGTCAAGCAAAATCAGATCAACCAGTGCTTATACCACAACACGGCAACTCCTCCGTCGTTATATTCGGATCACATGTGCGATCGGGCGGACTTCCCGTCTCGACCGGGAATTGAATTAAATCAACATTCGGATGAGGTCTGGTACTGTCAATTCTCTCACGATGGCACGAAATTAGTCACGGCAGGCCGCGACCACAGTGTCATTATCTATGATACCAGCACTTTTGCTGTGCTGCACAAGTTGGTGGAACATGATGATGGTGTTGCGCATGCTTGTTGGAGCCCGGATGACTCGAAACTCATCACTTGCTCTCAGGATAAAAAGGCCCGTGTGTGGAGTGTGGATGTAAGTTTCTCTCGTTACAATCTGGAGCTATTCGCACTAACGATTATAGACTGGGCGATGCCTATTGACTATTACCCACCACTCACAGCCGGTTACAGCTGCTGCCTGGGCTGCAGACGGAGACTCTTTTGTGACAGCCTCTCTTGACAAGGCCTCGCACCTATGCCATTGGAGTATGCGCGGTCAAGCTCTGCACATGTGGCAGGGTGATTTCCGTGTACAGGATTGCGCCATCACGCCCGATGGGCGACGCCTAATTGCTGCCGATGTTGAAGAGAAGATTCATGTCTATAACTTCCTCACCCACGAAGAGGAGTATTGTCTGGCGCTGAAAAGCAAGCCCACATCGGTTGCAGTCAGTAAAGATTCCCGCCATATGCTTGTGAACTTGTCAGAAGGCCAAATACAACTCATCGATATCGAAACGACCGATGTAATCCGGCGTTTCCAAGGACAGAAACAGGGCTCTTTTGTCATCCGGAGTGCCTTCGGAGGAGCTGCAGAGAATTTCGTCGTCAGTGGAAGCGAAGGTAAGTCGTGCTGAGTCAATCAACCCTTGCCCGTGATTCTTCGCTTACCGTTTCAAAGACTCTCGCGTTTATGTGTGGCACAAAGACAATGGGACTCTGGTAGAAACTCTGGAAGGCCATATTGCTGGGTGTGTAAACGCAATCTCCTGGAACCCTACAAATCCAGGATTGTTCGCTTCCGCAGGAGATGATTGCTTGGTTAGAATGTAAGCCTCAATCACTCTTCGCCTTTTCAGCCTCGAAACTAATAAGTTTTAGTTGGACCCGGGAGCGCGACGCGAATCCTCATGCTACGGCCCGTACACACCGAGCGACATCAGCTAACGGTTTCGCTCGCACGAGCGCTCTGCGATCAACATCGAGCTTCTAACGGACTCCCGCTGAAGAAGCCTGTTCTTACCAAATCTGAAGATTGATTATTTGTGCATATCACGGGATGTACTGGGAGCTTTTGGACTCGAAAGACAGGCTTTTCTTTGTTATGCCTTTAGTTCCTGCCCTTTCAATCTTTCCCGAACCTTTCTGCATATACACATTTCCTGGTCCTTGGTGGTCCGTTCGATAAAGGCAGCTGGCGCTCCCATTTTGGCATTACTGACTGATACGTGTTTTCCATTTTGCGCTTATTGAGCAATAATTAATTGCCCCTGCCTTGCATTGATGCGTCAGGGACGGCACATCACATATGGTTTCCATTTTTATTTCTCATCACATACACAGGTTACACGGTGCTTCTCATGGTTCGCTTTTTCCTTCTGGTTTGGGTGATCTGGAAGGTTCGGACAACATGCGGGATTGGGCTGGTGTGCGTGGGATTTGTTTGGTTGTTCTTCATTTCTTCTCTTTATCTACCTCACCTGCCTCCACAATTTGTTGGTTTCAGCACACACCCATGTTACTTTGATTCCACTCTCCAATGGTAGAGTCTGCATCATAGGTGCTAAGTTTTTATATATAAATAAAGTCAGCTTGGTCTGCTTGATGACATGTTTTTATTTTTCACAGCCTCTTTTATCTCGCGGAGCGCCGAGACATCGCAATTCACTCCAGAGACCCAGGTAGTCTACAGGGCCATGCTCTCAAAGAAACTAATATCAGAAGAACAAAATGATCAATTGAGTATTTTGAAAATAATAGAATCACCTAAATGGTAGCAGCAGATCCCCAAATTCAATAATCATGAATGATAAATATCCCGCATAGCTAGAACTCCTTTTTCAAAATGAAAACAGACGTAACGGGGAAGGGAAGAGACGTTGTCGGCTGGTTTCTCTCCCGACCATATATTTTGGTGTATTTGAAGTGCATCTAGAATGCAGTAATGAGCATTATCCATGGATGCAATACGAGGTGGTTCTTGAGGCTCACCAATTTGGGTATGTTCCCTTTTCCTCCACGCTGGTGTTGGTCTTTTCCTTTCTCTCTTTCTCTTTTTCTTTGCAGATTACGGCCCGTGGGTTGAAAGTGGATTTGATTGGTGGTATAGATGAGAGTGGTTATGAGGTTTATGAAAGGAGATCGGCAACTGCAAGGTTCTTTTTGTTAGATATTGATTTGGGCAGTACCTTGATTAAGGAGGCTTACCGTTCATAGGCATCTCATCGATCTGTGTGGAGTAGTACAATTCGATATCACGGAGGATCCGCACGTCATCGCTGGTAACGAAGTTGATGGCGACACCCTTCCTTCCGAAACGACCGCTTCGACCGATACGGTGGATGTAGTTTTCACGGTTGGTGGGGAGATCGTAGTTGATGACTAGGGAGACCTGTTGGACATCGATACCACGGGCCCAGACGTCGGTCGAGATCAGCACTCGCGAGTTACCCTGGCGGAAGTCCTGCATGATACTGTCACGTTCCTTCTGGGGCATCTCGCCGTGCATGCTCGACACGGTGAAGTTGGCCTCGCGCATCTTGTCGGTCAGCCAGTCGACCTTGCGGCGCGTGTTGCAGAAGATCACGGCCTGGGTGATGGTGAGCGTATCGTAGAGATCGCAGAGGGTGTCGAATTTCCATTCTTCCTTCTCCACGGCAATGAAGTACTGCTTGATGCCTTCCAGGGTCAACTCGTCACGCTTGACCAGCACGCGCACGGGGTCGGTCATGAACTTCGTCGTCATGTCCAGAACGTCGTAGGGGAGGGTCGCGGAGACGACCACTACCTGCGTGGCCGGGGGCAGGTAGCGGTAGACGTCGTAGATCTGTTCACGGAAACCGCGGTTGAGCAGCTCGTCGGCTTCGTCCAGCACCAGCATCTTGATATGACGGGTGCGCAGATGGCGCCGACGGATCATATCGGCCACACGCCCGGGCGTGCCAGAGACGACGTGCTGTCCGTAGTCCAGCTTCCGGATGTCCTCGCCGATATTCGTGCCTCCGATGCAGGCGTGGCATTGCACGTTCATGTAGTCGCCGAGCGCCATGATGACGGACTGGATCTGCGTGGCAAGTTCGCGAGTCGGGGAGAGCACGAGCGCTTGGCTCTCGCGCACAACGGTGTCGATGACCTGCAGGATACTGATGGAGAAGGTGGCCGTTTTACCCGTACCGGACTGCGCCTGGGCGATCGTGTCGCGACCTTTACAGATCTGCACGATGGCTCGCGATTGCACCGCCGACGGAGACTCGTAACCGTAGGCGTAGATACCGCGCAGGAGGCTCTCCTTCAAGTGCATGTCCTCGAAGGTCGGAGCAACCGTTACCTCCTTGGAGGTGTTGAACTCCATCCGGTCTGAGTTTGCGCCTTGGTCAGTATACATGTATTCCGTGGGGTGTAGCTGGGATCCATACCATCTGCCCGTCTGTCAATGCCGTCCGCCATTTTGAATTCACTGGTTCCACTATAGATCGAGAAAAAATAATATCAATTCGCGTGATAGTGGTGGCCCCTCAAGTCAATGTGAGGTCTCGATCCAGCTTCTACCGCGACTTTTCCTAGAGCGCCACCGCCCGCCTCACGTGACAGATACTCGCCGCAAAGCTTCTCATGGACAGCGACGAGTTGCCGATATCATTACGAAACTTGGAGAATCACATCTTTTGCCCGGGAACAGTCGTTGTTGAGACTGTATAATCACCATGCTTCTCGAAGACCAGAGATTCATCCACGAGGATCTCGAGAGACTAGAGCAGGCGATTGCGGATCGCGTTGCCGATGAGCCTCGTAACGTACATTTGCTCTTCGTTTCCACCTGTTATATCTTAAGCTAATGACCCGTGTTTACAGATTAAAGATCGCTTAGCCCGCGACCATGAAGTCGCTCAGTTCCTGGACCGTATAGGCGAGCAGTCGAAGAGACTACTAGATATCTACAAAGACGCGGACGGCGCACGCGAGAGGGAAATCCAGGCCATCTCGACCGGCGACCAATTCGAGGAGTTCTACAAGCAACTAGACGAGATCAAAGATTTTCACAAGCGCTATCCCAATGAGCCCGTGGAGAATCTGGAGCGAGCATACAAGCGCCATGAGGGCGAGCCGATCGGAATGGACATCGATAACTTCTTTACGGGTGAAGAAAGCTTCGGACAGTTCTTGGACCTTACGAAAGCGCACGAAGACTACCTGAACCTGCCTGGCGTCAAGAGGTTAACGTACGTTCAGTACCTCGAGGTATTTGACGCTTTCACGCCCCCGCAGATGCTTATCAAGCGGCCCAATAAGCTGTCCGATAAGTACTTCCAGTATGTTGGGGACCTTGCGTCATATTTGGAGGGATTTATCAAGAAGATTAGGCCCTTGCAGGACTCGGATAAGCTCTTTGGTAGCTTCGATGAGGAGTTTGAGAAACAATGGGCGGCTAATGAGGTTCCTGGATGGTCGGATGAGGCGGCTCAGAATGGTCCTCAGGGTCCACAAACTGAAGGATCTGGAGAGGGCATTTGGTGCGCTGCTTGTGAGAAGGAGTTTAAGAACGAGAATGTGTACAAGAATCACTTGACAGGCAAGAAACACATTCGCGCCGCTGAGGCTAAAAAGGCCTCCGGTGACTCTGGCGAGAAGCCAGCAACAGCAAATGGTGTTTCGGCCGTTGCTTCTCGCCTGAAGGAACGCGCTGTGGCAGAGCGTGAGCATCGTGTTCGGTCGCTGGCGCAGGTGTTGGACGCCGAGCGTCAAGCCACGCGGATCAACGTTGAGCGGAAACAGGGTATGACTGAGAGAGAGCGTCAGATGGAACTCGAGGCGCTGCTTGCAGAATCCGAAAATGCTGGCGGCGATCGCGCAGGCGATCAATCCGACGATGATGGAGATGACCGAATCTACAACCCGCTTAAGCTACCGCTTGCTTGGGATGGAAAGCCCATTCCTTACTGGCTGTACAAGCTGCACGGCTTGGGTGTTGAGTACCCTTGTGAGATTTGCGGTAACTTCGTGTACATGGGTCGTCGCGCTTTCGACAAGCACTTCTCAGAAGGGTTGCATATTTGGGGCCTGAAGTGTTTGGGTATCACCTCGAATACGAACCTTTTCCGCGAAATTACCAGGATCGACGACGCCCTTCGATTGTGGGAAAAGCTCGAGCATGACCGCAAGAAGGATAAGGACAGCCGCGACAACGTGGTTCAGATGGAGGACGCAGAGGGCAATGTGATGCCAGAAAGGATCTACTTGGAGTATGTTTCCCCCCTCTTACCATGTGGCCAGAATTGTGCTAACGTCTACCAGTCTGCAAAAGCAAGGCATCCTGTAGCCGCGGCCCTCCCTGCGCATTACGTATATTCTCCTATATCCACATATCTTACGTTTAAAAGCCTGGAGTTTGACGGTTGTTTTCTTCATTTCCGTAGGGTCTCATACCATTGGGTTGTCTGGCTGGGAACAATGGCTTTATCAGTGCATGGCCTTACGCGCCTCATGTATTCTACATAAGACTTTGCTATCATCAACAAGATAAGACTATCTCTTAATTCTTCGTTGTTTTCACTCATGATGTTGTAACAACCTAGTACCTATCACGTGCTTTCGCGATCCATGGACGCGGTCCCGTGTGGTTTCCTGAGATTTCGCGTCAAGTCTGTCGCTCAAGTTGCGCCCTGTTTGCAGTGCTATCGTGCTACATGTACACTGCCTTTGGTAGTAATGACACCGTTGTCTTGAGTGGGCTGTCCATTCTGCAGTATTAATGCCCAAAGTTTGTCTGGCTTGAAAGCGTCCGCCTGCAGAGGCATACATAGATGGGATTCAAATTTTCCCATTTGTGTGACCTACTTTCCTCTCTGGAGAATAATAAAATCCTAAAAGCTACTACCGAAGCAAGGAACCATGACCCAGATGTTCAGACGGTAACTCGGTGGTTCAAGCAACATGGCAGACGGCTCCACGATAAGGACACCGACCAGTTGGCCGTCCTCTCGTGCATGTTTCCAGAAAAACGGACAGACAGAGTTTACTGGCTACAGGACACGTCCCTTGCAAGGGTCATAGGTCGATGTCTTCTTCTCGGGTCATCGCGGCGGGAAGAGCTGGAGCGATGGCGCGTTTCCGGGGGCATAGATCTGGCGCAATGCGTGGAGAACGTCATGCGACAGGCCGAAAACCACATCCCCGACGATCAGGAGGTAACGGCCGAAGAGATTGACGATGCCTTGAACAGTGTTGCGTCTCGGTGCAGATTCTCCGGCCCCCGTGTGCGGAGACAACGGGCGGCGGTTGATGTAGATGAGACCCTGTCTCCTCTCTACCGACGGTTGAGTAGTAGAGATGCTAAATGGCAGACTCGCATGATACTCAAGAATTATTCTCCTGTGACTCTACCGCGGAATTTAACCCTCAGGAGCTTTCATTTCTTGATCCCCCATCTTCTGCTTTTTCAAGACTCTTTTGAGGCGACGCTGAATATGTTGGCGTTGGAGACAATCCGTCATTTTCCACCACATCCAGAGCCTGGGCTAGCTAAGGACTTGGGGATCATAGGGATGCAGCATTTGAGTCCGGTGGTTGGTGTGAAGATCGGACGACCTGACTACTACAAGGCTCGGAGTATCAAGCACTACTGTCAGATGATTGGCAGGCGTCGGATGAGTATAGAAAGGAAATACGATGGCGAATATTGTCAAATACACATTGATCTCTCGAAGCCTTCTAGTCCTATTCAGATATTCTCGAAAAGTGGTAAGGACTCTACTGCAGATAGGTCAGGGATCCACCATGTTATCAGAGATTCCCTGAGAATAGGAAGGTCAGGATGCAAATTCTCTCGCCGGTGTATTCTGAAAGGTGAGCTACTTGTCTGGAGCGATCGACATGGCAAAATTATGGATTTCCATAAGCTGCGCAAATTTATCACCCGCTCTGGCACTTTTATCGGGACGGAGAATGATTCCCCGTGAGTGAATTAAATTCAAAGTTTCTTGAAGCAACGTAATCTGACTCGAGTTAGGCCACAACCTTATCAGCATTTGATGATCGTGTTTTTCGATATTTTACTCCTTGACGACGACGTTTGTTTGAAGAAGCCACACCGAGAGCGACGATTGCTATTGAAAAACGTAGTACAAGTAATTGAAGGCTTTGCAGACATCTCCCAGCAACGAATCCTAGACTTCTGCCGACCCGGGAGTCAGTCGCAGCTAGAAAATATCTTCGCCAAGGGCGTCGCTGAGAGATGGGAAGGGTTTGTCTTAAAGGGCTGCGAGGACCCATACTTCACCATATTTCCCAGCCAGGAAAATGGTTCCTTGGGTCGCTGGATTAAGCTGAAGAAAGACTACATCCCAGGTCTAGGCGATACGGTAGATCTTGCCATTGTCGGCGGAAAATATGATTCTCGAGACGCCGCTGGTTTAAAGCATATCCGCAAGTTATCATGGACACATTTCTTCATCGGCTGTCTCCTCAATAAAGAGGATATTTTGCAGTCCAAGCCCAAGTTTCGGGTGGTTGATGTAATCAATCGACATTGCATGAGCGCGAAGAACATGCAGATCCTCAATCAGTTTGGGGAGTATACTGCCTGTGGCATTGATTCAGGACATGGGTTTGATATAGAGTATGGGACGGGTACTATACCAGGCATAGACGTTGTTTTCAGGACTCCTTTTGTTGTTGAGATGCTCGGTAGCGGGTTCGAGAAACCATCAGGCGCCAGATATTATACGCTTCGCTTCCCGAGGATCGTAAAGATCCATTGGGATAGATTATTTGAGGATGCAGCATCGTTTTCAGAGTTACAGCTCCTCGCTGAAGATGCCCGAAAAGTCCCGTCAGAAGAGCTGGCGCAAGAAGAGACCGAATGGAATAAACGACTGAAGCTGGGTAACAGCTCGTCGGAGTATATAGTTAATCGACCCCAGAGCTTGACCAACTCTTCTAGAGTGACCCAGAGTCCAGTGGAAGAGCGTCTATTAAACCGATCTGCAAGCACACTAGTAGATGAGGCATGCCTACAAAGTTCAAACAACTCCGTGGAAAGAGGAAACGAAAGAGCCCCAGGAACCACACATACTATCCCTATCTATATCGACGAGACCATGCCATCAACGCCCTCATCTGAGATTTCAGATATCCATGGCAATTTCCTGACAAGCAACGAGAATCTCTCATCGCACCAAGTCTCCCGCCAACAAAAGAGCAGGTCCACTACCACCAACCCTACGAGGTCCAAGCAAAGCAAGTCAACCGACGAGCTCGAGAACAGCAACACCAAACTCTACTCAAACATACCATCTACACTGACGAATACCTCTATACAAAACCCCGAATCCATGGCAAAGCAGTCAAACCCTCAAAACATCACCAAATCTTCATTAACAGCCCTCCCAATCCATCTTATCCACAGGAACGCATCCATCCAAGAACAACCCACCAGCACCCTCCCTCTAACCATCAACCCGAATATCAATATCTTCGTCAAATCCCTCCTATCAAGATCGCTCAAAGCACAGCCACAAATCACCCCAACCCTAGCCCTCCTCCTCCTAAACCCAAGAGAAACACCCCTAGGCCGAGCCCTCCTCGATCTAACCACCAATCTCTCCAAGAGGCTTCAAACGCCCTCCCCTTCCAGCAGCCACTTACAAATCGGGAGGATATTTCTCCTCGATTCTTCCCTCCTGGACTTGGGCACAGACGTGACAGATCCCAGATCCTGTGTGCGGATGTCATGGGAGGATATCGGGAGGAAGTATTTTTATGCTTGTGTTTCGTGGGGTTTCAAGGGTGGAGTTGAGACGGTTCCTTGTACGCCTTTGGATGGGGGTCTTAAAGGGACTCTGGATCAGAGGATCAGGGTTTCTGTTGAGTTTGATAGGAGAGTTATGGGTGTTTTGGAGTCGGCTGAGGCTTTGAGGAATGGGCAATGGTAGTGAACCACCAGGTTTGCTTGATGACTGGCAAGCCTCTTTATGATAGTTGTTATAATACGTAATTTGTAATATCCTTCGAAAGAGGATTGACAAGGATATCAATTGGTTGCTTCTATAAGCTGTACTCATATTTTCAATAAATAACCCATAGTACATCTCTATATAACCGTTATAAAAACACCCAGCCCAGCCTCAAGATGAAAACATCAGGTCGTAAGCACTCCCAGCACAAACGCCTCGCTACCGTAAGAATGAAAGCCTGTTCAAGGCAAAACATAACAATACAGAGTGGACAGCCCAAGTAAAGCAGACTACTCATCGCCTTCTCTTCTAGCCCTCACATCTCTCATCAACGCCTTCGCCTCCTCGACCTCAACTCCATCCTGGCACAGTTCACCCGCCAACTGGTCCGCGCGTTCGAGATCCCCGTTTCGCAAGGCCCACCGCGCGAGCCACAGCCGCGCTTTCGAAGTCGTGACTGTCGGCCCTGTGCCGTGCCAAGAGTCATCATCGTCGTCGTTTTGGTTATACGATGAGGATTGATGGGCTCGGCGTGAGGATTGTTTTGCTCCGGCCTCGGATTGGTCGTCGTCGTTTTCGTTGTCGGAAGAGGCGTCTTCTTCCACGGGCATTTGTCCTGATTCTTGCTGCAGGGTGAGTTCCATGTAGGCGGCTGCTTCTTCATCGTCGCCGAGACGTTCGTACAGTGTTGCGATTTGGTGGAGGGTTTCTGGATCGAGGATCTTGCGACCTGAGCCTCCCATTTGGGATGGGTCTTCGGCGTAGTAGGAGCCGGCTACGAGGGCGCGTTTGAGGGCTTTGATACTCTGCGGAACACGACCCATTTTGGCGTAGCAGGATCCGACGGCTTGCCACATTTTCGGGTCGTACGGTCGCAGTGCGGCGGCACGTTGGTAGTAGAATAAAGCGTAGAAAGACATGTCGAGGACTTCGTATGCCTGGCCGAGACCGTACCAGGCTCGGTAGTCTTTCCGGTTGACGTCCACGGCGCGGCGGTAGGATTCAATCGCCGCGTGCGTGTTCTTCATCTCGATGTACTCGTGGCCCATCAGGGTCCAGGCTGAGAGGAAATTGCGGTCTAGTGTTAAGGCGCGACGGAAGTACATCACGGCTTTTTCGTGTTCGGACTTGAGTGAGTAGTAGTTTCCGACGACGCAACAGGTTTCGGGTCGGAACTTGTCTGTTGCTGTTGCAACTTGGGCGACGAAGGCCAGCTGGGGACGCGCGCCCATCACGTATAGTATATTGGAGTAATGATCGAGGCTGTCGAGTCGGTGAGGGGATGCAATCAATATCTCGGTAAAAATACGTGATGCTTCTTCGAAGTCTACAAGACTGTTAGCATTGTGCCTGCACCAAGGGTATAAGATGCTGTATACCTTTCGAATGGTAGTAGAGGAGAGCTCTCTGGGTCATGAGAAAGGCACTGTTGGGAAAGATCGTTTCAAGCTCCGAGAGAGCCTGGTACGTGTCTTCAGTGGCTTGATATAGTTCTTGACTACAGTATACGTGGAAAAGCAGGGTCATAATGTTCTGCGGGAGCAGGTCGACGACTTGTTTCAACTGATTACTAGTTAGCATCCGACCAGCATAGATGCGCATTAAGGAACAGCCACATACATCTTCTGTACTTGAGAGAAGATCATTCAACTCCTGCCAGGCGCCCCAATGGAATGGGTTCAAGTGAACACTCCTTATGAGCCACTTTTTGGCCTCCTCCTCGTTTCGCCCTTTGAGAAGAATGACCCCGTAGAGGTATTCTAGCCATCCCTGATTGCGATCTTCCATGCCCTTCTCCCGACGCTCTGTTAGCCATCCTTCTAGCCCTCGCGCAAGATCTGGCAATTCTCGATTAACTGTCGCACCCCCGTCGGCCGGTCCCAGCACCATCTCGGTCTCCTCGTCTTTCCGTTTCTCGCCCGCTAGGTATTTGGCGTACAGCGCCAGGAATAATGACTTCTGGCTCAATCTGGGATATGGGTTCCTAGACACGTTGCTATCCTTCCCTCCTGCATACTGGGATGACTTCGACTTGCCCTTCTGTGGGGTTAACGACTGTCTCTTCTTTTGGTTCGGCGACGACGTAGAAAGTGCAACGGGGGGTATCGTAGGCGGCAGAAACACCGCTGCACAACGATCGTATTCGCGCGTATCAAAATATGACTTGGCTAGGAGGTACTTGTAGGACTCTTGGGCTTCAAGGGAAGCTTCGACAGGATCTTGGGTTCGCAGGTAGGGATTTGGACGAGTCGAGGGTGTATCGGGAATGTCCATTGGGGATTCGGGGTCTGTGTCATATTGGTCAATCGGTACAATGGCGTCAAGCATTTCCGCCGCCCTATTCTATCCGATCAACATCTAATTCTATTCAAAATGACTGGGGGGAATGCCTGCGCGTCGTACCATTTGGCAGACTGGTATAAGCAGCGTTCGGAACATTTTACGGTGGCGTCCTCGAGCCGGAACTTGAGCTCCTGTACGTTTTCTTCGGTGAATTGCGCCGCCATGGCGACGAGTAATATTTTAGGCTCGGTTTCTTCAGAGATTCGTAGTTATGGCGGTCAGTCAATAATGAGTTTTCGTGCCAATCATGTCCATGCGCGGTTGTTTGTATGGTGGGGGACACTCGCGCGAAACAAGGCTGTTCCGTTCTTTGTTGGTAATTTCTGAGTGAGACAGCTGACAGATCGATCTCCACAGTTCCAGTCGCCGGCGGAGGCGCTAAATGATCGCGAATGTCACCGGGTGGGTACAAGGAAAAAGAATCAGAAAGGCATCAACATCAACAAGCATCCAGTTGAACCCAAGTACAGTTCCGCGAGGGCTGAACTCCTGATTGGTGAATGGGCCGGGATGGCAAACAGGGCAAACAAAGTGCAGAGGGGCTTTACCGATCGGGGTATATTGACCTGAGGTATCAATTTCCCATCCCAACTTTTCCCCTGCCCCTCTCACCTTCTCTCCACCATTAACCTACAGATCCAATCCTTTTCCCGCCGGAATGCCTGCCACTGACCGCGCCGCTTTCCAGGAGATCTTCCCCTCCTTGGCTGAAGATATCCTGGCCTATGCGAAGGAGTCGAATCTGCCCCAAAATGCTCTGCAGTGGTTCGAGAAGGTATAATCAATCCACCCGGCTTATGTGCGCAATCCGCTACGGAGGACATGTATTGACTACTCATGCTACTTACAACAGGCCCTCAATGTCAACGTTCCCGGTGGAAAGCTGAACCGTGGTCTTTCTTGTCCTGACACCGGCCTGGCTCTTCTGGAGAAGCCCCTGACCGAGGAGCAGTTCAAGCACCTCAGCATTCTGGGATGGCTCACCGAGCTTCTCCAGGCTTTCTTCCTGGTCAGCGACGACATTATGGACGGCTCGATCACCCGTCGTGGTCAGCCATGTTGGTACCGTCACGAGGGCGTCGGTTTGATCGCCATTAACGATGCCTTCCTGCTCGAATCTTCCATCTATATCATTCTCAAGAAGCACTTCCGCTCGCACCCCGCCTACGCCGACTTCATCGATCTCTTCCACGAGACAACTTGGCAGACTGAGCTGGGTCAGCTCTGTGACCTGATCACTGCCCCCGAGGACAAGGTCGACCTCAACAACTTCTCCATGGAGAAGTATATGTTCATCGTCACCTACAAGACCGCCTACTACAGCTTCTACCTGCCTGTCGCCTTGGCTTTGCTCTACCTGCAGCGCGCCACCCCCAGCAACCTCCGCCAGGCCCATGATATCCTCATCCCTCTGGGCCAGTACTTCCAGGTTCAGGATGACTACCTCGATGCCTATGGAAACCCCGATGTCATTGGCAAGATCGGTACCGATATCAAGGACAACAAGTGCTCTTGGCTCGTCAACCAGGCTCTCCAGCGCTGCAATGCTGAGCAGCGCAAGGTCCTCGACGAGGCCTACGGACGTAAGGATGACGCTCTCGAGGCCAAGGTCAAGGCTCTCTACAAGGAGCTGGATCTCGAGAAGGTCTACCAAGAGTATGAGGAGAAGATCGTCGGCGAGCTCAAGGAGAAGATTGCCGCCGTGGATGAGTCTGAGGGACTGAAGAAGGACGTCTTCAATGCCTTCCTCGGCAAGATCTACAAGCGCTCCAAATAAAGGCTCTCGCGGCTGATCGGTTTGCTCTGGGTGAATTAGAACGATACCCCTTCTATGTCTTATAATTACACGCTTTCTGCCACGCCATAGATTAGCCAGCATTTGATCTAAAGAATATACATTAATGATGTGACACCCTCATGGGTACGAGATAAAAGGTAGTACATATTGATTTTGGGAGCCTCCTTGGTGTGACGATTGTGGTACGGCATTTATGCGAGCCTTTCAACTGAGCAGCCAAGAATGTAGTGGCCCATATTAGTACTACCTCTACCCAGTCAACATTGGTAATAGTCTTGGCAGCCCTGTAGGTATAACATATCAAATGGCTTGATAGTGCGGAAGAGAAGGTCAGAAGTGTCGCCCAGGAGAGATACCTGAGAGCACGTGCCCTGTTCATCTCTTTCATTGCATTCAACCCCATTCAAAGCATCACCCAAACCACCACCAAGACAATTTACCTCTTCTCAGTTTCGACCACTAAGTCATGTTTTCTACTACATCCATGGCGCCAAGGACCTGATGTAACCACTAACGATAATGACTCCAGCTCGGCCAACCACCAGCTCAGGCTAAATTGGAAAGCCACCGCGATCAAGTGGACCTCACTGCGTACTGACGCATCGTCTACTTCAATCGTATCAATTGATCAATCCATCCCAGAGACCAAATCCTACAATCCCAGTTGGGAGTTTATTGTTCTCCACCCCAAATTTCTCCTGCCAAGACCGTCACTCCCCGAGTCCCTCCACTTCACACAGTACCCCGTGCGTGCACAGAGAATCAGCCAGCGAAAACAATAAGGGGCTGCGCATCGCATTCATGTCGTTCAACTCTCCCTTTACAGGTGGAGTCCCAGATATTAAGAACATCAACGATTGGCAACCCAATTACCAGTGGTTCGTCAATGACGAAAAAAATGGGGCGCTAAGTGTGGATCTCACGGCGCCAAAGCCGACGATGAAATGCCTGCGTATTAGGGCTGCAGCTCCACTGGAAAGCTCGACTATTCAGCGCATATATGAACGAAAATCTGTCTGCCGATTCAGCTGACGAATCCTTTTTTTTTTTACTCCATACGTTGGTGATGGACACTCTTAATTTAAATTTAAACGGTGCCCGTCCCCCGGACTTCTGGTAGTTAGTGTTGATTGTCCATACATATACATCGGGCGTTTCTTCGTCGGCCTCCGCCCGTTGATGACGATCATGTTAAACGGGGTGTTGATTCTTCTAGCGCTTGTGATTACTCACGTACAAGCGGACTATGGTCCCTATTTCCAGTCTGCTGCTTATGACGAAGGGAAATTTGGCGAATGGCCTACTGAGACGTATCGATCGTCGCCGATCATCGGCCCAGCATTGAATTATCTGCAATATAGCGATGAATGCAAGGATGGGCTTTACACATTCATCGCGCCCCGAGGAAATAAAGTAGCGAACCCAGGACCGATGATCCTTGATCAGGATGGCCATCTTGTCTGGACGAAGCTCTATGGGCAGTCGTATAATCTGAATGTCTACACGTTTAAAGGACAGGATTATCTAACTTTCTGGATGGGCAATGATGGTGTTGGGGGACATGGAGAGGGAGCATATTATATGGTAGGGCATATCTCTCCCTTCCTACCTATGCGAGGCGCAATGAAAACCATCCCCACATGCATCTCAAGTTATAATATTCTAAAACCACCAAAAGTTAGACTCCTCCTACCGAGAAGTATACAAAATCAACGCGGCCAACCATCTCCCAGGCGACCTTCATGAGTTCCACATCACGCAGGACGATACTGCACTAATCACCATTTACGATGTTATCCCCGCAGACTTAACAGTAGTCGGCGGTCTCGAAGAAGGCTGGATCTGGGATGGCACGTTCCAAGAACTCGACATCGAGACCGGGAAAACTCTCTTCCAATGGCGGGCATCCGAGCACTTTCACTTCACCGACATGTACCGGGACCGCGAAGGTAACGGCGACTCTGACGTCCACCCATGGGACTTCTTCCACATCAACAGTGTAGACAAAGACGCCAAGGGCAACTACCTGATCTCATCCCGCTACGCCAGCTGTCTCACCTACATCGACGGTCGCACAGGCGACATCATCTGGCGCCTCGGCGGCAAGAACAACGACTTCACAGACCTTTCAGACGGCGCAGCCACAAACTTCGCCTGGCAGCATCACGCCCGCTTCCGCGACAACGGCACGGCCATCACCGTCTTCGACAATGCCTCCCGCGGTGCAGGTGCCCCCGAACTACCCAGCCGCGGCCTCTACCTAGACATCGATCAGGAAAACATGACCGTCAAAGTCCGCCACGAGTACTGGAATCCAGACCCCATCAGCAGTCAATCGCAAGGCTCCGTCCAGCTCCTCGCCTCTAACGACGAAAGCACAAAGGTCCTCGTAGGCTACGGCCACATCCCAACATGGACTGAGTACGCCTCCGATGGCACCGTGCTCTGCAACACGCATTTCGGCGCCGCCTCCGGTGACGGCAACATCATGTCCTACCGTGTCCTCAAACACCCCTGGACCGGCCACCCAACGACATCCCCCGACATCTCTGTTTACCACTACACGGCCGCAGCGAGCTGGAACGGCGCTACCGAAGTCGTAACCTGGGCTCTCGAAGGTGCAGACTCACCGAACCCCATGACATACACATTCTTAGCCGCGGTGCCCAAATCCGGCTTTGAAACCCTCATCCCCATTCCCGCGGACACAGAATCAACGTATATCCGTGCCCATGGCCTAAACTCCACGGGCCATATCCTGGGAACCACCAAATTGGTCCGCTGGGATCCAGAGTCCGTTGAGGCAGTTGTGGGACGGCATGATGAGGAGAGTGCCGGGGATTCTCCTGTCCGCTCACTGCTTTTCTTCTTTGGGGGGGTTGCATCGGCTATGGTCCTTGCTTTTGCCAGTTGGTTTATATACAGACGCGTTAAGTCAAGGGCAGGTGCACAGAGCCCGGAGGACAAAGAACGGGGCACCTGGCAACCGCTGGATCGGTTTAATGGGGATGAGAGCTTGAGTGAGGGAGAGATGGATGATGTTGAGTTTGCGCTGTTGGGGGATGAGAGGTCTGGGGGGTTTCCTGGAAAAGACGATGACGATACGTGGGAAAGGAAGTGATGTTTAGGTTGGTGGGTATAAAAGAGCCTTTTCCTTTATCGGTACTTATTCCCAGTACCTATATATATAGAAATTCAAATCCATTGTACATAAAATGAAAGAATCTCCCTCTGCGAACCCATTGGCCTCTCCGGCTCAGAGCTATAGGCCGTCTCGCTTGGCGATATGATCTATAGAATTAATGACTCTTCGTTCGCGCCAGGTGCATTATGAAATCAATACTAATATCTAGTTACACATTGGTTGTAACGGCGGTAGACTAGGTGCGATCCAGGGCTTCTGAATCGTAGATTCGGAATCAACTGACCTTCTGGCCTAGTTGGGAGTGTGTTGTCTGGATCACACGCCCTCACATTGGTGTATGTGGACATTGCGTAGGCAGGCCTGCTGGAAGCTTCTATAGCGATGACGCCTCTCACAGCAAATCGGAATATATTGGACGGTGGCATGGGTGATTTCGGGCGATTATCCGAGCGATTAGCTTTCTTTTGAGACTCACGAGCGCAGAGAGGACTTTGTGCTATCGTGATTATCTCATCAATTAGACCATCACAACGCGCTAACAGTCAGGTTGGGGGTGAGGGTAGTTTGTCCTGCTGGTTGGTGTGTTCAATAGATACGTGGGCTTACGTAGACAGCTTACGTACGCTCTACAGGTACGCCATGGGCGCTTCGAAGTAGAATTCAAGAGAAAAAGTTTTAGACTTGATCAGTCATTCATATTGCAAAAGATCGTATGTTAACAACGCATAAGCCTACCAACCAGGCCTCGAGACGTGGTCACAGCTACCTAGGCGCTAGAGGCCACCTGCAGACGCTTGAAGCCACCCTCGCAAGCAACCTGCTTCTGCAGTTCCGCCATACGCTTCTGATCACCCAGAGGGTCGGTCGAATCCTCGTCCAAGGTCCAGGAGAGGTACTGGTTGGTGTAGTTAGGCTGGAAGTCGGCGTCAAGGATACCCAGACGCTTTCCATAGTTGGTAACCTTAGCCCAGTCACGGCTGACGTTCTTCAGGTCACGGCTGAAGTAAGCGAAAGACCGCTCGAAGATCTTACGGTTGACAGGGGTGCCCATGATGGGCTTCATGTCAACGTATTCTTCGAAAGCGGCTGCAGGCTCCGCGAGGACGTAGTCGGTTGCACGCTTGACAGCGCGCATGAACTTGTGAACCTTCTCGGGATTGGCGGCCAGGAAGGCATCGTTGGCAATATAGAGGATAGAGCAGAAGCAGCAGCAGCCAAGCTCGGCGAGCTGGTCGATACGCAGCATCTGAACGTCGTCACGGGGACGGTTCTGGGATGCCAGCCACTCGGCCAGTTCGACCATCTGCACATTCTCCAGACCGATGCCGGCATCAATATCACCACGGATGATGGCCTTGGTAACGTTCATGCCGCAACGGACGGCGGTGTAGTCGTCCGCAGTCATGCCGTAGTACTTGGTGAGCTCGTCGATTTGAATCTGGAATACATTAATCTCAGCTCGTCGAACAACACCGTCAGTGATACATACCTTTCCGAACTCTCCGACGTAGCCAATCTTCTTGCCCTTCAGGGAGCGGAAGTCCTCGGTGATTCCGCTGTCCTTGAGGTACACTACACCGGTGAAAGGCTCATCAAGAAGAGAGCCAATCGAGGTGACAGGGAAGTTACGAGCCTTGGCCTGGTTCGAGAGTTAGATGTTTGTTCAAGAGACCCTAAGAGGTGATACATACGGCCAGAGTATGGATCATGGCCTTGAAGCCCATGTCCACCTTGCCACTACCAATGATCTCAGTGACATCGGAGGGGTCATTGGGCTCCAGCAGAGCAACTTTCAGGCCTTCTTCCTTGAAGTAACCCTTGCTCTGGGCGAGGTACAGGGGGGCGTGGTACGGGGTCGCGTGCCTTATAACACACAACCACTTAGTAACAGTTCACGAACGTAGCAGAAGAAACAATAAGGGCACAGAGAGAAACAGCACCAGCGGCATGTCATACCAGTTGGTGAGGAAGGTGATCTTGTCAGTAGACATCTTGGCACAATTATAGGTCAAGAGTTCTGAAACTTGTTAGTACTGGGGGACCGGAGTCCCTCTTCTGTGACAGCAGAATAAAGGGGAACAATCAATGCCACGCATGTCCTTTCGCTAGTATTATCTAGATCAAGTTATGACAGTATAATCTCAGAACGACCAGACTCTGCCTCGTACGGCCAGTACCCATCCACTCAGCTTTCGCCCTTCGTCTCACGTCTCCTTTGAGGGATACATCCTTCACAGAGAGGCAGACACGCAGGGACAGCATGAAGTAGAAGGATAACCAGGTAACCAAGGCAGATCCAAGACGAACACCTGTCATGCGGAGCTATGACTGTTATACTATGTACGATACCTTGACCCGTGTGGTTTAATTAAACCATAGCGAAACGACCCAGAAGGTCATTCTGGCTGCGCGGCCTCATGGTGAGCCGTACCGAGCGAGTTGCAGCGATAGTGAAAGAGGAATTGGTGGAATTGAGATTGGGGATTGTGGTAAGAAGCGAGAGTGAAGTCGAGTGAGGGGTCCAGGAAGACAATAAATAATAGGCTTTGAGTCACATGAAATCCAACCCCACCTACCGGATCTCTACTAGTCACTATGTCACTCGTCTCTATTCCCTGCTTCCAACTTCACCGGAATCCTGCAGCAGACGAAAACTGTCACCCGGTCCCATTGGATCACTCGGCGATCTCTTGTCGTGGCCGGTTCAACGGGAGTGGGCTGCTACTTCCTGGAGCACGGTGGTCCGGACTATCCTGATGGGGCCCGTGTTGTAGTGGGACTACGATCAACGCCTCACTGGTCTCTCAACAACCCTTAAGATATGATGTCAGCCAATTGCGTAAAAAGAATTTACGGCGTCTCGCACACCATGCAATAAATTTATCCACGCTGGTAAAAAAGACAATCCCGATGCTGGTAAGCTCACACAAGAACAAAACGACATGGATGCAACAGTACAAACAAAGTATGAAGACGTGAAGCTGTATCCAGGGAGCCTTAACAGTCCTGGGCCCGGAAGGGTCACTCTGTTTCTCTCCAAAGAATATCAATAAACATGCAATTGAAGTAAGTAAGAATGACAAATGTAGAAAGCTATGGCACAGGAGCACACAATGAAAGGGGGTCGAGATCGTATTCTGAACGGAACGCTGGGCAGTAAATCTCCAGGAAGGTATGCGCCTGTCAATCAATTCCCGCCATTGACTGATATCCGGTCGAGCGGCGACGCGGGCCGATCGGATGTCTTTTTCGTTCGTAGTGTCAGTGGGAAGTATTGGTCGTCTGGTTCATCATCGTCGGTTGTACCACTGGATAGCGAATTAGCACCGCGTTTGCCCAGATGTGTCTATAATGTACCCAAGAGGATAACTTACGGCAGCCGCCATGCAATATAGTCCTCAGTACTCAGTCCTTCTTTGACTTCTTGCAGGGACGCAAAATCGCCAGGGGTCATCATCCCCGAGCGATCCTTTGGTGACCCAGGGACGGACAACGGACGTGAGATCTTCTGTTCTGTTCCTCCAATAATATCATAGAAGTCGTCACCGCTGCCAAATGAAGATGGGTAGGCTGAAGATCGTGAGCCATGCGTTAGTGAACAATATGGAATCTACATGGAGGTTATGGAGCAAACGTACCTCTCCGGAGAGCCAGCTGCCGAGCTTTGACATACTCTAATCCCATACGTTTCCAGTCCAACAGATCGCTCAACCGCTCAGTGCGGTTGCGTTGATTGATCCGTTGGCGACGACTCTTCAAAGCAAAGTTGAACATGAAATCCGTAAGCTGATTGACGGAATCGTCAACACCCTTCATTCGGCGATCCACTATATAAATACCGTAGTCGGATGAGTTCTCGATTAACTCCTCCATATAACAACCGAAACCGGACAGGTTGGTGGTGATACTGGGGACACCCATCACAGTGCATTCAGCGGGTGTGTAACCCCAAGGCTCATAGTACGACGGGAAGACTCCAAGATGCGTACCGCGGACAAAGTCATCATAATCGAGTGGCAGCACGGGGTTCGAAGAGTTGAGAAACTCTGGGTGAAAGACTACCTTAACGCGGTCGGTTGGATCGTTGAACAGCTGGACACGACGTATCTGGTTCAAAATTGGATCTTCATGGTCATTAATCATGTTGTGAGTGACGATCGGGGGTAAGGAGTGTCTCTTCATGGCAAACAACCTGCGTCGCAGCAGCACGCGATCTTGACTGGCCATGAGGTCCTTCTCGTCGGGCATGTTGTCGCCTTCCCTCCACGCCAGGCAACGCTCATACATTCGCTTTCCAATGCCTTTTTCAATCATCTCGATCGTATCACGTAGGGACTTGACCACAGCTTGTCCCTTGAGAGCTTCGACCGTCAGAGACGTGGTCTTGGCTGGCATGATGATGAAAGCAACTATGGTAGTTTTGGAGCCGCTGGCTTTTAGACGATGGTTCAAGCGAGCCAAACTTTCGATGAACATATCAACGCCCTTGTTCCGGAATTCATAGCGTCCCGCCGTGAAAAGGTAGAGTGTATTGTCTAGGTCGAAATCGTTGTGTCCATAGAAATGGCCCCGAACGAAGTCATTGATCTTTTCTTTCGACTGCGAGTGTAGATTCTGGAATTCATGCACTGCGGAGAATTTCTTGACATTGAGTCCATTCGGTAGAACTCCATCTGGCTTTCTTTTGAGGAGATGTTCGCTTTCGAACGCGGTGATATGGGAGACGGTGGTGAAGACGTCTGCCGTGTGCGCCGCGGCTCGCTCAATGCAGTATCGGTGATAGATGCCACGCTTGCCAGCCTCTGCATCCACATCGAAGTGCTGTAGGTGGTTATAAAAGTCCACCGATCCCGCACAGAGATAGCGACCGAGTAAGGTTGCATGAGTGGTAAAGATTGTGGTGAGATCCATATGTCGCTTCTTGGTCAGCGGCAGGGCTACCCCAGCAAGCCATTCGTGGAAATGGGCGACCACCGCAACCCGTCTTTCATGAGCAATGAACTAATTACCTTCATTAGCGGACTTCACATCAATCGATCGTACGGTCTGTCAAACGTACTTCACCCAGGAACCATGCGACCAGGTATCCAAAGACAATCGCTTCATTGGTTTCGGTATCCGCCGCCGGCGATGGGATCCCCGCTGTGTTCCATAGGTCCCCTTTCCACTCGTCCAGGAACTTATATCCCGTTCCTGTGTCGATCAAAAGCACTCGGGGAGCGCCTTCAATCAGCCAGCGACCGTAGATCACGTCGATGCCACGCTCTTTCATCGAATTGATCGTTTCGATCATACGGGGATTGGAGGGCGTCAGTTCTTCCACCTCCACCGCTGCCGAGGCACGGTTCAAGGGTCCGATCAGCGTGTATCGCTCGCCATATTCGGCGGTCGTTACGGGGGCTTTGGACTTGAGGACGGAGTAAATTCCACCCACTCTATTCGCCACCTCCGTCGCAATTTCGAAAAGCATATGGTTGCGAACATCCCGCTTGGGGGGTTCAGCGCCAGTTTCCTCGCTGGCCATTGTGATTCCTTGAGAGCGCTATCCGGGCGAGGTAAAGGTATAGGCACTTGAGAGGGAACGAGGGACAACGAGCTTGAGTAAAAATGAAGAACGACGGAGATTTAACAAAGGAAGCAAGATAAAGAAAGATGAAAGAGATCGAGAGCCGATGCCGTCCAAGCTAAAGCTCGCCCAGCTAGCTTCCTCGCACAGGTCTTTATCCTCCCTCCGGTCACAGAGGAGGTACGTGCGGGGAATAAAAAGCTGAATGGGGGTGGCGGGGGAAGCCTAAGCTCGAACTGAGCGGAAGGTTGGCAGGGCCCAGGCTAGTGAGGTACCTAAGCTGTTCGTATAAATAAGGTACAGAACAAGGTAGTAACAGACACTAAAAAGCTAGGAACGGATCCAGTGGAACCTGTTCCCTTTGGAAAGGGCGCCTTGAGTAGAGAAGAAAGGGGAAAGTTTTTTTTGTCTTTTTTCTTTTTTTCTTTTCCTTCTAGGCCTTTTTTCAGTAGAACAAAATCATGAAACCAGCGAGAAATGAAAAAAAGAAGGAAAGAGGGCAGTTCCGTCTAAACAGAGCTACTGCCGTGGCACGGACTCATGCTCATTATAGTATTTGCTCCTAACGGGGCGAGACTGGGTCAGCGAATGGTAACCCCGGTCAACCCCAAGATCATCCGACCAGATGATGATGCTCGTCATTCCACCTCGTGCAGCAATTGAGAACTGGTTTTGTTGGTGCCGCAGTATACCTTTTTTTGAAAAAAAAAAAAAAAAAAAATACCTCTCTCTCCCGTCTATTTTTATGGTGCATGTCGTACTGACTGACTCGAGTCTGTCAGTGTCCACCTCCGTTTGCAATCATCAGAAGGATAGCAACGATATACATCACTAAAGACAGTCTAGCTCTCAACCATGGAATCAGACGAGCATATCTACCAGACAATTAGACTTAGTACTACATATTAGTCGATTGAGCAAGGAATCCCCTTATCTTTAATTCTTTTCTCCCCTTCGCAAGAATTCCCCCACTTCTTCATTCCGAATCCGGGGAACCCCAGGTGAAGCATTACGTCATGGCTCACTGGCTGCTGCATGAGAGGTATCCTCGCTCTGATTGGTCGAGGGTCATGTGCACTGGGCCGTCGGTTCAAGTGGAATCCATGGTTCTTTTCCAGGTTCTTCCTTCTTTGCAACCATATGCGGGATGCCCTGGTGGTAATTTCTTTATCCTGCAGTCGGTAAACCAAAATGTGGCAACGGGCATTTTCTGGGCACCGTCACGGTGGGATTAATTAGTTCCTCGGACCCCCATCCCGAGTCTCGGGTTCGACTTCTAGGCACACCGAAGCCCGTATACCCCCGACTTACCTTACTACAATCTACTTAGTACTCGGTCCCCACCCAACCACCGTGCACCTCAGAGACCGCTCCAGACCTCACCCCCTCAACAATCTCAGGAAAATCTCGCAAACTGTGTATAATTGCTTAGCATCTGCAATGCTACCTTCATATCGTCAATTTACAATCAGCCTGAGTTCGAGGATTGTCGGAATGCCGGGATACACGGCATGATGTTGTGTCACAATGGCTATCGATCGGCGACAAATGGAGTCGCCTACTGAACGCCATTAGACGCCTTGACATGGTCAGCCCTGTTCAGCGAGGACGATGTTTCTTCAACCGCCCCTGGCTCTGGCCGGTTTCGGGCCAACTGCTTCGTCCATTTTAAGATCAAGCCTAACGGCCATTAGATATGGGGACAAGCTGCTCAGTAAAATCCAGAGGACGCAATGGGGCTATGGAATCACGACAATCTTCCCTCCCACCTCACTGTCTTCCATACACTGATGAGCCTCCACAATGTCCTCCATTTTAAATACGCGTCCCACCCGGATCTGGAGCTCCCCCTTCTCAACCATCTTGACCAGTTCTTTCAGAGGCGTTCTCATGAAGTCCTCATCCCCTCCAGAATATGCCGTCAATTTCGACTCACTTGGAATCAATTCCATTGGATTGACTTTCTCCAAGTGCCACTCGTTCCCCAAAATCCCTGTCATAGAAACAATGCCTCCCTTCTTCACGCAACGCAGAGAGTCAGCCAATGTGGCCGTTCCCACAAGCTCAAGCACCTTGTCGAAATATTGGCCCGATGTTTCGGCAATCTGTTGAGAAATGGCCCCGTTATCAATCCACACCTCGTCCACTCCATAATCCCGTAATAACGCCTCCCTTTCCTTGCTCCTGGTCGTCGACGCCACAAACGCCCCATGTTTCTTAGCAATGGCCGCTGCCGCCAGGCCCACCGAGGACGTTCCACCGCGAATCAACAACCTATCTTTGGGTCTCAAGGTGAGTGACCTGATCAATGAACCCCAAGCCGTCTGCAGCATCTCTGGCAGCGCCCCCAGCACATCCCAAGGCAGCTTCGTCTTCAGTATCTGTACCTGCTTTGCCGGTACACATGTGTACTCGGCATATCCCCCATCGAAGGCTCGGCCCATCCCGCCCATGGCTGTTGCCACGGTAGCTCCGAGCAGAAACATATCTTCTAGTCCTGGGGCGGCGTCGACTATACCCACGGCTTCAATGCCGAGAATGCGGGGAAACTGAACCGCAGAACCAGAGTGACCCTGTCGAGTGAACATCTCGGAGCGATTAAGTCCGAATGCCTTGACTTTGATCCGGACTTGTCCAGGACCGGGTTGGGGGATGGGATATTGTATGACTTTAAGGACGTCAGGAGGTCCAGCCGTATGTGCGACTGCTGCTCGCATAGTAGACATGATACTCAACCTCCGTAAGTATACTTCAAATCAGTAAGAAGAATAGTTATCATCAAATAAAAATAAAATCAACCAGTCAATGAAATCAACAGTTTACTCAGGTCAAATCGGACTATTCACTCGGAAGCAACACAGACATCACAGTACGCAACAAGAGAAAAGATATATCACAACACCACGATAAGCCCCAACAAAAACCAACAAATCAATCTTAACAATCAAACTCCCTCAACCCCCCTCGAACAAACATACCAAACTCCCCTCACATACAACACCATCCTCACCAACATCAGTTTGTGCTGTTTGCACTGTTTGTCCCATCACAAACAGCCAAGACTAGTACATAAGTATGTATGTACCTGGACACCAACAACCACCCCCAAATATCCCAGAACTATAAAATAAACGCATTAAAATCCATAAATACACAAACAACCCTACCTGCCAACCCATCCCAACCGGCCGAGGCCGCGCAACCTAGATGAAGTCATACCCGTCTCCACAATGACTTCACAATGCTGTCACCAAGCCCGTTCTTGGCGGGCTGTCGATGTTATCATAGAGAGGGCTAGATGCGAAGCACGACATATAAAGGAGTTCAGATTCTACTGTTGAAGTTGACATTCAGATCAACAATTACAAAAATAACTAAGTGCATATATCGCCATACACATCTCATCTCAATCCTTATCCAATTCTTCCAAAGGTATGTCCTTTACACCATCTATACTTCAAAAACCCGCAAACCTAACAACGTCAAATAGCACCAACCCCCTACAAATTAAAAGAACCCAAAATGCCCCGCGGCGCAGAATACGACGACGGCGTCCCCCACAGCGACAACGCTGTCAAAGCAGGCCAGACGAAGGTCCATGGCGCCGGTGACTCTGTATGTGCCCGTTCTTATCTCCAATTCAGTTCAATCCCTCTTTCATCCGCCGATAGAAGTGAGTATCTCAAGCTAATGGTTTCTGATGTGCAGAACGCCCAAATGGGCCGCGTGTTTAGAACCGCCGAGTTCCCTGAGGCTGCTAGGGAGCTTTCCGGCAACGCAACGAGCTTTGGCGGCAGTGCTGGCCACTCGAGCGGAAAGGGAGGCCATGAGCCGAAGTCTTTGGGAGAGCATAAGGGCCTAGGTGCCCATAAGGATTGAATGAGGTTATGAATTTTTTTATTTTTATTTTTTTTTTTCATTTTTGCTTCTTTTTCTCTGGGAGTTGGATTGCGGGTTGAATAAACCGTTTGTATGATACGGTCTTGGGCTTCTGCTACGGTACAGGGGCTTGTGTTTATTATCTATCTATCATTATAGATTTAATGATATGTGAAGATGATTTCTCTAGCTTATTCTTCTTTTTCTTTTGGTTTCTTTTGGGTGGTTGTTGTAAGAAGTTGGTAAGTGAATGTCTTGATTAAGTCTATATAGAAGGATATAAATCGGATGCTGTGCTATCCGGGGAAATAAACAAGTATTTAGAAAGGGTAAACACCGCTAAATCGCTGTACAATTCTTTGGCCTTAACTTGATGGTATCTCAAGTACACCCAAGCGAGAAGAATGTATACAATGTGTTCGTCAAGGCCGAGATATCCGTAAACCTCACATCTCTATCACCATGGTTTATGCTTGGGGACTCTTGCCGTTGCTTGTATCGGAGGAGCTGTTTGTGTTGGCTTCATTCGAGCCGTTCTCCTTGGCCTCGGCGGTTGGAGTCTTTCGTTTCACCAGCTCCAGAAGACGATCTCCTAGGTCTCCAAAGCCGTCTATTTTGCTGAGCTTCGATTGGAAGTACTCCGCATCCCGTTGTAACCTACCCGATGTTAGATGTTTGCTTGTATGCTCTGAAAAATATCTTTTCTTACCTTTGCTTTCCTTGCTCGGTATGAATGGTCACCTCATCGAATGCTTTGGTCCACTGTTCCCGATAGCTGTTAAACACGGGATCCATGATCATCGACACGGTCATATCTGGGAGATGTTTGCTCAGCACGCGATGCAGTGTGCCGGTCTCCTTTGCAAGGGTCTCCATGTACGGATTAACCGTACTAGATCCCGAGGCGTCCCAATCGACCTTCTTCATGGCATTTACGTGCACAGAAGACCGCCCGCTCATGATGTCGACCAATTTCTCGTGGATACCGGATTGGTGCTCCTGATACAGCCTCTTCACCTTGTCGAACTCGCCCATCAACGGACTAGAAGGTGAGTGGCGACGGACAAATTCCCGGATGTAAGGTACTAGCGCGATGATGAAGCTCAAAGCCTGCGAGGACAACGCGAGATGCTTCGTAGTGATGTTTTTCAGACCGGCGCTACGTGTGGCTCCGGCACCAAGGATCAGTTGAGAGGAGCGAGAATTGAATAACTTCAGCGACTCCAAAAGACCTGGTGCAATATCCTGGATCATGCTGGGGATGTTGGCCATAAGGAACTGGAATTCTTCTATGCTCCTCATCATGGCCACCGCGGACTCCGAGAGAATGTACTTCTGCTCATCAATCACCGCCGACCGCACCTTGTCTTTTCCAGATCCATTGGTCGTACTTTCCGACGTAATACCTTCAGCTTTATCTTGAGACAGCCAAATCTTCGAGGCGTCTACCCAAGCCTCGATATCCTTAGTACTAGCATCGAGAATCCGGCTCAGAATCATATTTTCTGTCTCCCCGAAGTCCCTTGCATCCCATCGGTCCGCGTCCATGACTTCAACAACACAATGTCGCTGTTTATCGCCAAATCTGGCGATGTAATCACGAATCTGATTGCCTACAAGAGTTTTCAGAGCAGTGCCACTTCTACCCGAAATTGCTTCGCACTCATCCGCAAAGAGTCGGTTGAGGGTAAAATATTTCAAGAATTCCTCCTTGGGCAAATGAGAGGTCTGCTCGGACCGAACTTTCAGGACTTTGTTCACCTGCGACTGGGCAATATCAACCGCCTGACCGAGAAGACTAGACATGTCTAGAACTTGTAAAATTTCGTCTTGAGCCATCATTGTTGCCGCTGGTTGCGAGCTTGCCGCTAACAGGGCTGCATTGTCCATGTTAGGTGAACGAGGACTCCTTGGAGATTTCAGAACAGAGCTATTCCCTAAACCACTAGCAAGATCAAGAAGGACCTTGACCTGGACACTAAGCCTCCGTAAGGACTCACTGATGCCGGTATATACGCGGGCGAGCATTGCGTAAGCATCTTCTGCGTCTAAAGCACGCAGGTTCCGAGCAAGAATCGATGACTTCTCTTGCTGACTGAGCTGCGAGGATCGATGAGTGGACACGGACACCATTGACTCATTATCATCATCGCTCGAGCTAGGCATGTGTTTGCGAATCAAACTCTTCATTTCTCGTAACACTGCCGTCTTGAAGGAAGTCGCTGCTGCGGTTGTATGGTGTGCCCGTGCAAGGCCTGTCAGTTGCGTGTGCAGTCTCGATCTCAGCTGGTCATCGAAGGCCATATACGCCGGGGAAACAGTAACGCCTGAGCGTTGCACTCCACGTTGTCGCTGAAATGAAGAACCCCAGCGCTGAAGCGTCACTTCCAAGGGTACATTTTCCACATGTTGTCTCAGGTCTCCAAGAAGATCATTCAGAAAGCGGGACTCATATCCCATGCCAATTCGAGTCCTTAACTGGGCTAAGTCATCAGATGCACCTTCAAGGGCTTTAAGCCTCCTCAAATCGATAGCTTTTTTCGGATGCTCCTGCGGATCTACACCTGCTGGGCTACCAGACACAGTTTCTCCGGCCATCAGTCTCTCCACCTCTTCAAGGCTATCTGCAGCTTCTTCAATATCTCCGTTTTCAACCAGTTCCTCGCACCGAGAGACTGACTGGACTACTTCTCGCAGCTGAGATACAGCATCTGCTAGCAGCCGGACATTTTCTCTCCGGCGCCGTAGATTAACGATCTTTAGACCACCTAGGGCCATTTCACGGTCAATCTTCTGGAGGTCTTTCCGCAGCACTTGAATCCGCTTTACAGAATCAGCAGCCTCAGAATGCAGCTCACGGAGTGAGCCGAGGGCAGTGAAGAATGACTTGGATGCCGTTGAGATTGATGAAATCAGATGGATTTCCACCGTATCCATATACCAGGAAAGCTTTTCTTGCAATATGGCATTTGTAGCAAGTGCCTTTCTTCCCGTTGGTGATGGTCCGACAACGGCTCCATTTTCAAATCTACCGTCCTTGCCCGGTGTCTTCGGCGGGGTAACAACTTCAGACTTCTCTGATACCACATCGAATGTCCGCGGGTTCTCGAGATGAAAGTCGTCATCAAAATATACCTGAGGGATGGTAGAAAGAGGCGTCACTGCATGTCCTCGACCCCGACCAGACGACCGTCTCCGCCCGCGAGTATCGAAAGGCGAGCTCGCACGGGAATTGACCGATAAGGTTGAGGGCCGTCGCTCCGCAGACCATTGTGACGACAAGAATTCATTATCATCTGGCTTAGGCGAGGCCTTTCCTCCGTCCCGTGCCAGCTGCGATTCCTGATCACCAGCACTTTCTTTCGCCTGTTGGAACACGTCGTACAAGGACCCAACCTGCGATAGGTACGGCTCAAATACGTTGGCGTCCACACGCGGGATATTTGTCAGGGTAACCGGGGGGATATCGCGGGAGCTTGGCGGCTTATATCCACTAGACGGTACAGCGGTATGGGGTACAAGACCGGTGCGAACAATCGGAGGTTGAAGGAGGGTAGAGATGGCTGGGTGGATTAGCGTACCAGCAATTGACGTAACAGGTCATAACGTACCATTCTGCCCTGACTCTGCTATTGATCCATGCCGATTTGAGGAGTCGAGAATCCCTCCAATGCTCACGATTGAGCTTGCAGTTGACCCTCGTCTCAGGGGGTATCTCTGGGGCGGAACGCGGGGGGATTCGAGCTGATTGAGTGAATACTGAGATAGCGAAGGTGTGGATGCACCTGAAGCTAAGCTGTCAATCGACTTCCGTGGGCTCGCAGAGGACATCTCGTGATGCCAAGTTGTTGGCGACTCCGACGGCCACCGTACTATGCTAGATGTCGTTATCTCAACATGACAAGAGGACAACTGTAGAATAGTCCAGGTGGGACCGGGAGCAAGCGTTCCTCCAATTAATTCCCGCTGTCACGATTTTGATACCCGAGCGAGACTTTTAACAGGAGTCGCTTAACGTGCAACGTCACCAAATGCGCAAGCACAAAGCATAAGTCATCCAGCCTTAGGCAGCGTGCTTTCGGGACCTCAGCATGACAGCCAGCCCAATCGGGTAAGGCTCCAGGCCCCCAAGAGGGGGTCTAGTCCCAGTTTGGAGGAAACGGGGCTACTATTTTTCCGCACTTCTGGGGACGAAGCGCCCACTATCTGGATGCCTAAGGCCAAAACCACTTAACGCGTGTAGCAGACGCGACGCGCACCATTCGTGTCCATGCAAAAGTTATTTGCACCTCCTTCGGTGGTGATAGTCAACAATCCACACATTGCCCCCTCGCTCGCCCTCAACCCACCCCTCCCCAATTGCTGTCTTCATCATGGACAGGCGTACACCTTATAGTCTGAGTGTTCTTGCTGCTAGCACAGATGGTGCAGAAGAGTCCCGCACACAAATTCAGCAGAGGCTACGAGATTTTGTTTTGGAATTCCAGTTGGATAATGCGTTTATTTATCGGTATGCCGCCATGACAACCGACAAGTCTGTTGCGAAACTGACTTAATGTACAGAGACCAACTTCGGCAAAATGTGCTCGTGAAGCAATACTACTGTGACATTGATATTGCCCACTTGGTCTCTTATAATGAAGAGCTGGCGTACAAGCTCACCACTGAACCTGCAGACATCATCCCCCTTGTGAGTAATCCAACTATTGGGCATCGATCAGACTGGTTCTAACCACCACTCCTATATTCAGTTCGAGAACGCTCTCCAGCAATGCACTCAGAGAATCGTTTACCCCTCTCAAAGGGACATAGTGCTTCCATCCCATCAGCTCCTACTTCACTCGTCTGCAGCACATATCTCCATTCGTGATCTTAATGCGACAAATATCTCCCATCTTGTCCGCATTCCTGGTATTGTGATCGGTGCTTCGACGATCTCATCAAAAGCAACAGTTGTTCACATCCGCTGCAAGAACTGCGATCATAGCGAAAACATCCGAGTCGAAGGCGGATTCTCCGGTCTCTCGTTGCCCCGGAGATGCGGCCGCCAGCAGCAACCTGGCGATGCCCCTGGTGAACAGTGCCCTCTAGATCCTTACGTCGTTTCTCACGAGAAATGTCAATTCGTCGATCAGCAAGTTCTCAAGCTCCAGGAAGCACCCGACCAGGTCCCAGTGGGTGAGCTGCCCAGACATGTTCTCGTTTCAGCAGACCGCTATCTGGCAAATCGCGTTGTGCCTGGTTCCCGCTGCACAGTCATGGGTATCTTCTCCATCTATCAATCCAAAGGCGCCAAGAAGGATGGTGCCCCTGCCATTCGTAACCCTTATATGAGGGCGGTAGGCATCAGCACTGATCTGGACCAAACCGTCAAGGGTAGTGCCGTTTTCTCGGAAGAGGAGGAGCAGGAATTCCTAGAGCTCAGCCGTCGACCTGATCTATATGATGCCCTCGCCAGGAGCATTGCTCCCTCGATCTATGGCAACTTTGATATCAAAAAGGCTATTGTCTGCCTGCTCATGGGTGGTTCGAAGAAGATTCTTCCCGACGGCATGAAACTGCGTGGAGATATCAACGTGATGCTTCTTGGTGATCCCGGTACAGCCAAGTCTCAGCTGCTTAAATTCACAGAGAAGGTGTCACCGATCGCCATCTATACTTCCGGTAAAGGTTCATCTGCAGCTGGTCTGACAGCGTCAGTACAGCGAGACCAAGCGACCCGCGAGTTCTATCTCGAAGGTGGTGCAATGGTTCTTGCGGACGGTGGTGTTGTGTGTATTGATGAATTCGACAAGATGAGAGATGAAGACCGTGTCGCCATCCACGAAGCTATGGAACAGCAGACCATTTCGATTGCCAAAGCCGGTATTACCACCATCCTCAATTCCAGAACCTCAGTTTTGGCCGCCGCAAACCCTATCTTCGGTCGGTACGATGACCTGAAAACTCCTGGCGAGAACATTGATTTCCAAACAACCATTCTGTCTCGTTTCGATATGATTTTCATTGTCCGTGATGACCATGACCGCAACCGTGATGAAAGCATCGCACGTCACGTCATGGGCGTACACATGGGTGGCCGAGGTGTTGAAGAGCAAGTTGAGGCCGAGATTCCGCTGGACAAGATGAAGCGTTATATCAGCTATTGCCGCACGTGAGTTCCGGCCATCTCACTACTTAAAATTTTTAGAACATCACTAACATATCGCTTACAGTCGTTGCGCCCCTCGCCTATCCCCTGAAGCCGCAGAGAAACTCTCGTCTCATTTCGTCTCTATTAGAAAACAAGTTCACCGCGCAGAGCTCGACGCCAACGCACGTTCTTCTATCCCTATCACAGTCCGTCAACTGGAGGCCATCGTCCGTATCACCGAGTCCCTTGCCAAGCTCAGCTTGTCGCCGATTGCTACAGAGGCACACGTCGACGAGGCCATCCGTCTCTTCCTGGCCTCAACCATGGACGCAATCACTCAGGGCGAGGGCCAGGGCAGCAAGGAGATGATGGAAGAGGTCAGCAAGATCGAAGATGAACTGAAGCGCAGACTTCCCATCGGCTGGAGCACCAGTCTCGCCACTCTCCGCCGCGAGTTCGTTGACGGACGAGGGTACACGGAACAGGCTCTCAACCGGGCCTTGATGGTCTTGCAGCGCAGAGATACTATTCGTATTCGCTCTGGCGGATCCCAGGTGTACCGTCACGGAGTATAGTTCTCTTTGGTCTTTGTTAATTTGATGACTGATGCTCGCATGGAGTGTGTATGGGCTATGGACAATAATGTTTTTTGACTACGGGAAGCATGCATTACCTGATATCATGTCTTAATAGAAACTGGACTCGGGCACAGCGGTCGAACACGGTGTACGGCGTTGCATTTATTTTAAGATACACAGATCCACAGGTCGAAAATAAAGCCAACTTATCATAATTCCATCTGTTTCCAGTAACTCACGCCACGATATCCATCAACGCCCCGTAACAGAAGTGGTAGTGTAGCAAACGCACACACTCCAGAGTCGTCCCTCTCACACAAGATCGCACTCATCAGCAAGCAGATGAAGAGTCTTCAAGAACCCCAAATCAACAAACTGAACAACCCCATCAGCACTGAACATCGCATCCCGGTGTTCGAGCAATTTAACATGTCTCGCCGCCGCCTTCGACAGCACATCAGCCCGCTTATGCCCAGCAATACAAACTCCACAATGCGCCGGCACCCAATAAACCCTCACCTTAACCCCCAGATCAAACAGCTGCCTCGAAAGCCCACAAACATCCTTCGCGATCGCCCCAAACGCCGACCTATCAGCCTCACCCTGGGACCACCAATTCGCCCACCGCCGAATCATTCCCAACGCAGACATTGAATCCGAAAACACCGTAACCGCATGCTCCTCCACACCCTCCGCAACAGCGACCCTCTTCCCGATTCGTGCCAGCGCAAGTTTCAACGCCGCCCCAATGGCAAACAGCTCCGACATGTCCACCCGCTTCTCACCCTTAAGGTCTGAGATCGCATATCCCAGGTCCATCCACTCCTCACCGTCCTGGGGGTCCTTGTATGCAATCGCCGCGCCGGCGGAGCCTTGGCACCCGCTCGCATCGACCCAGAAATTGTGGAAGTGATACTTGCCCTCGGTTAGGGGGAGGGTGTGTGCATGCTGTGCAGTTGCGATTGCGTCCTCGTAATGCAGGGCGATGAGGTCGCCGTAGAAACCATCCTCGAGTTGGTGGTGGTAGACTTTGTGGTTGGCGACTTTGCGGCGTTTGGATTGGAGTCGCAGTTCCTGTTTCAGGCTCTTTTGCTGCGCAGCCGTCAGGGGTGTGGCTGTTGGGGGAATCTTTCTTTTGTTCACAGCTGATTTGGAGGGTTCATATTCAGTGGTTGTGACGGTGGTGGTAGCATTCTCTGAGGGGTTGGGTGTGAGAGTCTGTTCTTGTTCACGGTGGTGGTTATCAGAGAGTGCGACTGAGTGGTCGATGACATATTCGCGGAGGAAAGCCTTCAGAAGCTCTAGGGACAGCATCTTGGCTTTGGCTGGGTTTTTGTGCTTCTTGCGAATGCCTGAACAGTGTATCGTGAGCTGGCTGTTCTGTAGAACCCCTGTCGCGGATTCTCTATATGGGAGGGAGAGTATTCCGCACATGGTGTTTGTGCTGGAAATATTCTGTTACAGTCTTTCATTCACTGACTGAGGGGTTTTCTGTGAGGCTGGTTGTTTGGCTGGTGAGTGAATGACAGTGAGAGATCAGGCGGCTCCCATGACCTTGGGATGTATACGTAGGGTTTGAGTCAGGGGTTGCCTGAAATCACGGTCATCATTACATATCTAAACCAAGAGACTCTAAAGTCAATATATTGTATAACATGCCATTGATTTAGACCAAGAAGCTGAGATAGCTGATCACTGGATTAAAGATCTACCTTGCAACAGTATATCTGTATTCTGTGATATTCATATTCTAGAACCTCACTTTTCATCCCAAAAACATCAATCAACCCCAGCACTACACCTAACACCACCGCGCTAACCTAACAAGACGCTATTCCTGCTTTGCCCCCTCAACGGGCTCCTCCCATGCCTGTCGTCGATCTGTGAACACCTCCTCATCAGGCCGAGAGATGACATCAAACAAAGAAGCCTTCACAATAGCCTTCCCCGGAAAGCTGGGCGTCTCTGTTATAATCGGACTATGCTTGTGCTCAGCCAACTGTGCTTCCAGCAAACAAAGAAGATGGGAGACCAACCTGCCGCAGTTTGAGCAGAATTTGCGCTACGACGTATCAGTATCTGTATGTTAGTGTCATGACCTAAATAAGTTCATAGAGGTGAGAAGAGAGGGTGGAAGAGACAGTCGCACCTGGATGTGATTTCCACTAACTGTGTTCGTATCTACGTACACTTTTAGACTGGACTGGGGGTCTTGGATTGCGATTTCCTCCTTGTGGAGGACGTAGTTTATAGAGGAGCCTGGCGTGTTATTAATATTAGTAGGTTGAGCTTATGCTTTGGGTGGTGGAGAACTGACCACCTCCCGATCTACTACAATTGCGACTGTGGTTGAATCAGTATATGGACTTGACTAAACACAGGCAACTAATATTAGGACATACCAGTGGCAAACGAGTGAGCTTGGAGGTTGCTGTTCCAGCAGCACGCGGATACGTCCGCATATGCAGTGACCTTCATATGGCATTGTATGTTATCAATATCTTAGGTTCTGTTTTCTGGACAGACAATTCTATGTTCAAGCGTGGGAGGTGAGGTTAAACCTAAGTCTTCAGCTGGGCCGGCTTTCGGCACCGCTGTATTATAAACGCTCCAGTTGATGATGCGGAGTGGAGATAACGGAGTTAAATGAAGCTTGGGCCATGGCTCGAGGTGAGTTTACTTGGGATTGGGTCGTGGATTGGTTTCAATCGGGGAGTGTGTGAGGAGAGTCCTAATTGGGGCCTTCGAGTTCATTTCCATAGTGCAGTGTAGCCACTTGCGTATGGCAACTGCAAGCTGAGGGCAAGTCCAGCCTACGGGCAAGTCTAACCTCACGGCAGGGGAATTGCAAATTGGTGCTATTTCGATTTTGATTGTCTGCAGTTCGAGAGAATTTTCAATCCTCTTTGCTTGTATCGCCTTCCGGGATAACGAATCAGTATGACTGTCTTATAATAGATAGACAGGCCTATGATGGTCTATGTGGAGTAGAGTGGTAGTCTTTATATATCGTTGGAGCTGGGATGTATAGGCTGTACAAGACTCACAGACATACTATTATGGCCAATTCTGCTCATCCTAGCCATACTCATGGGTTGTCCAATAGTTGCTGGAAAATACCCAAGCATTGCCGCTCCTAAGTCATCAGCTAAGGAATTGCCATCACAGCATCACTAAGGGCAATGGACGGTTGCAGTCGGAAGACCTCCCCACCGAACCCCGCGGCCCCGACGTCAACTCTTTCCATACCACACTCACACTACAATACAACGTCGAGATCAATAAAATCTACGCCATTTCTTTAACGACCTACAGAACGCAGTAATTCTTAACAAGCAAGCGAGGCGGAACCAGCTTGCTGCAACAGAGTACGACATCCTACGGACAATTCCCCGCACCCCGCGATTTCCCCAAACCCTTCGACCTCTACGCGACGTCACAAATCGTCCGATTCAGCCATCATGGTCCCTACAATTCGCGTCGTCGGCTCTCTCAACGCCGACATGGTGTCGGTGACACCTCGCTTTCCTGAAGCTGGTGAGACGATCACCTCCTCATCATACTTTATTAGCGCTGGAGGCAAGGGCGCGAACCAGGCGGTTGCCTGCGGGCGGCTGTCTCGTGCACGATCAGCCTCGTCTACGTCTTCGGGCAAGGGTTCCGTGAAAGTGGAGATGGTTGGTGCCGTCGGTGGATTGGACGGCCACTTCGATGCATTACTCAAGCCCACTCTCGAGAAATCCGGTGTCGATACGTCGCGAGTCAAGATCGTCAGTGATGCATATACGGGAGTAGCGGTGATCATTGTGGACTCGTCGGCTGGCGGGGAAAACCGCATTCTGTTCTCGCCTGGAGCGAATTATCAAGGGATGCAGCCTGAGCCGTCAGTGCTGGGAATGGCAATGGCAGCCCCTGTACCGGATGTGATTGTGATGCAGGGAGAGATTCCTGTTGAGAGTGTCATCGGGATACTCCGAGACATTGGGGCTTGGAAAGCTAAGAACCGAGCAGAGGGTAAGCGAGGTATTGAGGCCGGCCCTGATGTCATGTTTAACCCTGCGCCTGCTCCACCGGGAGGATTGCCGGAGGACGTGTACGCGGCGGTGGACCACTTTATCGTGAACGAGACGGAGGCCGAATTGATGACTCCACCGGCGGAGCAGCTGCTCAAGGTGGTTCCCGATGCGGAGGGACTGAGCGGTGGCGACAAGGTGGCTCGGTATTTCCATCAGCTGGGCGTGACGTACGTCCTGATAACGTTGGGATCTAAGGGCCTCTGGTATAGTGCTACTGACGCCGGGACGTCTGGGCCTGCGGACGGAGTCAACCGCTTTACCAATCAGATTCCCGCTGCTAAGGTCAGCCGGGTGCTGGATACCACTGCGGCGGGAGATACCTTTGTTGGTGCATACGCGGTCGCGGTGGCACGGTGGCGCGAACAACGACGTGCGGACAGCAAGGCCGGACAAGACTTAACAAGCGAGGAGAAGCCTGTTCGATATCAGAAGGTCATGGATGACGCCATGGGATGGGCGACACAGGCCTCCGCACGCTGCGTGGAGCGACAAGGAGCCATGGACAGCATTCCGTGGGAGGACGAGATCTAATCAGGAACGAAAGCGAAGAGAAAATGAAATGTACATTACTGCAGAACATCCAAGGGATTTATCATCGACGAGCTTAGTCGGTGCGATTGTCCACTCGTATTGGGAGGACCAGTATGCAGGAAACGGTAAAAGGGAAAAAAAGTTGGAATGGAGCATTGTCGGAATTAAAATAGATAATAAAGCGCCTTCCCCGTTGACGACCATGGCGTCAAATATGTCTTAAAAGCCTCGAGGGCTGCGAGTTAAGCGTGAAGTATGGAATGTGCACGGGATAGCCTCCGCAGACTGTACCTCACGTCTGACAGGCGGTTGGCATTTCATTCCCGCAATGCCAGCCCAGAACCCTAACATCGTGCGCCATCGATTAATCTCGGCGCGTAAGTCGCATACATATCGCAGTCTCGAAGTTCCAAGGTCCTGGTCACCATGGAAAGACACACCGCGCGAACCCTAAGGTGTTTCAAGGTAACCACAGTGACAGCGATACACAGGCTGAGCAAAGCCGCGCAGAGTCCCAAGAAACCTTAATTTGGAATTAGAGCCGGCCGATCGATTTCTACTTATAGAATGGGCGCTACGGTTAAGTTAATTAAAGTTACTTGCTTCTTCGGTTCGTAGTCTGTATAACATGGTTTCCTTGTAACCGCCGTCGGGACGCGCATGAGGGAATTGGGTGGCGTCGTTCTTGAAACAGGGTTGGAATACGTGTTCGATGCTGGGGGACTATGATAATATGATAGTACGCGACAAGACACAAGACTTGGTCAAGTTGCATGGTGAGCTTGAATCGAGGCCTTTAAGTTTCAGGGTCGTGATGCAGACGCGTTGCAGGGATGGTGTCATGATGGACTCCGTATTGTACGTCCTTCGTGTACCGTCGGTATTGTATTAGGGCTGGTATCGAGATAAGCTCATGCTTTTTGAATTACCAATCTTGCAATTCCCATCACGATCCGATATTTATACCTCGGGTGATGACATCTCAAGGTTTTTTTCACCAGGCTACTAACGCTGGCATACAGTATTATTGAACGCTAAATATTCCAGCCAGTGGATCTACGATTATATACGGAGTACAGTTCTACTGCTATGGCTGGCTCAAGCCTTGTGTACTCATATATGTTGGCGGTTATACCTATAATCCCCTAGCTATTCAGTTATCTACGTAATCTTTCTTTCTATTTACTCTTCTTGATTCAAGTTAGAAGTAGTTAGGAGGTACATTGTAGACATGTTGTAGATTACACCCCGTGCCTGCAACACGAAAGGTTAGCGTGTATTGGGTGGGGAAGTGAAAATTACCGCATTGCTGATTAGATCGGTAAGGTTACATGATTATCTACCATCGTCGATCTACATCGTGTATCACTGACTAGTGTGCCAATAACTCTGCCAATTGGGAGTCAATGACACAATCGTACTGAAAATGAAAAGTATATCGTTGATTTCATGAGTCTTTATACTCGTCATCATTCTTCTCAACAGAGAGAGAACTCAGGGGAGTGGATGGTTCTACCTAACCTTGACCGTGTACCTGGTATGTACGACAGAATGGATGGAAAGCCGCGTACCTGGCCGACGGAACGAGGTTCAGAGGGTCTAGGTTCTATACATAAGCAGTACTACTTACGTAGAAGCTCTGGTGGGGTGAACTGAAGTGAGGGGACGAGCATTGAATTGTGCCTCGTGAGCCAATCCATACGCGCCTTACAGCCTGACTGCCAAATCGAGACATAATCAAGCTGATGGCTGCGACACGTCTTCACGCGTTTTCGCCCCTCCCTGTCTTCACGAGATCCTACTCCGTACTTAAACTTACATGACTATTAGAATGCGAACTATAATTATACTTCGTGGGAGAGATAACGATGATTCAATATTCATTCCTCTTCGAGCCGTACATACTCTGAAACCACGCATCTGCATGTTTCGCGCTCCTCAATTGTCATTCTCATTCCAATATCCTGCCCTCCATTCTTAGCCATTCCCCTCCACTTCTCCTGCGGCCCTTACTGCCATAGCTTTATATCTTGTCTCGACTGCCACTGTTGTGACCGTTTCTTTTCATCCGTTCATCGCATCCCCCTCGTCGTGTTGTTGTTGTTGTGTAATATATCCATCCTGAACGTGTTTGTGTTTTGCGAAAAGCTCGACACGACTACTCGAGAGACCCGTGGCCCTGTCCAACTTTGACTTGGTTCCTCCCTAGAGATTGCATACCTCATCTTTGGATCTTTCGCGATCGGTTCCAGTTGAACCGTTGGGTTGTGTTGATCGCGGTAGTACTACCGTACAGTACTAGACCGCCCGTCACCCCCACTTCCTCGACGCGACCAAAACAAATCCACACCCGCGCAGCCTCATCATACACTCAGCTCCACGGCAGTCTTCGCTTGCTGCCTGGTTGACTCCCTTTATTACTCCAGCCCTATTACTCTGCATTGCAATTGTCTCAGTTCTCCCATCACTCGCGTCGAATAACATGGCCGCTCTCACAATGTCTCCCACGACCGTGCGCCAGCCCTTTGCGAGCTTGGATACACCGCGCATGCGACCCTTGCTCAAGGCAAAGATGAACCTTAAAAACCAACAAAATGGTGTGTTTCTTGGATTATAGCTATGTACCAATAAGTACTAACCTGATCACCAGGCACGATTCTGTCTGGCAAGAGGCAACCCCTCTCGGAGGTGGACACCGAGAACATCGACCCCACAACCTTGAAGTCCTCGACAAAACGCAAGCGTGGCGCGGATGAGGACGAGCATGAGCCTGTCAAGAATATTGCCAAGCCCTTGAAGTCCTCGCGGATCACGTTGACAACCGTGAAGTCCAATGCAGCTCCTCACATCCCAACCACGCCCCCCAAGGCATCCCTGTCTACCCCCAAATCCGCTCCCGCCCTTAAACCGGCGGGGCGCTCCCCACAGGCCAAACCGTGCAAGCCATTCGCTCGTCGCTCGACCATTGCGAAGAGCCGTCCTGAGCCTGCAAGCAAAAAGAGTGTCCATCGTCCTTTTTCCCTTGCTGCAGCACTGGCAAGTGGCAAGCCAACGAGTCAACCGGCCTCCAAGGCTCCCTCTGGCTGGTCTTTCGACATTTATGTAGACTCAGAGCAAGAGGAGATGACCAACCTCATGCAACACTCAACCTGTGTGCTAGATATCAGTGATGACGAAGGCAAGGGGGAATCGGCCACCCGAGGCAAGGAGAATATCCCTCCTGCCGAACTCGGAATCGACCTTCCTCGCTCTCGTCAACGGGAATCCCCCGCTGCTGCCGCCCGCAAATCCGTCATGATGGAAGAATCTCGTGCTCCCCTCGGCGACCTGATTGCCGCTGACTACTATGGCGAAGACTGCCACACTTTCTCTTATGCCGTCGTCTATGACGACGAGGAAACCGATGCCACGCCCGCCAAAAAAACACTTCTTCCCACTTTGCCTCGATCCTGCCCTCACAGCCGCAGCAAACTTTCCAGTGTCTCATCGATTTCATCATTACTTGAAGCGATCACGCCTGAGAAGCAGGTCAGGGACGCCAAGTCCGGACCATCAGAGGCGGAGGTTGAAGTCTGGGAGAGTGGAAGCGCTGTGGATGAGTCTACCTAAGGCACAAAGAAGCCGATTCAGTCGGCTTTGTGATTATAATTCCATTGATCATTCTTTTTGGTACGGCGTACAGTGAAACTTGGAGTTGAGGCTTTAGCACTTGGATTTTCTTTGCGTTGTTTTATTCGATACCCTTTTGGATTACTTTCCTTTTTTTGTCCATATTATTATCTCAGGTCTTGATGACCAGCCGACTGTGACTTGTTCCAGTTCTCCTTTGTTCCTACTTGAATAACTACGCACCGAAGAGTGCAAATGCCGTCCTTCCTACAATGTCCTGAATAATATAAGATTCCTTACCTCATTGGATTTATTTGGCTTGATATCTATCATTCTGTTGAACGATGCTATGTTTGTGCTTATGAGTGAGAACGTGCCACGTTTCTGATGTCTTATGATGTACATACATCCGGCTGAACAATGCGATTAGTATAAATACCGTATCTTGATAACAAAAGTCAACATAAATCTTTCAAATGCCATCACCGCCGACTTCCTGACTTGCGCTGAGGTCTCGATTCCTCGGTGTCCTCTCCCCCGTCCGATTCTTCAAGATTGTCATTTCCGTCGTCATCTCCACCTGTTGTAGTAGCGCCTTCGATAACCTCATCTATAGCATCTAAAATCTCTTGCTTCTCAATAGCCTCCTCTTCACCCTCACTCTCATCCTCGCGCGACGTATCCCGCCACTGCACTCGACGACCCGCAGCACCCTTCCCACGCTTCGTTGTCGTATCCTGCTCCTGTTGTCCCTGATTCGCCTCCCTCCATGATGGCGTCCCCTTAATCATCGCCCTAATCTCTGTCGCCATCGTCAACTCCCTGTTCGACACAACGCTAGCATCCAGCGTAAACGCCGTATTCACGTTCTCCGGCGTCGCGTAATCCGGGAAACTCAGAATCCGCGCAAAGTCCTGGTCCTCGGGGATCCGCTCCTCAATGAGCCCAAGGATCTTATGACGCATGATCAGTTTCAGTTTCGCGAGCGTCCCACCTCCATACCACCCATCGCTGACTGTGTCGCATGTCTCGCGGATAAACCCAGGCGCCTCTTCCGCCGGGAACACGATACTCCTCAGCAGAGGATCGGTGATATCGCAGAACATCCACATCCGGCCGTCGAGCGGCAGCGGCAGCTGGCCTGTGAAGATGTGCGTATCTGATTTCAGATCGGTAGACGGATCCGCCGCGGCCGGTTCGTTGAGTCGGGGCACGGCGTGACGACGTCCTGCGTAGCCGTCGCGCGCCACGTCCGCTTCCCGGGGCAGGATCCGGAACATGACTGTTTGGTAGCGGCGGTAGTCTGGGGATGTGCGCGGGTCGTGCCCGAATTTGATGATGGCGTCGCGCCACGGTCCGGACCGCATGATGTAGCCTACGTAGGGGATTGCGAGCCGGAGGGCATATCGCTGTTCGATTGTGCGGAGGTTGTTGCGGAGTCCGCGACGGGTCCAGGCTGGGCGTTTCTCGAAGAGGTCTCGGATGATGGCTACTGTTTCTCGGAGGGTGGCGTCTTGCGTTTCTAGGGGTGGGGTGTTTTCGTTCGGTTTGCTGGGTACTTCCGCGACGTCGTAGGAGACTAAGTGCGTTAGGACCTTTGTGGGCTTTTGTGTGTTGACTGTTGTTATGTTGCCTGATGAGTCGATCGATTGGCGGACTGCTTGGTTTTGCCGGTACCTGATTTGAAGGGTTAGCATGGGTGTGGGTTGGGTTCATTGGTGTCGTGGTGACTTACGCATAGGTGAAGGGGATATCTCCCTGGCTGAAAGATGGTGGTGGGATGATATCGACGTTTGATGACATGCCTTTGGCCATGTCTAGGTTGAATTGCTTCATCTTTTCATCTGCGATACCATTAGTTTTCGCCCTGCTAGGCCGAACATAGGATAAAACAAACAGTCAAAAGGCAGGATATGCTCCCGAAACCGATTAGCGAAGGAGCTACCAGTACTCGAGAAGACAAAGTCCGGCATCCCTATAAAGCCTCATTAGCGTCATTTTGCTCGCAAGCCGCACAGAGCAGAAAGTGAGAAAGTTAGAACAGACCTCGAAACACGTGCGTCCGGTTCACAAGACCGACCGGCTCAATCTGATATTTGCCAACATTATCGCGCAAACTCCGCAGTAGCTCCCTTGCGCTGCGCCGTGGCTGAAACTCAGGGCCAAGCGTCGAGACAGGGACACCGGTGAACGGCTCATCTGATCCTCGCTTACGCTTACGACCGGTGCGTCTGGGCACGGTCACCTTCAGGAGGATGTTGTTGGATGGCAAGCTGGTTGATTGAATAGGTCTCGACATTGCATCCTCTGGTCGGAGGTAGAGATACGCCGGAGTATCGGCTTTTGGAGGGTTTAGTATCTGGCAGTTGTGAGCATAATACCCTGGGATAAACCGTCTTGGGGTGGGACTTAATGTCAGGGTCCTGTGGATAGAGATATAAATACCTTGGAAATCCCCGTATTACCCTGGAGTGTGTCGATGGCTTTATCGACATTCTTGATAATCGCCGGGTGCTCGACACTGACGATGCGGCGAGGCGGGATGGGATAGAATGGGGCTGTCCTGGACCCCTGTTGTTCGGACATGTTGAGGATCGTGATGTAGTGATCTGCTAGCCCTGGTTGGATTGGGTTGGGTTGAGGCTATGAGAGGTTATTGAAATTGAGTGGTTGTTGGATGTAGTCAAAATGTAGATGTATATTTGATGTCAGTCAGTACCAGGGAGATTGCCGTTGACGTCACAACGTAAGACGTTGTTTTAAGGAAGCGCGTCGAAAGGCTTCATATGTGAGCTGAGGCCAATTCTTCAAGTTATATCATTTCTGGTGAACTCCAGAGGACGTAATGAAACCTCTTTTATATGTACATGTAGTTACGTTGATTGATTTGAACTTGCTTCTTTCTATGAGGGTGAATAATCGGCGGTCATGGTCACATGACCACAGCACTTTTTTTTTTTTTGGTGGAACTTACGGGAGTAGTCTTTCGAGTACCAATTGCAAAAAATGGAGACAGAGCAAAGAACAACATTATACAAATGTATGAGGCATATTAATACTACGGGAATGTTTTAAAATAAAGACAACCAAGGGAAAAAAAAACCCATATGATCATGTGGGTAGCCGATGTACTGTTGTTTTATATTTTTGCCAATTTCCAGTACCCGTCCCTTGCCTTATGTATGTACCTGTCCCAGGCACAGCTGGTGCCGTACCTATAATAGGAACCGGTAGTGGAAATAATAAGCATAAATGTGAAACAGTTCATAACATTCAACTGATGTGGACATCAGGGTAAAATATGAGGAAAGATGGAAAAAGTTCTGTCTTCCACCTACAGAATATACAGAATCAGTCTCTAGGGATCTAGAAGAAATTCTATTGTATATACTAGGTTTGAACCATATCACCGCCAAATTGACTGATACCTGTAGTACTGGTATGTTCCCCTTTACTGGAGTTTACCGTAGTAAGTTGGTCGTACTATGTATGGGACTAAGTCAGTCCCACGGCTTTCCTCCACCACACGTCTGAGCGCACCTCGCCCTCCTCAGCCACAACACACCCCCCGTCAGACCTTCAGTCCCTCTTCCTCATTAAACAATCTTCTATATCAACCGGCCCTTTTCTCGGCCCTATTGAAATTGCGCAGAATTATTTTAAACCGCATTGTGTAGGCGACAACCGTGCCGTGCGTCTCAGTACCTGGGGATTCTTCTCCCACACCCCCGCTTCTCACCCAGCCGCTAAGCGACAGCCAACGGAAAGGCGATTCGATCGTCTGCGGACCGACTAACTGCCTAAGTTGCTCCTATACCGCTCAGTTCGCGCCTAAGGAAACAGCGTGAGAGCGACCGAACATCTCCCCTTTCCACTCGTCCCAGTTTGATCCCACTGAGGTAAGTCATGCAGCAATAGTTTCCTGTTCCTCTTCCGCGTCTAGAACCATTCTTTGTTTATCCCCCTCTCTTTCTGGTTCCCATCTATTATGTTCGTTGTCCTACCGTCTCCTTCCCCCCAAGTGGTTCCCTTTGCTTCATTATCCCACCCCTCCGGTCTTTCTGCACGGTTTCTATTAATCGACGTCAGTTGGTGCTGCGACGTCTACTCATTGCTGTCATAATTGCTTCGGCAATCATAACAAAAAATGCCCTTATCGCAATCGATTGCTATGTTGAACTACGTTGGGGTTGGAATCGCTCATGTGGTCATTTCCAGGCCGATATAAACAATCCGGGTCTCCTGAACCGCCTCCACGCTGCCCAACTACATCCCCTCCTGCTAGTGTGCGGCATCTTGCTGCACTGGCATCGAGATCGCCCACCGAGTACATGTGGCTGTTCGAATATCTGCGACAATGAAGGGTTTCAGACAGAGAGTGGTAAGTTGATACACTTCGTCGCCGGTCTTCCTCTTTTCCGCCCCGACTTCGATCCCCGCCTCAATATCACCACAGCCGCTGGCCTCCCTATACCTAGCTAACCGTCCCAGCACGAGCAGTTGTCGAGGGCCAAAGATGCAAACAAATCTTCGAAGAAGAAGGATTCCTCCCACACGTCCCAGAACCAAGCCTCCCTCGGAGTCAACCACGGTCAGCAATCCTCATCTCCGAAGAACGGCACCCCGACCTCGTCGACAACTTCGGTGAATGATACAAGAGGGAAGTCTCCGGATAATGCTGCGCAGGCGGGGGTGTATCCCCCAGGTCAGTACCATGTTCCTCAAGGCGCAGGCGTCGCTGGTCAGCCAGTAAATAATGGTGGTCCAGCAACTCCGACGAAACAAGGGCAAGTACCGGCCCCTAGCGTGGTCATCAGTCCGAGCGCACCGGTGAGCCCTACTCTCCATCCCCGTCCATGTCTCCGGGTCAAGGCGACCTAGTAGCCCCCCGGCGTTCGCTCATCGCGCTGACCCTTGGCCCGTTTTCTAGCATGTCCCTCCCCCTGGCGCTGCTGAAACGATGCCGGGCGACCTGGCCCCTCCCAGAAAGTCCCATGTCTTCGACCGCCTCCAGACAACGCCCAAAGATATGTCCGAAGGCATCAGGACTCCCAAACGTCAGCATTCGTCGCGGTTTGATATCTCGGATCAACGCCAAAGAGAGTTAGAGAAGTTGCCGGGATTCCATGAAGTAATACCCAGCCGGCGCCAGGAGCTGTTTATGCAGAAAATTGATCAATGCAACATCATCTTTGATTTCAACGACCCGACTGCCGACATGAAGTCGAAGGAGATTAAGAGGCTGGCGCTCCACGAACTCCTGGATTATGTCGCAAACAACCGTTCGGTGATCACGGAACCCATGTACCCCCGAGTCGTTGAGATGTTCGCTAAGAACCTCTTTCGACCCATTCCACCGCCTGTGACACCCCAAGGGGAGGCCTTTGACCCGGAAGAGGATGAACCTGTTTTGGAAGTGGCTTGGCCTCATATCCAGGTGGTTTATGAGTTCTTCTTACGGTTCATTGAGAGCCAGGATTTCAACACGAATATCGCCAAGGCTTATATCGACCATCACTTTGTATTACAGGTATGTCACCTAGACGGTTGGCACCGTGTAACTGTAGAACGAGACCTATATGTTGACACTCGCATAGCTACTGGAGTTGTTTGACTCCGAAGACCCTCGGGAACGTGATTTCCTGAAAACTACCTTGCATCGCATTTACGGAAAATTTCTGAATCTGCGCTCTTATATTCGCCGCTCCATCAATAACGTGTTCTTCCAATTCACTTACGAGACGGAGCGATTCAACGGAATTGCAGAGCTGCTCGAAATCCTCGGATCCATTATCAACGGCTTTGCACTCCCGCTGAAGGAGGAACATAAACTCTTCCTGACGAGGGTTTTGCTGCCCTTGCACAAAGCCAAAGGCCTCAGCATGTATCACCCGCAGTTGGCGTATTGTATTGTACAGTTCCTCGAGAAGGACTCATCGCTGACGGAAGAGGTGAGACTCCCACCCATTTACCTTCGAATTTCGGTTAGCCTGACGCTGAACTCGAATTTAGGTTGTTCTCGGCTTACTACGCTATTGGCCGAAGGTCAACAGCACGAAGGAAGTGATGTATTTGAACGAAGTAGAGGATATTTTCGAGGTTATGGACCCAGCGGAATTTGCCAAGGTCCAAGTGCCCTTGTTCCAGCAACTGGCGAAGTCAGTTGCAAGCCCCCATTTTCAGGTATGGACCAGCCTAGTTTGTCTCATTCACAGTTCTAATACGTATTCGGACAGGTGGCGGAACGTGCTCTCTATTTCTGGAACAATGAATACTTCTGCAACTTGGTCAGCGATAATGTGGAGACTATCTTACCGATCATGTTCCCTCCGCTGTACGAGAACTCGAAAGGACACTGGAATCGGTGGGTTACTCATTCGCCACCCGTTCCCTATCGAGATTGCTGACTTGTAGACAGAACAATCCACAGCATGGTATATAACGCCATGAAGATGTTCATGGAAATCAACCCGCAGCTTTTCGACGAATGCTCGCATGAGTATAACGAGCGGCAGAACAGTGCCGAGCAGCGTGAAAGAGCCCGAAAGGAGCGATGGGAAAAACTGGCAGAGCAGGCCAAAGACCGGCAGAACGGTGTTCCTCCGCCACCGCCACCAGCGGACGTTCCTGTTTATGTAGACGAGGTTGATAGCATCACTCAAGATAGTCAGAATCGTCTCCAATCTCTGAAGCTGGATGACTCGGGCTCAGTGAAGGAACGACGGAGTTCAACGGTTAGTGTCCATGCCTGAGTGTTCGTGAAGTCATGTTTTGACATGACCTTGTCTGCACATTGATGAACCTTTCCCCCTGCTTTTGTCGTCATCGTTTTGCTAAGATTTCGTCGTTTTTAATGTTACAGCAAGCGTGATTCTAACGTTAAAACGTCGGTTGCTCCAGAGACGGCGCCGCGACACCCTTGATGATACTCGGAGGCGACGGAGTGGTAGCGGCAGTGAGATCCGGCCGCGCGACCGTAGAAGGTCGATCGGGTCGAGTGCCGTGCAGATCTTAACACGAAGCAATTCTACCAAGTGATGGACGGTCGATTTGATGGCACTCATTAATTTAGATTTCCCATAGTGATGGCATAGCGACTACGAGCTGCGATGAGTGTGTTTGTTTTCACTTGGTTTGACATTTGATCAGAACCCTCTGTTACCCGCCTTTCACCCTCTATATCTTTCCGATCTTATTTTTCTTTTCTCTTTCATATCTCCTTTTGTGTACATGGCTTTCAATATTCCTTTCTCCGCGCGCAGGGCTATCTTTGTGCCCGTGATTCAAAGCGGACGTTTGAGTTGGACTATTAGAACTGTGTTCGGGTCTGGAAAACGGGTGCAAATGGCGTTTCCCTTAGTCGACGTTTATGTCGATGACCTCTTTTGATTCTAAAACATTATGAAGTATTTATGGCATAACAGACTAAATCCACCACTATATGCACCTCACTTTCGGTAATTAACCACGTGCGCCCGAAGCGGTACCCCTGTCTGGCGTCTATAGACACTTACATGATAGGGGTACTAGCCGACAAGCGTTTTCAGACGCGCGCTTATCGGCATGGAGAAATGATGTAGCGAAATTTCCTGTTTAGGCCTAGTGTTCCGTTCGGGGTCTTTGCGATACCCGCGTTCTCGCTGCTGCTTTCTGGTCCATCGGTTTGCAGGTGTGAATTTGCGCGCAGTTCTCTTGACCTTTGATACCCTCCACTTTCTTTCCCCGCTCCCCACGTCCTTCTCTCTCCTTACGCTCTTTATTTAATTATTCTTCTTTGCTATACCTTCTGTTTAATTTGTGAGGGAGATTAATGACTTGACGCTTGCATTCTTTGTTCTGTCCGATGCAGCGTCTTCCGTCGATGGGCCATTCGTGATAGCCTATTCCTATCGCTTTCACGCGGATGAACACAACGTACGAAGCGAATTGTGCTGGCGCTCGACTTTTAGCCGGCCGTGTGGCCTGGCATTAATACAATCAATCTAACCTCTTAAATACTCCCCTGGAGGTGTCTCGCCGACCATGGAGCGCAATATCGACATTTACGCCAGCAAGCTGGGCGACGAGAAGCTTGGTACGTCCGATATTTCGATGCTTTCGGGGAATACGCTGGGATAGGAGCTTGGGCTTGCCTGAGGGCAGCTTTGCGGAGCTTGCTGCCCTTGCTGACTGTCTTCCAGATATCAAAATCCGAGCCAATGTCGCCGTCGAACTACGAGACAATATCGAGCCCTTATGCTCTGGTGCAAGCTATCCCATCTTCCTTTCGAAGCTATGGCCGGTGTTCAAGGGTATACTGAAGGGCGAGCCGGTGTTTACAAACTTGTCGTTCGAGCAGGTGAGTCGCCTTGGTTGGAGATATCGTTCTGTCTTTCTGCGTTGCAGACGTACGTTGTGGGGTCGGTGCTCATATGTCGTGTAACCGACTAGAAACTACGCAACTGTGTTCTCGAGACTTTACACCGGTTACCGATGGCCTCTCCCGATGTCGAGCCCTACGCCGCAGATATGGTGGACTTCTTGATGGACCTGGTACGGATCGAGAATGAGGAGAATGCCGTCCTATGCATGAAAACTATTATGGATTTGGAACGCAATCAGGCAAAGGCAACAGCTGCCCGGGTACAGCCGTTCCTCGAGCTTATTCAAGAGATGTTCCAGACAATGGAACAGGTTGTTCGCGACACCTTCGACACACCTAGCCAGGCCACACCCTCCGGCATGCCTTCAACACCCGGTGCCACAGCTCAGAACTTTCAATCTCCTCGACCTAGTTCGCCCGCAACTTCAGTCTCAGACCTCGGTCCTTCCGATCAACAAGGGAGCAACGTTTTACTCAAGGGGATGCAGTCCTTTAAGGTTCTGGCAGAATGTCCGATCATCGTCGTTTCCATCTTCCAGACCCACCGGAATTCTGTAGCGGCGAACGTGAAGCTCTTTGTGCCCCTTATAAAGAGCATCTTGCTTCTCCAAGCCAAGCCACAGGAGAAAGCCCATGCGGAGGCAGCTTCCCAGGGCATGATCTTTACTGGTGTATGCAAGGAGATCAAGAACAGATCTGCCTTTGGTGAATTTATAACGGCACAGGTGAAGACGATGAGCTTTTTGGCGTATCTGCTGCGCATGTATGCCCATCAGCTTCAGGATTTCCTTCCGACACTGCCTTCAGTGGTCGTCCGCCTTCTTCAGGACTGTCCCAGGGAGAAATCCAGTGCCAGGAAGGAGCTTCTTGTTGCAATTCGTCATATCATCAATTTTAACTATCGGAAGATTTTCCTGGAGAAGATTGATGAGCTTCTTGATGAAAGGACTCTGATTGGGGACGGCCTTACTGTATATGAGACGATGCGGCCTCTTGCCTACAGCATGCTCGCAGACTTGATCCACCACGTACGGGACCATCTGACTCGTGATCAGATCCGGCGAACTGTCGAGGTGTACACTAAGAACCTTCACGATGACTTTCCAGGGACAAGCTTCCAAACCATGAGTGCTAAATTGCTTTTGAACATGGCAGAAAAGATTTCCAAGCTTGATGATAAGCGAGAGGCCCGGTATTTCCTCATCATGATCCTTGATGCTATTGGTGACAAGTTTGCGTCTATGAACTACCAGTTTGACAATGCAGTGAAAGTGTCAAGGGCGTACAAGACAAGCAAGAAAGACATTGAGCCTTCATCAGAGAGATACCTTGCCGACAAAGACCACCCACCCGACTGGGATGAAATTGATATCTTCTCGGCGTCACCGATCAAGACTTCGAACCCTCGCGATCGAGGAGGGGATCCCGTTTCTGATAATATCTTCCTCTTCAAGAATTTAATTAACGGGTTGAAGAATATCTTCCACCAGCTGAAGAACTGTAATCCGGATCATATCCAGATCGACCCGAACAGTGTCCCGATCAATTGGTCTGAGGTCTCTTACGGTTATAATGCTGAGGAGGTGCGGGTCATCAAGAAACTATTCCATGAGGGAGCTCGTGTCTTCAAGTATTACGGTGTAGACCAGCCACCACCAGAAGTGAACTACTCTTCACCCTTTGATTTTCTGGCAAGTCAGTATACTGCACCAATGTCACGAGAAGAAAAAGAACTTCTGGAGAGCTTTGGAACCGTCTTCCACTGCATCGACACAGCCACATTCCACGAGGTCTTTCATTCTGAGATACCCTACCTCCATGAGCTTATGTTTGAACATGGCGCTTTATTGCATCTGCCCCAATTCTTCTTAGCAAGCGAGGCAACGTCTCCGGCCTTTTCCGGAATGGTGCTCCAATATCTCATGGATCGAATCGACGAAGTGGGAACTTCAGATATGACCAAGGCCAAAATCTTGCTTAGGATGTTCAAGCTCTCTTTCATGGCAGTGACGCTCTTTTCAGTCCAGAACGAGCAAGTGTTGCACCCTCATGTAACCAAGATTGTTACTAAATGTATAGAGCTTTCGGTGACTGCTGAGGAGCCTATGAACTACTTCCTATTATTGCGGTCATTATTCCGCAGTATAGGGGGTGGTCGCTTCGAGCTCCTGTACAAGGAAATCTTGCCCTTGCTGGAAATGCTTCTCGAGACGTTCAATAACTTGTTGAGCGCGGCTCGGAAGCCCCAAGAGCGTGATCTCTACGTTGAACTCACCCTTACTGTTCCCGCTCGCCTTAGCCATCTCCTGCCACATCTGAGTTACCTCATGCGTCCTATCGTAGTAGCGCTGCGCGCAGACTCCGACCTCGTAGGACAGGGACTTCGAACCCTCGAGCTCTGCGTGGACAATCTCACTGCCGATTACCTGGATCCTATTATGGCCCCTATTATGGACGAGTTGATGACCGCGCTGTGGGACCACCTTCGGCCTCACCCGTATAACCACTTTCATGCGCATACAACCATGAGAATACTGGGCAAGTTAGGTGGCCGCAACCGGAAGTTCCTGAACCACCCTCCGGAACTTACCTTTGAACAATTTACCGATGACGCTCCTAGCTTTGATATCAAGCTTATTGGGCCTAGTGAGAAGCGTCCTTTCCCCATTGGTATCGGTATTGATCTGGCCATTGCGAAGTTAATGGAGACACCGAAGACGCCTACTGCGAAGGCGTCTGATGTATACTACAAACAGCAGGCATTCCGCATGATCTCGTCCCAGCTGAAGCTCTTTATCGGACCTGAAAACCTCCCAGAGGATTTGGCATCGCTCCTTCGGTTACACGCTAATGACCTCTTCGAGAACAAGACTACTGGTATGCCCGACATCTTGGACAAGTCGGAGCGATCAAGCTCTATTCCGAAAAAGCTGTCACAGGAGGTTTCACTGAAGAAGCTTCTCAAGGCTAGCGTTTTCGCCACCACCGTTCCTGATCTGAAACAAACTGCGACTAATTTCGTGGCCGACGTTTGCAAACATTTCGCAGTTGTTGAGGTTGGACGGGCCCTGGCTCAAGTCAGACATAACAGGAAGCCGTTCGATGTTGCTAGTGGCGAAGGATCGGTGTACCTTGACTCTCGAGTCCTCGCAGAGGCCATAGTTGAGAGTCTATCCTCTGACAATGCCCGTGTCCGTGAAGGTGCGCAGGCGGCGATGGAGGTCATGAAAGACGCAGCCGGCGTCATCTTTGGCACCCCTGAGCGCATATCAAAGCTACCCTTCTTCCAGCATCTTGGCCGTGTCTTCTGCCACAGCTGTCATAGTGAAGAGTGGTTTACCAAAGCGGGAGGCAGTCTTGGGATTCACCTTTTTGCAACGGACTTGGATCTCGGCGATTCTTGGCTCTTTGACAAACAAGCTGAATTTGTCCGGGCGTTGATGTATGTCATTAAGGATACGCCTGCCGACCTACCCGCTAGCACAAGAATAAGGGCGCAAGATACCCTAGACTTAATCCTTCGAAGATGCTGCAAGAATGTTTCCAAGGATGACTTGAAGAATGAAAAGAGCCGTCTCTATTCTCTGTGTGGATTCTTTGTCTACGAGCTCTCACATATGAACAAATACGTTCGGGAAGCTTCTCGTCGCAGCTTCTCAACTATTGCTGAGGTCCTAGGGTGCCAAGTCCATGAGCTCATTTTCCCCGTGAAAGATCGTCTGTTGCAGTCTATCTTCAACAAACCGTTGCGGGCCCTGCCTTTCCCCACTCAGATAGGCTTTATCGATGCTATCACTTTCTGCTTGAGCCTGCACAATAATATCGTGACGTTCAACGATCCATTAAACCGACTTATGCTGGAGTCCCTCGCCTTGGCAGATGCTGATGATGAGTCTCTGGCATCCAAGCCAAATGAGTTCAAGAATGCTGAGATGATTGTAAATCTGCGCGTGGCCTGTCTCCGTCTTTTATCGATGGCAATGAGCTTCCCGGAGTTTGCCAACACGCCCCAGAACACCAGCCGTGCTCGTATCATTTCTGTCTTCTTTAAGTCTCTCTACTCCCGATCTCCTGACGTTATAGAGGCAG